TTCATGCGCACTGCGCAGCGCTGGAATTGAATGACTCCCGAAGGCAGGTGCATCTTTGGCAACAGTGGTGCATTTGACCTAATCGATTGCGTTTTGTTTGTTTTTGCACCCCACGGTGTGTGCAGGCACACCTGCGTGTATGCATAACGCTTTTCCCCCTTGAACATATGGGTGTGGCTCAAAATTAAGCAGGAGTTGTTACGCAGGTTTTGGTCCATGTTTCCACTTACCAGTGCAACCCATTTTGGTATTCCGGTTTTTTGAGCCACAGCCATACGCGCGTGTCCCTCTGCCAGAAATTGTGGCCCAGGTCACCTCCGGAGCTCCATGGTGGCTTTGGCCGCGGAATTTGCCGGTGTGAATGTGGGGGAAATTGGCCAAACCCCAATCACAGCCTCTCCTGAAAACTGTATAGCTCGGGGGGTATCATGGAGGAAGAAATTGTATAGCAGAGGGGGGCCGTTTTTTTAGTTAAGGAGAGGGTATGCTCCAATCTCAACAGGGAAGCGCCTAAAACCACGTTGGGGGTCTGACTCGTTGATGCAGGCTTGGTTTCCAACCCCCAGAACACATTCATGAATTCCCTACCCTCTTCTTTGTTTTTGGGACATGAGGTGCGTCCTTTTTTTTTGGGGGGGGGCATCTCTGGTTTTCGGGTGTACGAGCCGAGGCACCAAAAGGAACCGGCGTCCTCGAACTGTCGGCAGCAGCTCGCCGGAGTTTATGGCAAGCGAGCAACCATGAGATGGGTGTGTTGCTTTTTAGAGCACCCACCCCACAAGTTCCAGGGGTACCTTCCCCATTCTTTCCAGGCATCCTTCTTTCTACAAAAGCACCCAAAAGCCTGGAGAAAAAGCTGGTTTTTGAAAAGAACGATGGTTGAAAAGAATGGACAAGGAGTCAACCCCTAGAAAAGTTGTAGGTTTTCCCTTTGGTTTCCTTTTAAGCCAGCCTAAACAGGGTATACATACCCTCAGCCACAAGCTGAGAAACTGCGCCGTGTTGCCCCGCCGGCTCCCCACCCTCCCGGAGGGGATTCCAAGTGAGTCAGTGTGACACATAGCGGGGCACCCATTCCTGACAAGCAGATCTAGAAAACATATCATGACTGCTGCTTGGGCGTAGGGTATGTGAGGCATGTGAGGCCAAAAAAGCTGCGTACTAGATAAGTATTAAGAGAGGTCCTGCTGGCAATTGTGTGGGGCTATTTTTTTCATCACTTGCTTCAGGAATGACCATGGTTCTTAACCATTGCTCATTTTGTTGAGTTCAAAGTCTGAGTGTCTGTGTCCATATGGGAGCCCCTGGTACAAACCCCTGTGGCTGAAGTGACCGTTCGTTCTGGCATGGGAAAACAGCCAGGTTCCAAAGACCCGTTCTGTGGCCATGGGTTCAACAAGAAAGGCCCGGAGATCGGTTCAGCCTGTGTCGCGTGCTCCTTTCATGCTCGATCCGACACCCAGAAAAGCGAAACGCGGAACGCCCAGAAACGCCGCTGGCCCCGTGAGGCGAACTTCCACGAGGCCGTGGCAGGCGAAGAAGCGGTTTTGGCGACCCGGCTGCAAGGCGATTCCGGGCGCAGCGCTTGGGGCGAGGCTTCCTGGCGAAGGTTCTTTCGGAGGTTTCAGCGTCAAAACTTGCGATCGGTGCGTTTGAGATGCAGGGAATGAGACGTGGAATGAACCCCAAACGGGCAAAGCTGGTGGTTTCCGAAACAGGGGATTCGCAGGTTCATGAAGCTCATGCCCTCATTCCCTGAGCACCAGCTTCAAAAAAAAGGCGGCATGTGGGTCTTGGTGCCTTGGTGCCTTGGTTAGTTTTTTTTTTTTTGGTTAGGGTTTTTCAGATGGCTGTGGGTCAAAACCAATGGTACCACTTTGGGGTCCACCCATTTTAGAACCTATTTTAGTGGTTGGATTGGGATGTTCACTGGGGGCTAACCGATTTGGCTCTTGAAAAGCCCATGGCCATGTGTTGCTGCCCGTGTTGTGGAGGCCTCGGTGTTCGCCGAATGAATGTTGCCGAGGTCTACTTTAGCTGTGCTGGACCGATCGGCCACTTGCCTTCGTGCGCCGGTCGGGAGGGGGTGGGGAAGGGCGGGCGTCAGCACGTGAGTTTTTTCGCGGCCAAGTGCCATTCCCTGAGACGGACGGTGAAGCGTAACAATCACATCATTGCTGGTCGCCAGCTCTTGAGGTGTTATGGAATCTTGCGCCGAGGTTCCTTCATTTCCCTTGAGGCCGTGTCAATGGAAACCACCAGTTTTCAAGGGGAAGTCCAGTGACTCCTGTCTAGGTGCCCTTTTTGGTTGTTTTGCTTAAACAATAGTTTTCCTGGTGGTTCAATCATCTATCAGGGCCATCTACCTGGTGGTTCAATCACCTCCTGGAGCCAAACATTGTCCTTTCCTCCGCCCGCGTGCGAAACGGACTGTGTGAAGCCCTGGTTTCGCAGTGTCAGGAAAAGAAGAACACCCATGGTTCCCCCGAAAAAAGAGCCCGCAAAAAAAGCAATTGCTGAAGACATGTTTGCAGGCTTTTCCCCATGATGAGTCTGTCAATTTGTGCGAGCCTTCGTCCCAAACATGGGGAGTTTGCAACAGTCCCACAGGTTTTCCTGGTGGTTTGCCCTTAAAAGGTGAAAAGGCCCTACCCCCTCCCCTCCCCCCCAAAAAAAAAACGGGTCTAGGTCCCCCAGTAGTGCCCTTTTACCCTTTTTGGTTGGGAGGGTTCCCCTACTAAAATAGACAAAGCCGAAAAAAGTTGGTCGTTTTATTCTGACCTCTCAAATCTGGAGGACCCAGTGGTTTCCCTTGAAGCCCCGGCCAAACCTTCGGGGGGCATTCGCCGCGTTCGCCGCGCGCGCGTCGATTCGTCGATGGCTCGGTCGAGGCCTTGGCTTCGAGGAGCAGTTCGCGGAGCTCGCGGTCTCGGAGGAGGTGGAGCCCCGGCGCCCCGGTCGCATCGATGCGTCGATGCGTCGGTCTGCGTCGGTGTGCGCGCGAAGGGCGGGCGGGTTTGGCACTGGGCCAGGGGGGGATTGGGAGGATTGGGGGAGGGGGGGGGAAGGAGGGGGGGGGGGAGAAGGATTGGGGGGAGGGATTTTTGTGGTTGTTGACCCAAAACGCCAAACTTGTCCAATTTTGTGGTGAGGACAAATGGTTCATGTTCTTGCGGACAGGAGAAAACTGTGTTTTTTTTTGTTGGGAATCTAGTTGCGGAGTCACTCCCAGCAATCAACATGGAATCTGAGGGGGGGGGGGGGGTGAGAGGAATATGTGCCTTTTTCTTTGTTGGTTTTAAAGAGAATCTGTCAACTTTTCTGGAATCCTGGAACTAGTTGCTTGTTTTTTTAGGGGGCAAAAACGCAAGTGGAATCCAAGGAGGCATGGGGCCCTCCCTCCCAATTGTGGCAGATATGTGGCAACTTTGGAAAGCTCGAGGATCCATTACTGGTGCCCAAGGGGGAATGACCTTCCGGGCATGAACAAGTTGGGATTCCGGAAAAAAGGACACCAAATCGGGGATTGTGTTTGTCGGGGTCATTCCAACTCATTCCCTGCCTATCAAGCAAGTTGAAGAGAACCCTGAATTTCACACCACGCAGCACATCTGGTTTAAGCACTGCTGTGCGCCGAAGGCTTCCAAAGTAGGTGGCGTGTGGCAAAAAAGCGACGGCCTCTAGTTGGGATTTGATACGTCTTTGCAACCTCCTTCTTTTAGGGTTCCTTCTTGGAATCCCATGTGTTCACCGGGCCTCTTCTTGCTGGTGCTCATCAGGGAAAGCCGAGAAAGGAAAAGGGGATGGCTGTTCCGGGTCATTCCAACTCGTTCCCTGCCTATCAAACAAGCAAGTTCTGGTTGCAGATCTGGCGCCTGTTCGTATCCCAGCTCAGGCTCCTCCGTTTGCGGCACACAGAGCCCGAGATAGCTGCAGAGGCAGGCGTCGACCCCTCGCTGGGTGGCAGCCTGGTACTGTACAAGCAGGGCCGGCAGCTGGGGAAGGTCTCCCTGAAGGACATGAACGAGAGTGACTCAGCGGTCGGACCTGAAATGACCTTTTCGGTTTTTGTAGGTTGGCCCATCTTTAGTCTGTAGTTATGGCGCCAAAAGGCTAACCGTTTAGTTCTGGGTGCCTAAGGGGCAACTGAGGCGAGGAGCAGGAAATGGAGGTGGCCAAATGGCTGGGCGGGAAATACCCCGACTCGACGCCAGCGCCTGCCGCACCTAGACCGCCAAGTGCTCCAGCGCCTGCGCCCCTTCCAAATCCCAGCCAGCCAACAAATGTAACAGTTGGTGCGGCGTTGTCTGGGCCGCCCCCCGGGCCAAAGGCAGCCGCAGTGTTGGGGCAGACTCCGGGTGCTCCTTGCGGAGCGCCTCCTGCTGGACCGCCCCCAGGACCAAGACCAGGCGTGCCAGCGATGGGCCAACCCAACGGCACTATGACAGTTGGTGCAGCGTTGTCTGGACCGCCCCCCGCACCAAAGGCAGCCGCAGTGCCGGGACAGACTCCGGGTGCTCCTTGCGGAGCGCCTCCTGCTGGACCGCCCCCAGGACAAAGACCAGGCGTGCCAGCCATGGGCTCGCCCAACGGCACTATGACAGTTGGTGCAGCATTGTCTGGAGCGCCCCCCGCACCAAAGGCAGCCGCAGTGCCGGGACAGACTCCGGGTGCTCCTTGCGGAGCGCCTCCTGCTGGACCGCCCCCAGGACAAAGACCAGGCGTGCCAGCCATGGGCTCGCCCAACGGCACTATGACAGTTGGTGCGGCGTTGTCTGGACCGCCCCCCGCACCAAAGGCAGCCGCAGTGCCGGGACAGACTCCGGGTGCTCCTTGCGGAGCGCCTCCTGCTGGACCGCCCCCAGGACAAAGACCAGGCGTGCCAGCCATGGGCTCGCCCACCGGCACTATGACAGTTGGTGCAGCGTTGTCTGGACCGCCCCCCGCACCAAAGGCAGCCGCAGTGCCGGGACAGACTCCGGGTGCTCCTTGCGGAGCGCCTCCTGCTGGACCGCCCCCAGGACCAAGACCAGGCGTGCCAGCCATGGGCTCGCCCAACGGCACTATGACAGTTGGTGCAGCGTTGTCTGGACCGCCCCCCGCACCAAAGGCAGCCGCAGTGCCGGGACAGACTCCGGGTGCTCCTTGCGGAGCGCCTCCTGCTGGACCGCCCCCAGGACCAAGACCAGGCGTGCCAGCCATGGGCCGCCCAACGGCACTATGACAATTGGTGCAGCGTTGTCTGGACCGCCCCCCGCACCAAAGGCAGCCGCAGTGCCGGGACAGACTCCGGGTGCTCCTTGCGGAGCGCCTCCTGCTGGACCGCCCCCAGGACAAAGACCAGGCGTGCCAGCCATGGGCTCGCCCAACGGCACTATGACAGTTGGTGCGGCGTTGTCTGGACCGCCCCCCGCACCAAAGGCAGCCGCAGTGCCGGGACAGACTCGGGTGCTCCTTGCGAGCGCCTCCTGCTGGACCGCCCCAGGACAAAGACCAGGCGTGCCGCCATGGGCTCGCCCAACGGCACTATGACAGTTGGTGCAGCGTTGTCTGGACCGCCCCGCACCAAAGGCAGCCGCAGTGCCGGGACAGACTCCGGGTGCTCCTTGCGGAGCGCCTCCTGCTGGACCGCCCCCAGGACAAAGACCAGGCGTGCCAGCCATGGGCTCGCCCAACGGCACTATGACAGTTGGTGCAGCGCTTTCGGGACCGCCCCCTGCACCAAAGGCAGCCGCAGTGCCGGGGCAGACTCCGGGTGCTCCTTGCGGAGCGCCTCCTGCTGGACCCCCAGGCCCAGGCTCGTGTGCAGGGCTATCGGGGCCGCCGCCCGAACCAAAGGCAGTTGCAGTTCTTGGGCAGACTCCGGCCGCTCTGGCTGGGCCGCCTGACGCGCTACAGTTAGAAGCGTCAAGCATACTTCCTGAGCAGGTCTCAGGCCCTCCAGTGTTGTCCAGCTCGGCCAGCCAGCCTGCGCTACCGAAATCTGGCGCCCGGTCTCCGCTGTCCCCAAGTTCCTTGGTCACCTCGCCGACGGGCACCAAGTCCACTCCATCCTTCAACGTGCCAGCCGTGCCAGCCGCGCCGACGCCGCCCCCAGAGCCCCCCCTTCCAGCGCCACAAGCACCGGTGCCGCCCTCGCCGCCCAGCCCGCAGGCTGAGGCGTGGGGCGAGCCGAAAGCCGTCAAGGCGGGAAGCTGAGCTGTTGGTCAGTCTGCGCTTTGTCGATCAGGAGTTCCCCTCTTTGTCTCATTCTTGCCTCGAGCGGATAGCGAAGAGCATATTCCTAGAACCAGTTGTAGGCTGGCGAGATACAAGAGGGATCAATTTGTTTCTATCTCCCAGCAGCACAGAAGTTCAGGCCAAAAGGGACATTTTGTTGAACTCTAGTAGTCCTTATCTACAAAGAAATCGGTATCATGACAGCTAGAATGACAAAGCGTTGCTTTGGGTTCGTTTGCAGATGAGGGACACCCCAAAATGGGCTGGCTCTGTTTGAACTCCCTTTGAGACCACCCGAATAAACGGATATCCCGAAAACAGACGCACTAGGAGCAGTAGTCGGATCGGCCGGCTGGCCTCCTTTGCCAGCCCTTTTCTTGGGCCTGCCTGCCCCGTTCCCCCAGAGCCCAGTAGGGTGCACGGGTGCTTTTTGCATATGTATGTTCAAAAACGGAAGAGGCGCGATCCGTAGGGGGGCGATACCTACGAAGAGGACTTGTTGAAAGGAGGCTCTTGCACTTCTTTCAATCAGTGCCAGCTGGCTGCGCCCTCTCTTGGTTCAATAGGTAGACGGGGGTGTTTTGTTCTTTTTCTGTTTTTTTTTTTTTGGGGGGGGGGAGGGGAGGGTTTACTCAGAGACGTGCCGCTTCATCACGTCCACGACCTCGTCCCGATCGGTGCCCTGACAGGTCGTGGCCATCGCCGAGCCGGAGACCGAGGCGCCGCTGCCGCCCGCCTCGCCGGCGCCGGCGCCGGCGCCGGCGCGCAAGGAGCTGACGCCGCAGGAGGGCGTCGCCCAACTCTTCGCCGCGCGCTCCGGCGGATTCCGGCGGATTCGTCGGGTCCGTGTATGACGGGTATGGACCAAGCAAGCGAAACGGGTGTGGCTCAAAATGAAACCATCGGAGGGGCAAACCGCAGGTTTGGGTCCATGTTTCCACTTACCAGGGCAACCCATTTTGGTACCGGTTTTTTGAGCCACAGCGAAACAGGAGCAACCAGCCAGCCAAGTCCAGCCAAGGAAGCAAGCAACATCAAGCAAGCGACAAGGAATAGCCAAGCATCTTAGATCAGAATATATCAGAATGCTTTTTGACTGGGAGACTTGATGTTGAGGCCGCGGTTCATTGACTGTGCAAGGGGTTGGGCAGTTCTTGTGCTCAGGGTATAGCTGAAGCTCTGCTTGCAACAGGGGGGCAGACAGACCAAGTTCCCTGCTGACAGTAGCAAGTCGCAGCTTGCGAAACAGCCATCAAAGGCAGCAGACAACTGACTCCATTTCCGTTGAGTGGTCACATTGTTTCTTAGCTTATTGCGGGGTGGCGGTGGGGTGGATGCTGATGTTCAAGGCACTACTTCAGTCTTCGTTCGACGGGGTAGGGGCATCGTTGCTCACAATCCACATCACACTGTGCCGTGGATTCGCAATGCACGTAATGGAACTCAATCAACAAATTGCTGTGCATGCTTCTGCAACCTGAAAGAGCGCAAAGGAATAGTATTGGTTTCAGGGTGCAGCTTAGATTGGCTTTGTTCACTCCCTACCACCCCCACTCCCACACCCCCTACCACCCCCACCCGCACATCCCCCCACCGCCTTTCCCAACCACCCCAGTCGTTCTCTTCAAGGTGCTTATCGCACCCACAATTTTTGCGCGACATCAAAAAACCGGGCGTCGGACGCCCAGGCACCCGGCCGTCAGCCGGGAGAAGATGAAAGCCTTCCTCCAGCGGCTTGTCTTGTGACACCTCGGCGAGTTGGGCTATCCAAACCTGAAGGGGTTCCGCCCAAAGGGATGGTCACTTGAAGAAGACAACTCGGCACCCACCCGGCAGGCCCAAAGGTGTTTGTTTTGTGGCTGCCTTTTTTGTGGGAGGGCCGTTGTCCCATGTTGGCTACACGTAGCGGAAGGAGTTTTTGTTGCGGGGCCTCTTTGGCTTAGATCATGTTTGTCCTGTTTGAACCCTCTGCGTGATTTGAGCCCTCAACCTTCAGGCTGATGTTTGAGACCGGTGGCCTCTGCGGGCGCTGCGGGTGTTTTGTGGTTTGGTTGGGTGCGATGAGCAATGCATGGGCTGCCAAAGTAAGGAAGCAAGAGGCACAGCTTTGACAGATGAAAGGATATCACGATAGTTTGGCTGAGAACCGGTAAAGGCCAATGGGCACTGGTGCCACCCGGTGGGCAATTGGTTCAGGTAATGTTGGCACTTGATTAATAAAGGGCCCCCCCACCCCCCCTGCTGAACAATGGAGGCGCCAAAATCATGGGGGTGCACTTTTGGGACGTCCAAACAATGGAGGGTTTTGGGGCGAAATTCTACTTTAGTATTGCAGCCACTTCCTTTTTGCAGTTCTACTTTAGTATTGCAGCCACTTCCTTTTTGCAATTCTACTTTAGTATTGCAGCCACTTCCTTTAGTATTGCAGCCACTTCTTTTTTGCAGTTCTACTTTAGTATTGCAGCCACTTCCTTTTTGCAATTCTACTTTAGTATTGCAGCCACTTCCTTTAGTATTGCAGCCACTTCTTTTTTGCAATTCTACTTTAGTATTGCAGCCACTTCCTTTTTGCAATTCTACTTTAGTATTGCAACCACTTCTTGTCAACTGGGGGTTTGGCTTTGGGTTCTGTGGTTGAGCAACCAATTGAAAGGGGAATGCTTTTAAGCAAGTGGGCCACCAATTGAAAGGGGATGCTTTTAAGCAAGTGGGCCACCAATTGAAAGGGGAATGCTTTTGAGCAAAGCAAGTGATAGTTTATTTTCTGGGAGGGGGGGCTGGGGGCTTGCCACTATTGTGGTCCCCTAAAACAATCACATTATTGTGGTTCTGTGGGGTCTGTGAGGGGTACCCTTGTCCTGATTGTTTTTTGGCAATTTTTTAGCACGGTTTAATAAAGAGTTTGCAGTTTCAGGGCTGGGGATGGTTTTCAAATTTCAGAGTTTCAGCTGGCTTTGGGTTCTGTGGTTGAGCAACCAAATGAAAGGGGAATGCTTTTAAGCAAGTGGGCCACCAATTGAAAGGGGATGCTTTTAAGCAAGTGGGCCACCAATTGAAAGGGGAATGCTTTTGAGCAAAGCAAGTGATAGTTGATTTTCTGGGAGGGGGGGCTGGGGGCTTGCCATTATTGTGGTACCCTAAAACAATCACATTACTGTGGTTCTGTGGGGTCTGTGAGGGGTACCCTTGTCCTGATTGTTTTTTGCATTTTTTAGCACGTTTTAATAAAGAGTTTGCAGTTTCAGGGCTGGGGTGGTTTTCAAATTTCAGAGTTTCAGCTAGCTGGATTTTGGGGTCAACATGGATTTTGGGTGATTGTTTGGGGGGGGGATGTTTTTTTTTTATTCAAAAACATATAAATTTGCTTTGTGGATTTTTTTTGAATTTTCACCCTGGCCAAAAAAACTTTCTATTATTCTGGTCCCCTTAAACAATGGGTGTGAACCATAATAAGGAAAAACTTTCTAGTATTCCGGTACCCTTTACTAATCGAGTGTCAACATTAGGCTTGATGCCGCGTTCCGAAGGCGGCAGATGAAGATTTGACAAAGAGCCATGGCCCTGCCTTTCTTGAGGTATCATCTGAGTTCTCTGGGGTCTCTTGTGAGTTGGTGAGTCATGGGCTTTGGAGGTGCGCTAAGGGCATGTTTGGGAAGGAGGGGCTGGACAATTCGGAGCTGACGCCAGGCACCGGAATGGCCTGAATGGCTTGCCGCTCGTGTGCCCGTGGTTGGGGCTGGGATTCGCACTCACGGAAATCGTTTTTATTTGCGCAGCTATTCGGGTAGCAGGTTTTAGTCTTGCATGTACCAGGGCAAATGATCTTGGGTGCCCCGACCCCCCCCCCATTTCCCCCCGCGCCCCCGAATGTGCCAGAGTCATCTCGGCCCAGCGCGCGGCTCTTTCCGAGGCATTTGCTCAGCAAGCAGGGCGCAGGCAAGCGCCTGGCGCCCGCTCAGCTGGACCGACTGGTGGATGAGTTCCAGGAGGCGCGGGGCGCGGGGCGCGGAGCTGAGCGGGGCGCGGGGCTGGGGGACGAGCGGGGCGCGGAGGGACGTGGAGGCCGACTTGAGCCGTGGCAAAAGGACGAAATGCCGTTGGTTTGTCAACACCAATGGGATACCATTTTGGGATAGGTGCACCACCCATTTTAGTTGATTTTAGTGGGGATTGGCATGTTCACTGGGGGTACGGGGGTGTGACCCATGGCCAAATGAAGCCATGCTTGAAACCATTCTTGGTTGGTGGTTGAAGGGGGCTCCGCATTCCAGCGCCTTTTTTCAGGCGCAGGATGTCGCCCATCCACAGTATGTTCTCGAAACACGTGTGGCTTCCCAGATCTGGGATGCCACACTTGGCACGAACCAGCCCGTTTGCCTGACACTTGATCGCTGGGTGAGGTTAGTTAGGAGTGCCGGAGTGCCAATCCAGGATGACCCTTTCTCAATTTGGGCGACGTGAAATCGCAAATTCCTTTTGTTTCCAGAGGCTCGAGAGACACCCAAAAAGCTTCGATCCGTGCCTTCAGACCCCCCCTTTTGGCATTCCGAGCCTCCGGCGTCCAGGACTCCAGCGCCATCAAGACGAGTCAATTCATCCAGTGGGTTTGGAGCCGCTCGGTCGAACTCCGCAGAAAGGCGAAGCGGATTAAGCGCAACCAGAGTTAGCCAGTTCGAAGTTCGCGTTGGGAAGGGGCTTTAAACTCGAGCCTTCGGGACTTCCTGATGTGTTGACACCTTTGATTTGGGCTCCGGGTTTGACCGGGCGAGTGCCTGAAAGATTGGATGACATATGACCCGGCCGCACGTCTTTTTCTTTTTCTTTTTTCCGTCACGCCTTTTTTTTTGTCAGCAGCTCGCGACCTTCCGCTTCAAGGATCCCAGTCCTTCGAGCCATAAGCCGAGGCGGCGCGGGCGGCTGACCGGCTGAGCGGCTGAGCGGCTGAGCGGCTGAGCGCGTGAGCCAGAAAGGGGCGAGATAAGAGCATGTTGTAGCCAGCGTAGGTCCAGGGCCTCGGCAGTTGATAATGTCTTCGGCGCGCGGCCCCGGAAGTTGTTCACTTGCCATGGTTTGCGTTTTGTGGGATGAATAAGCCGCCCCGGTGTATAGATCCTTTAGGGAGGCTGTTCGGCCAGTGGTTCGAAAAACGGGGGCGCCAGCGCCATAGCACGCCATGGCGCAGGTGAGCTTTGCCTCTCCGGGAGCACTTTGGGCCGAAAAAAAATCGCAGAGAGCGCTCTGGCTGAGCCAGCGTGTCCGCAGCCAAAGCCGTGCTGCAAGAATTCTAAGAAGTTGCGCAGGTCCGGCCGCTTCACAAGCATCTTTTGAGACCTTGTCACTTAAATTTATTGAAGCTGCAGGGAGATGAGGGAACTTGGTGGCTCCCAGCCATCCGGTTCCTTAGCTTCTTAGTCTTTTGGTGTTTAGTGGCAGTTCCCATTCAACCCACCAAAAGTTAAACTTTGAGCGGGGGATTTGAGGCCAGCCCAGGGAAGAAACCAACATCTGCTTCTGAAGCCACACGCTTCTCGAGGTCGGGGAGCTTCAGTTTGATCAATTCTACTCGGAGCGAACCGAGGGGCCTAGGGCCTAAGGCCCATTGAATCGACGAGCGTCCAGTGCAGGTCTCCTGCACTGGGCGCCAGTGCCGTGCATGTGCCACGTAGATAGCAGTGACCTGTTGGGTGCTGATGAATTTGTGCAGAGTAAGGCAAGGGGGGCACCCCATGCCCACCTCGGCTAAGCACAGCTTGATTTGTTTGAGCTTTGGCAACGTTTGTCACAGCTGTTGAAGCTGAGATTGTAGGATTGTAGCTGGAACTTTTCACACAGGATGCTCTTCCAATTTATCCCACACTTTCCTTAGCCAATAGGCCTGTGAATAGATCGAGAACTGCTCGACTGCTTGTGCGTTTTCCAAATTTTCGCAACGTTTGAGACCGCGCATTTCTTATCTGTCCCAATGTCAGCGCTCAACATGAATCCAACTTTCCTAGTAGTAGATGCTTCCAAGAAGCAGTTGCATGGAGTGTTCCGTCCGCGCGGAAAAAAGAATTAGGCGGAGCCAGCCAAACATGGAGCCTCCCCTTTCATGCTGCGTGGTTTTCTTTTGGCCTTTGGTGTCCAACAGCCGGCATCAGCAACAAAAAAAATGTCTTCATGCAGCCGCCAAAGATGGGGCACCTGCACGCCCAGCTTTGACACAGGAGCTGCACGCAAGGTGCGAGGAAACTCCAGGATTCAAAAGTGGCCTTCATCAGGGTTGTTGATGCGCCTCTTGGCCATGTGCCTGGGAGGCTTTTTTGAGTTGGCCAATTTGAGGGCGAAGCAACAGGGCTCCTTAAAAGATACATGTTGCAACCATTTGAAACATGGCTTTTTCAACACCAACATAAAGGGAAACCACAATTTACAAGGCAATGTTCAGGTGTATAATGTAAGGATCCCTGAACAAGAACAGCTTTTTGGGTCTGCTAACTTGGACTCGTTCTTAAACGTCTTCTTGTTGCTTGGGGCACCTGGCATATCTACTTTCCAGTGGCTCAACTCGGTGCCTTCTGTTTGCGGGGAAAAACCCGGGTACTGGCGGGCGGACTCCTCATTTTCTTCCTGTCAAATGTAGAGGGCCCAACATATGGGTATGGGTCAAAATCAAGCCACCAGCTAGGTGCCCTTTCTCACCCCTTTTTTGGGTGGGAGGGTTCCCCTACTAAAATAGACTACTGAAAAAAGGGTTGCCCTATTCTAACCTCTCTACTGGACCTAGATTCAGAGGGCCCAACATATCATTCGCCCGGGCAGCCGCTGCAACCTCGCGTCGACTGGGCGCCGGCCTTGGAGTCTTTTTAACATGGCCCCGCAGGTTTCGCAGGTATGTGCCTTTAAGGATGTTTTTGGTGTGTGTCTTTTCAGGGTGCACCTTTTTGGTTCTAAACTTTATGGCTGATTTGTAACGGATCTTTGGACTTCGACCTCTTGGGTGAAACTAGTCGGATTGTTCATTGGAGCCACAAAAAGTTAGACACTTGAGGGGCCAGCCGCTTCCTTGGGCAAAGGGCCCAAAGGCCATCACTATTGTTTGCCCCCCCCAAACCAAACCAAAAAAAAAACACATCACACCCATTTTGATTTTGATCGACCATTTTCTCAAGGCCGCTGCAGTTGTGAAGATCCGGCAAAAAGGGGCGTGCTTTCGGATATTCCATGTCGTCCGGGCAGGACTTGGGGGTGTCACTTTTGTGAGCGGTACTCGCGATTGGTGTTAAACGGGAACCAAAAGAACCACCACTTTTTCTTTTTTTCTTTTGAGGGGTCCCCTGCAAAAAGACGCCAACTGACTATCAATGGACGTCAAACTTGGTTACGACGTCAATCGTAAGAATGCCTAGCGTAGCCCGTCCGAGCAAAGAACCTGGATGTCGCCAGCAAACTTCCACCCTATGCACTGGCTGCCGTCGACGGCGCTTTTTTGGTTTCACGTTCCCTTGCGATGCATGGGTTGCAAAACGGGTCACCATTTGCTCGGCGATTGGCTGCGCTATGCAGGGCTTGATTTGTGGGTGTTGGATGTCAAAGCCCCGGATCCGGCAGCTCTTCTTTTTGCATGTTCGATCCCACGATCCGAGGATCCGGACCCTTGAATCCCCCAGCCAGGACTTGGGGAGTAGGTAAATCAATGTAGGCTCACGCCACTTTGCCCCCAAAGTTCGTTGTTTGAGTTTGGCCCCTTTGCCTCTAAACACCCTCAAACTGATAGGTTTCCTGTTGGCTGCCATTTCAGAAATATGTCCACCAAGTCCCTTCTATTTGAGCAAAGGGGTTTCCTTTTGTCTTCCCGTAACCTCCAAACCGCAGAGGGAGCATCAACTGGGGCTCCAGTGACTGCCCCTCCTTTGTAGCTCCAAAGTGGCTTCGTATGGATTCGTACGGTGCAGGCGCTCATGCAGCGTACATCTGTGTTGCATTTGTTTCAGCGATTGTCGCAGCTAGGGGGCATCACCCACTGCGTAGCAGCTCCACGGGACTTCGCGGGACTGGGCCTAGGGTTTTTTTCCCACTCAAAAGTGACAATCCCGACTCAAGGGGGGACACCCTGTGAATCAACCAGGAGTTGTTTCTTCCCTTCCCCCTAAACGCGGACCCCCCCGCTAATAGTCTTTGTTAATGGGGTCTATCTGGGCATGGCTCAAAAATAAACAGGCGGGGCAAACCGCAGGTGTTGGTCCGTGTTTTCCGCTTACCAGGGTTTTATTTTGGAATTCCGGTTCTTTGAGCCACAGCCATTTGTTAAAAGAGGGAAGGGATGAATCCAGCCCAGCCCTTTGTCAGCTCTCAGGAAGCAGTGCTCCGGGAAAGCCGTCTTCCTGAGCCAGGGCCGGGCGGCCAGAGTGTTGGGTCCACTGGTCGCCTTTTGTCCCGGAGGATTTCCAAGGAAGCCCTGAAACCAGGGTTCCACTTTTTGGCTACCCCAAGATAGACTTAAACCCAGGGGTTCTCCTTCTGGGGGGAATGCACCTGGGTTTAAGCCTATCCTGGGGTAGTCAAAAAGTAGAACCCTGCCTGAACACGTGTGAAGTGGTTCCCTTTTGTAGACATAGAAGTCCCGAAGTGGTAGCTTTTACTGGGACGTAACCTTGATCACCCTCTTTATTCAGATGGTTGGGTCTTCCCTGTCAAAAGGAGACGCCGGTTGGGATTTGTTTTCTTCTTGGAGGATTCCATCAGTAGTCTCAACCCCGGCGCGTTGAACCCACTCCTTGAAGCCCTCACCAAGGCGAATCGCGAATCGGTTCCCATCCGAAATGAAACGGAGCTTGTGGGGGTTTTTGCCTCAGAAGGTGATGTTCGCAGCCAGCTTTTTTTTTGGCCGGCCCCATGAGCAATCCTTTGGGTCTGATGTTTGGCCCCCCCGAAATGAAATGACCTTGCATGGTTTTTGCGTGGCCTGATCTTTGACCCCAGACGTCGGTTTTTGCGTGGTCTGATCTTTGGCCCCCAAAAGTTGGTTTTTGCATGGTCGGATGTTTAGCTGTTTGGATCCAAGAGGCGAACCATGGACCAAACAAAACCTGCGGTTTGCCCCTCCGGTGAAGCTTTGAGCCTTACCCATGTGGGGCCATTTCGTGCCCTTTTTGGGTCCTCTCTGGGCCACGCCCCGAGGAAGGACTTCCTGGCCTTCCCGAAGCCCCTGGTGAACTTGAGGCGGTGCTTTTCGGTAAGCGGGCCCAGGCGTTGAAGACCCCTGTACCGAACTTCATACCCCAGGAAGTGTTGGTCTAGAGATGGCAGAAGCGCACCCTTGAGCGGCAAAGGCTTATTAATACCCAGGAAGTGTAGATCTATGACACCGTTTCTGGCAGTTTCTGGAGGTTCTGACAAAAGATTCAACCAACAAAACGCACAAGATGGCGCATATGCGCACCCCTGGGTGACATAAGGGCTGATTTTTGGCTTTTGCTTTAGGAGGGCGCCTGGGCCCACATGCTGCAAGTTTTTGCCCAAGTGTCGCTTGGAGTGCTTGCGGCGCCAACAGTGTGTGCATGTCATGTTTTTCCTCTCTCTGCCCGTCGCATGTGTTTCAGCATGCCTGCATTTGTGAGTGATCCTTCTTTCTAGAAAGCCTCCGGAAACCCAGGGAAACGGCCGGTTTCGAAAAGAGCAATGGTTGGAAAGAATGGGGAATCAACCCTTAGAACGTTGATTGAGCCTCAGCGGGAACTGGAATTTGCAGTTCGCCGATATTTTGGCTCCAAGCCCTCCTCTCGGAAAGTCGCGGCCGGGGCTTTGCAGCGATGCGGCCTGGCGAGCGCTTCGTTTGGGAGCGCTGCACCCTTTTTTTGGGGAGAATTCCCCTACTAAAATAGACTACAGAAAAAAGGGTACCCTTATTCTAACCTCTCTTCTGGAGGACCTAGTTGGGCCCTTGTAGTTAGCTGCCTCACCAAGTAGAAAACACAAGGTGCTTCTCCTTATGGGGTGGCCCCACTCTTTCCGCGAAAGCCCAGGCATGCGTTGCTCAGAGCAACCTCATTATTAGTCGCTGCAGGCCGGGCCAATTGCAGTGCTTTGTGCCCTGTGGAAGTGAACCCCCCTGTTGGAGCTGGCAGCCTGCACAAAAAATGGACGGTTGCCACGGATTCTGTGCCTCATGCCACGTTGCGTGAAGCTTGGCCATCGGGAAGCCAAATCCACGCGTAAACGCTGGAGTTTCCTAGATGGCATTGGCATGTCAATGCGAAGGGAGGCCATTGCTTTATGGCCATTTCGCGCTATCAGGTGGATTTTCCATTGGACCAACAACAAGTTGCCCTCCCTTTCACTAACATGGCATCTGTAGCAAAATACCTTTAAGATCTGTTTCCTTTTGGAGGGACCCCCTGTCAGCTGCCATGTTAGTGGGAGAGAGGGTACACTTTTGCCAGTCCCTCGATCAGTCACAAGGTCACTAGGTCCACTTGCCGGGCCCGATTCGTAACACTGGCCACGGCAATAGCTGCAATGAGTTTTCTTTCTGTAGCGATAGGGCATGAAATTCCAAGACCGGGTGTTACGGGAATGAGCGGTTTGGGGATTCCCGAAAAGAAGGAAGCCATAGGGAATGGTTTTTTGACCGGGTCAGTCCAACTCATTCCGCGCCTGTCGAACCAGCAAGACTGTTGGGGGGGCTTCCCACCGCCCATGACGTCTCATCATGACTTTCTGCTTTCTGCTCTGCTCTTTGCTCTTCTCCTCAGCTCTTCTTGCTCTCCCCTTTTTTTTCTGCTCTCCCTTCTTCTCTTCCGCAATTCCACACTCAGCCCTCTACCCTGATTTTTGTTCACGCTCTTTCGTGTGTAGCCTTGTCCGCGCCGCTCTCGCCGCTCTTGCCGCGAAATCACTTCGCCCTTCTGCCTGCTCGTCCTTGCTCGCTTCCTTTCCGCTGTCTCCTCGCTTGTCCGGTCCTTTTTGCTCGGTCACGCTCACTTTCCCATCGTACCTGGTGTTTGCTTCAGCTCCGCCCCTCTCAACTTGCATCCCGAGCCCTAAAACCCTGGAAATGTGGATAGTTCCCTTCCCCTTTTAATAGATATGGTTTGTCCCCCCAGAGTGTATTTCTTATATATATATATATATATATATTTTTTTATTTGGGGGGGGTGCGCATTTATATGCATTTATTATTCGGATCACACATGTCGATGGCTTTCCCTGCCCCTAAAACTACTCACGGAAATGGGGCGCCAGGCGCGCTTGCAGCCGCCCGGCTGAAAACCGCCGCAGTCGGTCGACGTCGGGCGGGCAATGGCCCAGTGCTCGCGTCATGGGTTGGCATATTAGTTTCCACGAAGTGAGAGCGGCATGCGGTTCATGGTGGCTTGTGACATGACTGGTCTGCTTTCGTGAAAGTTGCCTGTTACACATGGTTGCTGATTTTTTTAAGAGGGAAGTCGGCAAAAGGCTGAAGTTGGGCCTGCAAACAGCTCGCCAGGCAGGCGAGCGTCTTGCGAACGTACACTGTGACGATCTCCCCAGGTAGTAAGCGCAGAATCGATCCTTTGCTCTGCGCAACTTTTGGCACGCTCAGCGTGTATTGCCAGGCAGCCTCAGCAAATACCCTACTCTATGCGCTGCATGTGCAGTTCCATGCTGCCTGGGCATGAAGACATGACTCAAACACCCGGCATTCGAACACCGAATCCGGGAGGGGAGCGTTCGCTGGGCTGCAATGGTCCAAGTCAGGCGATGGATTTCCCCCGGAGTTTCGAAGATCCCGTGGCTCGATGGCTTCCAAACCCCAAAGAAAACCGGGGTGGAGCCCCTACCCTTAGGGGCTGCACGGTCCATTGAACCAGGCACTGGGTCTGGGGTCCCTCAAGGTAGTTGAGGGGTGATGGGGGTGAGAGTGGTTTCTCTTCCAACTATTTGTTTTGATTTTGGTGGTTTCCCTTTCAGGCGCCCCTGGGCGCCATGACACCTCGCCTCAGACCCACCAAAAAACAAGAAGCTCCTCAGGCGGAGGTGCCGCCGCTGCGGGATGTGTTGCTGCAGGAGGCGAAGCACCGGTTGAACGACTGGCGCCTCTCCATGGGTTTAGGCGTCTTCGGGAAGCTTTGGGGGCCGAAGGGGGGCAACTGCAAGTGGCTGGTTTCTGTTTGGCTGGTCGCTAAAGAAACCAGTCCAAAAGAACATGGTTCGTTTTTGGAGTGGAATCCATGTCATTTGTTTGCTGTTTGCGAGTCGCTTTATCGAGGGCCGATGGCCCCTCTTTGAGGCGTCGGCAGAAGTCATGAGCCCTTCTGATGTTTGAGCGGCACTAAGCCTGGTGCTTAAGCAAGAAACCATGCTGTCACGAGTTTCCCGGCGTAAGCTGCGGGTAAACGACTTGTACTGAATAGGTGCAACGACAATTTCCACAGCTAGCTAATGGGAGGCCTGCAGAAAAGCCGGCAGTTAAGGGCTTCGCGCCAAGGGCGTTCCCATTCCAATGGAAAGGTTGTAACTTTTGAAGGGGAAATCCGCTGACCCTGGTTGACCATCGGTTTGGACATGCTCAAAAGAGGGAGCTTCCCTCAGGATCCAACTGGATTCAGTCGTATGGAAGTGATTTGAGCCTAGGCTCCACAGGTTCCACGATCGCCACTGCTTGAGGTTTAGAATTTAAAAGGGAATGGCCCGGAAACCCTGTCAACCCCCTTCCTTTTTTTTGGGGGGGGGGGGGAGTCATCCTGTGGACGGACCAAATGCTGCACCATAAACCTAGCAACTGGTGCAGGAATTGGTTCATGGGTAGTTACCTCCTCCAAAGATACCCTCTGGCACCCTCGGGGGTCAACGTTTGCCCTTGTCCCGCTCCCAGCCGTTTTGATGCGCCCCATCTATTCCATGCGTTCCATGAATGAAACCCAGGAGTCCATTTAGAAGCAAGGTAGACTCAACTTCCCAACCTTTGGTTCATGGGGGCTGGGGGAGGAGAGGGGGGAGGGAGCCCAAATAAGCCCTAAATAAGCCCTTAATAAGGCCTTTTTTTGAGGCTTATTTGGGCTCCCTACCCCCTCTCCCCCCCAAGCCCCCAGCCCTCATGATTGGTATGTTGGCAAACCCGGGGAAGGCCTTTGGCATTTTGAGTCCCGGTTCCGTTTCACCAAGCCCGAGGTTTCTCAACAAGGCCTGGATGGGGAAGGAGCCGCCCAATGGCCGGCCCGGCGCCTCAGCTTCTGGAGCTTGGCTTCCCAACCTAGAGAACGAAACATATCTGGGCCACCGAGATAACCAAAAGCTCATCTTAGGAGCTTCCAAAGGCCCGCAGGTCCTGGTTCCGGCACATACTCCCAACCTCAAAGCCGAAATATTTGGGGCCACCTAGATACTTCCTCCTGCCAGAGGGGGTGCGGGTTCCGGCACAGACGGTCGAGGGTAGGTTGGCCATGCGCTCAGTCGTGACGACTCGGACCGATCTGGGCTCGGCCCGCTCCCGAAGCTTGTTTCAAGGTGGTGCGAAACGGATTTCGTCCATCCACAGAAAAAGCCCCAGCTTTTGCAGACCCATATGAGTCAACCCCAGTGTTTCCCCTCCAAAAGTGGTCTGGTTCCCGACTAAACCCGGGGATACCCCCCTACTAAGAAACTGGGGTCGACATTAGTTTCTTTCTGTTGTCTCAATGGGAACGCCGGACTTCAGCTGTCAACGAAACAGCCCTGTCAAGGGCGGGCAAATTCGATTCGAATTTGGAGCTCGCACGGAGCTGCTCGCAGTCGTGCAGCCCAAATAAGATCCGGAAGGCGTGTTTGCTTTGCCAAGTGCATTGCAAGAAGCACAGAACGATATGGCCGCTTCCCCTCACGGCTTGCCTTACCCCCTTGCCAACTGATGAATAGGAGGAGCAATCATAGAACATCTAAAATGCATCTGTCAGCCTGTATCAAGGGGTTTAGGCAGGCTCTGAGTGGGATCGTCCTCAGAGCGCCTCAGGCTTGACTGGCCCAAGGAGGAGTACGGCATCCAGCTGCAAATCACCACGAACAATTACATGTGCCGCTGGGCAAGGAATTTGGAACGGGGGGAGTTCTGGATGTGTCGCCGTTTCACACGAAACGGGTTTCCTTGGGTTTCCTGAGGGTTTCCAGTCTGCTCTTTGTTGCTGGTTTAACATACCATTTGTTGGTATTTTTCTTAATTTCCGGTGGGTTTGATCGGATTTGATCGGTTTGGATTGGTTTGGATTGGTTTGGCTTGGTTTGGATTGGTGTGCATTTGGAGTCGGAGCCCTGGCTTTTGCGGGTAAATGAACAACTACCCCTTACCCACCAAACCGGGTGCGAAACCACCAATAAGAATGAAGCTGATGCTGGGCATACCCGGACACCTTCTGAAAGGAATCTTTATCATTCTAGGGGTTGATTCCTTGTCCATTCTTTCAACCATGCCTCTTTTCAAAAAATCGCCGTTTTCCCTGGCTTTCCGGAGGTTTTCTAGAAATAATGGAAATGGAAGGTACCCTGGAATCATGGGAAGCTTGGGGTATGCCCAAAAGGTATCCAGAGTTCTCGGGCTTGGCCCGGTGTGACAGCAAAGCCGCAGGCGACGAAGAGGGGCGCATCAAGCCATGGGAGGCAGCTTGGAGGGGAAATGGATGCGGAGGTGAGCGCTGAATGTTCCCTGCCTCCCACAAAGAGTCACTGACTTGCGGCGCCTGTGGCTGTGGGAGGGTACCTGTAGATCAGTTTCCTGTTTCAGGGACCGCTTGTGAGGTTCCATGTTGCCAGTGTTGGTTGGTGAGAGGGTAAGTTTCTGTTTCTTGTTGATTGTTCAGGGGCGAAAATCCAACGCTGAGGCACGATCAGTGAACCACCAGGAACTGGGGCTAGGAAAGCTGCCTACTTCAGGCGATGTTTCTTCCGGGGACTTAGGAAAACCTCAGTCGTCCAAAGCGAATCCACCTTTTGACCTTTTGGTTTTCCCATTTTGGCACCCATTTTTGGTAGAGGTGCCAAAAGCTGATCACCTTTTAGTTCTGGGTCCTTTGGGCAACTGAGTTACAGGTCGCAACGTGCTGCTTTTATGTCCCGGCGCCACTTCGGGCGCTCGAGCACTCCTGCTTGCTCTTGAACCTTCCCGGTGCGGAAATGCCATGTGTTTGGCGACCTTCGAAGTCAGGAGGCACCTGCAACCACCTCCAACAAGCCGAGCGCGAGCCGGCATTCTAGGGCATGCCAACCAACTTGCCAGGTTGGGACGTTGGGATGTTGGATAGTCCCGGAGTCCCGCTTGGAGCAGCCAGTTGTGCAAGGGTGAAAGGGCCGAGAACCAGCCACCCGACGGGCTGCACAAGCCAAGGAGATAAATTTGAGAGCAGGGTTCCTTGTTTCTCCCCCAATATACACTTAAACCCGGTGGTTGGTGTCCAAAGGGAAACCGGTTGAAGTCTATCTAGCAAAAAAGTGGATACCCCTGCCTGAAAGTATTCTTGCTGGTGCGATAAGTAGGGAATGAGAAATGGACTGACCCCAAACAAAAACCATCCCTTGCTGGTGGTTTCCCTTTTTCGGGCGCCAATTCCTGGGCTCATTCAACCACATTCCCTACCTATCGCACCAGCAAGATAGAGTTGAAACCAGGGGTGGTTGAAATCCCTTCAAAGGGACCCCCCTGGGTTTAAGTCTATCTTGGCAGTAAAGAAGCGGGTGCGGCTCAAAATGAAACGATCGGAGGGGCAAGCCGCAGGTTTTGGTCCATGTTTTCACTTACCAGGGCAAGCCATTTTGGAAAAAAACGATTTTTGAGCCACTGCCAAGTGGAGATCCCTGCCTGAAAGCATTGGAACAGCCTGGGCCTTGCGGCAGGGCATCCAGCTGGACGATTCCAACGCCCCGCCGCGGCCCGACGCGGCCCCGCCGAGCTTGGCTAAACGAACAACGGCGCGCCTTTGGAGCTTCCGGTTCCAGGTCGTTTTATGGGGATATACTGAGGTCCTGACCTCATTGGCCTTTTGAGCTTCGGAGTTCCGAAGCCCACCGAGCTCGTCGCTTCAGGGCCAAGCAGTCGACTTTTGATTTGGGGAAGTCCAGCGACACCGGCAATGAGTCAATGAGGTAAGGATGGAGATTCGAAGCTCATCGCGTGACCAGTTCGGCCATTGGTTCTCTACGGATTGAAGCGGTCAGCCGTGGTCGCCGGGTTCTTTGGCCCCGGGGTTTGGATGATTCCCTTGCAGTTCAACCAAAGCAAACAGCGCATGAAGCAAGCAACTCTACTTCTTGGCTTTTTCTGCGGACTTTGATTTTTTTTGGTTGAAACAGGTCAGATTGTTTCCATGGGACAGAGGGGTCAACAGCAACCAAGGTTTTTGCATGATGCCTTGATGCGTATTTTAAAGGTCAGAAATCCCTATATTTCCCTTGGGGTTTTAAACATCGCGTTTTTTGGCCCATGAAGGGTGAATGGTCCCTTTGTGGGGGTGATGTTCTTAGGCGGAAACAACTCGGGAGCCCTGAAGGTCGCTGGACGTGAGTTGTCGCAATTAGTGTCGCTTTCGACCGCGCGAGTCGCATCGCGTCGCGCCAGGGGATCCCCATTACCTTTGGGCGCTTTGATGTGACGCGCCTTGTCAGGAAGTAGAGGCCGTGCTGGACGTCAACTTGACGTCACTGCAGATTTCATGCTACCCAGGATAAGTCATGTTGTTCTGGTACGGTCAGGGAGCAACCAGCCGAAGTTGGATCGTTGTTTCCATGGACATTCCTGACGCAGGGAACCCGCCGGGTCCCGGCATTGAATCCGAACCGAGGGACGCAGATGCGATCGACGTCTTCAACGCGCTCGCCGACACCAAAGGGGAGGCCGCACTGATCCAATGGCCGGCGTGGTTCACATGGGATTGACTGTGTAGAACATGTCGGGGATGCTCCAAGGCTTTAGGCTTTGTGAAGGTCGGGCTGGTTGAGCTTGGTAACCCGCTCTGATCCTGTTCATGACTGCTTGGCTGATTGCTTGGATGGATGGATAGATCATTTGTTGTTTGTTTGGTTTATTTAATTGAGCTGTGTCTTGCTTCATTTGTTGGTTGTGAGGTGGGTTGGTTGGCTGTCAGAACCCGTATGCTTTTGCTATTGCTGTAGGTTGGATCGTGGTGGTCGCCGTTTCCTTTTTTGCCTCAGCAGTGTTTTGTGGTCTCGGTTTTCTCTGTGCCCCAAGCAGGAGTCAAAAGGTGCCCCCTGCCTCTCAGAGTGGCCAGGCTGAGTGGGATGAGCTGCTGATGAATGGCCCCGGCGTGGTGCCGCGCGGCAAAGAAGTGTGGACTTCCAACGGGCTTGACAGCGGGCACAGGCGCATGTTCTACAAGCTCTTCTCGGAACATGCTCTCGCTTCGATATTTTGGTCTCAAGTGCCTGCTCCGTTTCCTGCGCGTGGGTCACTGTACCCCAAGCGCTGGACCTGTGTTCATTTCCCAAGACTTACTTTAGTTGGGTCGACGTCGCATGATGTTGTCTCAAATTGGTGAATTCTCTTTGGCTCAGGCTGTGTCAAGCTGCGAACTCTGGCGTGGGGAAATGCAGTTCGTTGACAGGGCCCAAAAAGGCGGAGCCTCAGGGGCCCTGGACAACACCCGGCGGTGGAATAGTGAGTACCACTTAAACCCGGCTAGGTGAAGGCTGCTAAGTGATGCCAGCGATAAACGGGTGTCTTCGCCGCCATTTCGATTCTTGAAGCATGGTTCTGTGGATCGACTAGGTTTTGATGATGACTCAAGGGTCAAGATGTTTCACCAAGATACGGACTGGTCCTAGTCCCTTTCCCTTACCAACCCATTCGTACCAGCTACTTTTGACCCGCACCATTGGTCACTTCAGAATCACTTCAGAACCAGACCAAACCCACCACCCCCACTTCTCGGTAGCACCCCCCCCACCCCCCACCACCCACCCCCCACCACCCACCCCCCACCACCCACCCCCCACCACCCACCCCCCACCCCCCACCCCCCACCCCACCCCCACCCCACCACCCACCCCCACCCCCCCCCCCACCCCCACCCCCCACCACCCCCCACCCCCACCCCCCACCAGACCCACCCCCTACCCCCGCCCCTGGGCGCCTCGGCCTCGCGCTGCCCCGCCCCCGCCCGAGGTACCTGGGGGACTTCGTCAAGGAGCGCGCCCGCGGCGCCGCGGTGGCCTTCGTGGCGCGGCCCTTCCCGGACCGCCAGGCGACGCGGGGCGCGGGACTCCCCCCCCGGGATGGTTTTGGCTTCCCCTTTCTTGGGTGGTGGGACCCGTTTTTTATTATTTATTTTTATTATTATTATTATTATTATTATGTTTTTGTATTTTGCGTTTTTGGGCGGTTTGACTCTTTTTTTGGGTTTTCTCCCCCTTTTGGGTGGTTTGACCCGGGGTTTTGTCCCCGCGTTTTTGGGTGGTTTGGCCCCACTTGAAAGCAGAAAGGACACGCCCCTAGAGCCCAAGCCACCAAGCCACCAAGCCACACAAGTCGAAGGGGCCCCTATGTTTCTGGCAAATCCAAAATGTGGATGGACAACAAATCCTGTAGGTGGGATGGATGAAACCCTATACCGGGCTAAGCAGTCCAGGGTTGCCAATATGTCCTGGCTTGGACTTGGATTTGATGTGTTTTGAGGGTCCAAGCACCAAGCCACAAAACCAAACCACCAGTTAGAAGTTGGGAAGCTGATCGGGGCCTCGGTTGGTTGGGTTTGGGCCGGCTTCTCTTCTGTGAGAAGGCCATGTGGAGGGGGTCACATACACTTAGAGCCAAAATCAAAACCCGGGTAGATGAAGATGAAGGTAAGGGACAATCCCAGGCATAAATAGCTGCGGATATCCGCCTTCGTAATTCTTTACATGGTTCTGGGTAGACAATTTTCATACCTGGTTTTGATTATGACTCGACTTCATGCTCATTCGCAGGACACGGGCATCTTCTGTGTGAGAAGGGAGTTTCATCTTGGCTTTTCTTATTTTGGCGTTGGGCAGTGTTTTCGATGTATCGGATGTTGTTTGCACTGTTCTGTTTAGAGTATTTGCTTGAACTTGCTGGTATTGTCTGGTACCCTTCGACGTGTTTTGGACATTTCCGGAAAATACTTTTCAGTGGCATGTACGTGTTTCAAATGTTGCAGCATGTGGATGCCGTGCAAATGAACATGAACATTCCATACATGTCAGCAATCATTTGGTGTTTTTCCTCCAAATCGGCATGTACCCCGAACAACGTTTTCTTTTGGACAGTGCCCCACCATTGAACGACTGCAGCTTGCTAAGCTTGAGGAACTTGTGCACATATGGTCACACATTTGCACATTGACTTACACATTTTCAGGTGCCTAAACAGATGTATGTACAAACCACATTGCAGCCCATGTACCTGGCTTGGCCATGTTTCGAGGTCTTTCAGTGGATGGTGTACAACTCCACCCCGGACTTTGACGACATGCGCCCCGGCAAGTTGCGGATCAAGCGGCATGCGCTTGAGACCCTGCGAAGCGATGCCAAAAAGAGAGATGTCTTGGGAAAGGTCGAGGGATCAAATTAGCTAGCTGGTGGTTGGAAGGGAGCAAAGCAGCCGCGGGTATCCAAGTTTGCTTTTTGGAGGAAGCCTTTGGGAGCCGATCGGAGTTCTGGTTAGGGACATGGTTTGTGTTGCAACAGAAGCTATTCACTCCAAGGAGCTACCTGATGCTTCCAAGAGATCCACAGCACATGACTCCCCATCAAGCCAGCGACAGTTCTTCTTTCGCGGCTCAGAATCAGAAAGGCACGTCGCCCGTGCGAGGTGGGTTGCGTACTCCACGCGTCGGAATGATGTGCTGTACAAAATGGGCTACGAGAAAGAAGGCGGGCGGGGCCGGAAGGTCTCCGAAAGGGTCGCCGGAAGGGTATTGGAAGAGAACTACGGAGATTGATAAGCCACTTTGCATGCTTAAACTATACAGCACATTGGTCATGACAGCCTCCAACCGGCTAGAAGCTGCAAGGCAAGAGAAGTTGCGCTTGCGCTGTGACTCAAACCTTCTCAAGCACTGTCTCATTTGAGTGGTGCCTGCACGCCTTTGGGCGGGGAGGGTGCGGGGGTTGAGAACTGTAGGTTGGCCGGCGGTGCAAGCCCAAAATTGCCTGGGGTGGCCTTGGCAGCATTGCAGAGGTACTTTTTTCCGCTGCACTTCGTGCACTGCACCATTGCAAGGTCACCGAAACCCGGGCTCATCAGTGTTTGAAACCAATGGAAAGCGCAGCGTGAGAACTGGCCTGTCTCAGATGCGGTGTTTGTTTGCTGACTTTACTTTCGGAGTGCGAGGGGAACAGACTTAAACCCGGATAGAACATCAGACCTCACACATGTGAATTACTTTTCCTCGCTTTGTTGGCAGCTGCTCACTATGCCGAAACTTGCTGGGACAAAAGGAAGCCGATGCTGATCAGCATGACTTTCAAGTCTTTGCTCCATGCGTGGGGCATGGGGCAGACACTCTGAGGGCCTATCATGTTGTAGCGCTACCACAGGGCGGATGCCATGCAACTCGACCGCAGAAAGCAAGGTGAACACGCCAGCGGCTTTGGCGCTTGGCAGACAACTGGCGCCTGATGTCGTTGTTGGCAAGATCGGGGAACCCCCAAATTTGTTTTTCTTTGGTTGTCCTTTCAGCCAACACCAAAACTGGGTACCCTCAAAAGAGACACGGTCACGTAATGTGGTTTGCTGGCCTTGAAGCGGTATGCCATTTGTTCGGATCCTCTCTCGCAGGTGGTTTGGAGCCCGGCGGTTTGGTGGTGAATGGGGTGGTTTTCATTTACCCTCAAGAACCATGGGTTCAAGTCCAAATCCAAATCACCAATCCAAGCCAACTGAGGGTCGCCTGAAGTGTTTGGAGAGTTTGGTCATGAGGTTGTGTTCTCCTCGATGGTGAACTCACATCCCCCGTGGCCGATCACTGCCCAGCCGCTTGGCACGCAGTGCAAACTGGGAAATTCCCATTCGCCGGCCAACCTCCCTCCCTGCAAACTGCAAACTTCCTATATGAGCTAGGATGTGTCACGAGCTTGCCTCAGCTTTTGCCGCGTGTCGGGCAAGGTTTGTCTTTAACATTGCCTGGACCAAGACCGCCGAGTACATCCAGGCCGGCCCCTAGCGGACGTTGCCCTCAGCCTCGCTTGCAAGCAGGACCCCCACAACGAGCATTTTCTTGATAAAGGGCGTAGCTTTTGAAGGGCATTGATTCACACAAAGCAGACTCGCAAGTCTTTTGCGAGATCCGTACACACAGATATGAATCTATAGGAGCATTCTCTGCTTTCGCAAGTAATTGGGCCAGTGATTCTACAATGCTGTGGTATATATTTCTTTCTTTTTTTTGCGAGCTAACTGCGGTCCAATCAATTTGGCTGACTTTTCCTTTACACGCACCTCCGAATTGTGCCACCCCCCTGGACTGCCCACAAGGCTCCTCGGGCATGTTCCCACTCTTTGTTTCGCTCTTCTTGCCGCAATTCAGCCAAAAACTTCTCTCAACTCTTCTCTCCGCTCTTCTCACAGCCCTTCTTCTCGCCTCTTTGCTCAGCCCGTCTCCCCACCAGTGGCTCCTTCGCTCCCGTTCCTTTGCTATGCTCTTCGCTGCCGTCCCTAGGCTTAAAACGTAGGGGTGTTTCGCTCGGCCGATAATTCTTCGGTTGTGGGCCAAAACCTAAGGTGCCCAAAATGGGGATGGATGGCTACCACTCCACTCTTGTCTTTTTGGAAGGCTTTCTGGGTGTTCACCGGGGCACCGGGGTTCTGACCTTTGCTCTTCTCGTTGTGTTCCTCCCCTGTCAACCCCTGAGTCCCTGGAGCTTATGGACGATGTCGCAGGGAGCTGCAGCGAACGCCAGCCTCTTCCGGTGTGTCCCAAATTCGGAACCCAAACAAAGAGTTAGAATTGGCTTTGGCTTCAGTTTAAAGCCACTCCCAAAGCTACATCCTCAAAAAACCGAAGCACCCACACAAGTTCCAGGCCCATTCCATGCCAGGCCCTGCGGAGACGAGCCCAGCTCCTAAAGAAGAGGCCAGCTTGGCGTGGCACGATGCGCGCGGAGCTGGTTAATTTGGAATCCGTGGTGTGGTGAGCTCCTTGCAGCGGGCTGGTAGTGCATGAAGATGAAATAGTCAAATACTTGCATGTGCCATTTACTTGCAGTGGGCTTGGCATCCCCTTGGTTGTCACTTGTCGGGGTGTTCGCTGTACGCAAACCTTTGGCAGATCCCGGTCAGGCGCATGGCCTCTGGCGGAAAGAAGGTGCTGGCCTCTCGGCCGGGTGACCGGGTGAGGTTTGCGCCTCCAGGCTCCAAAGCGCTGATTGGAGGGAAGCTCTTTTTGGTGTCCTTGTTGGTTGATTTGGTTGAAAAATCGAGGGCGGTTCCTGGTTTAGCTAGTGGTTCAACCAACTAGGGCCATCTATGTTCCCAAAAAGGACACCGATGGGGAAGCTGATCATCGGGGTGTGGGGGATGTCCCTTAGGTGTGGCAAAGGGGCAACATAGAATTCACATTTGCGGCGTTGAACTTTTTTGTCTGGATGTGAGGTTGGGTTGTTGTGCCGTTCCTTGTTCTGGGCTTGGCAGTGTTGGAAGCGGTTTGGATAGGTTTGGTGCTTGCTTTCTCCCTGACTGGCTTGGCAGAGCCGGATAGCTGGGCAAGATAGGACTTGCCCAACAACTGGGCGCGAAGGCTCGGCCGTTGGAGGCCTTGTCCTCAAAGATCATCGCCAAGGCCCCAAAACGGCCCGAAAACAGCTGCGAAACAGCTCCAAGCAGTCCCGAATCTGCCTGCCAACCCGCCGCAATACCGCCATCCCAGCTGCTCGCCAGCACAAACTTCACCAACAGGGGGGGAAGACGCGTGCAACTGAAATGTGGCAGGGTTTCATTTCCATGCCCTTGGACATGTTTAACCTGGCGAGCATGGCTGGCAAGCTGGCAAGGAATTTCCTTTGGACTAACCCAAAGTGTTTTCGCCCAGGCGGATGTTGCTGGTGAGCCAGTGAGAACGAATCATCCTGGTCCCCGAGTCCGACAGTAGTCATCCAACGCTGCGGTCCTCTGGTCTCAGCTAGGCAACTGGGGAGCCGTTCTTGGGTTTGCGGGCTTTCGCACGCGTAGGCAGGGCGAAGGTTTTGCCCTGGTGGTTCGTGTTTTTGCGGCGAGTCGGTTTTGTTTCTTCTTTGCTTTCCAAGGGCCCCCAGCTAGGTGCCCTTTTACCATGTTTTTGGGGAGAGTTCCCCTACTAAAATAGACTAGGGGGAAAGAAAAGGGCACCCTTTTTCTACCCTCTCTACTGTTGGACTTGGTTTCGGAACTAGTTTGGGAACTGGGAAGTACGGGTCCCGGCATCTGCCGGGCCGGACCTTTGGGAGGCGCTGATTCTTAGGGGTAAGCTCGGCAAGCCAAGAACTGAGGCTGTGCCGCATTGGCTGGTCTTTGACCATTTGGAGCCAAACAAGGCGGGTGCCTGACGTGCTTGGGCAGTTGCGTTGCCAAATGAGGGAGGGTAAATGGCTGTGAGGCCTAGAGAGGTGCCAAGTTTATCATATCAAGGCGGCCTGTACGGAAGAGCTGTGGTTGAGGTGCCCTAGGTTAAGTTTTGACCATCCTGAGCGCCTTGGTTGCAAAAGGGTTCAGACCCCATGGAGAAGAGACAGCCCTAAGATGTCCAGCGAGATGGCCAAGGCGTGAAATGGTTCCAGAGGCTTAAGAGTCAAGAGGCTGACCTGTCAGAACCACATGCGTAGTTCATTTGGGTTTTCCCTTGTGAGCGCTTTGGGCCGTTCCTTCTTGTCCCAACAAGTCAGCCACTGCTCAGTGGGCGGGTGTCAACCCCTTGTCCACCTTCCCCCAGCGGCAAGATGTGAGCGGTTTTGATGGGCGATGGAATCGGCTACTCCGTGGCAGACGGAGTCGGGTGACTTGTTTGTGACGGACAGCGAGAAGGTCATCCCGCCGTACACAGGCCACGTTCTGCGATTTGGGAGTTAGCTGGCTCTGACGGGTTGTCGGGTGTTTGCAACAGGTTGCCAGCCGCTTGGTCCAGCTTGGCTTACCTCTCAAACCATGTGATTGGCCGAAGTGGAAGGTTCGTAGGTGTCCTTTTGATCGCTTAGTTTGGTCATCTACTTTCAACCAAAAGGTCACCCTATGGGAAGGTTCGGCTGTGTGAGGATGTCGTTTTCCCGATGGCCCTACGGACACGCCCAAAAGCGCACACTCGCACACACACCCACACACAGATGAGGCACCGTTACTTTGTGGCTGTTTGGTTGGATCTTTGGACTTCAACTTTTGGTTGAAACAGCGGATTTTCCAAATTGGACACATACACGCAAACACAAAAGTTTGGCAGAGGGGTCGACAGCAACCAAGGTTACATGTTTGAAGTGCTGTAGTGAAGGAGCTATGCTGCGTGAGTTGATCCATGCTAGCCACAACCTCTGAAGGAAAAACAGCATGCAGCCGTGCAAGCGCTTAGACTGTGCTTTGTTTTTTGGCAGGGCCAGACTACATAGCAGCCTCTTGGCTTCAATTCGGAGAAGCCAGCTGGCGATGTTGGCGGCCATGGCCATGTTGTCAGGAGCTGTGAAACATGCAAGCAGTTTGGCCTGTCCAACCAGAGCTTGGCAGCCAAGGACGTGATTCAGGCAGACTTGTTGAGGGACTTGATGCGTCTGCGAGGGCCAACTGGCCCAGCCTTCCCCCTCCTCTTGGTATGCGCGACTTGGCGGCAGAGAACGCGCCCAATTGTGTAGCAAGGCTGCCCTGAGAGCTGTGCGCTGCACGCTTGGCTCGTTGATAATGGAGCTTTCGCGTGCCTCCGAGTTCAAAATAGCGCATACATCGCAGTATCCTGGGCGTTGACATGGTTGGTGTTTGTCACTAAGCCTCGCGGGGAACATGTGTTGTAAGTTCTAACTTCTGCCATCATTAGCATATCAAATCCAGTTCACCTATCGACCATCATGCATGATTCTTTATTCATAGCTCTTTGCTGCTATTTGGCAACTCTTTGGACTTTCCCTTTGGCCCACGAAAAGTTTCAAATCCTTTGGCAGAGGCACTCAACAGCACTCCAGGGGTTTTGCTGCGTCCAAAAGCGGGCTTGTTGCTATCTGGTCCCCTTGCTATGTGGTCCATTGGCCCGTATGGTTCGGAGCTAGGCGCTGAAGGTTAAGCAGGGCTCCTTGAAAGAAACTCATTTTGCCCACCCATTTGAAACATGTGGCTTTTTCAACACCAAAATAAAGGGAAAACCACTATTTACAAGTTGCAATGTTCAGGTGTATAATATCAGGATCCCTGTTAAGGACTTTTACTCGATCCAGACGCACTTTCCGCCAACGTCTCTGCCGGGAAAGCGAAAAAAGTGCGTCCAAAGTTGATCGGACGCCGAAGCAAGACCAACGGTCGAAATGAGAAAGTTAATGCAAAGTTTGCGCAGAAACACAACGCAACAGTTGAACCTCGCCAGAATTCCAGGAAGTCTCATCAGGACATTTCGTCGAAACGGAAAGCATTGCTGGACCTGCGGGAAGCTTCACAGGAGCGGGATGCCGCACACGTGTCGCCTCGATCGATGCTGGATCCTCTGGGAAAGCAGTCTGGCAGCCACGCAGCTTCAGATTCCGGCCGATCGGAACCTTCCGATGGGCCAGACCTGTCCAACGGTTCGACAAAGTGCCACAAGAACTTGTACTGATTTCCAGTCGTGCTCCACTTGTGGCAGGTTTGTGTATCCCTTTTGCCCCAGAAGGCAAGGTAAGGACATTCTCATGTGAGTTCTCGAAATATCTTCACCCCCCCAACCTCCGCCCCCCCCCCCCACCCCACTCTTGAGGCGCTGGCGTTTTGTGCCCTCGCCTCCCTCGCGGTTTTGCGCCGACGGCAAGGCCGGCTGAATGTCGTCGAATTCAATACATGCGTCACTGTGAAAAAAAATGTGGTTGGTCGGCTCTATTGCAATTCCTTGAGGCATCGGACGTGAGCGTAGTCGTTAGATCACGTCATTGCTAGTCATGGTTGTTTGTTTGTTTTGCTTGCTTGCTTGCTTGTTTGTTTGTTTGTTTGTTCGTCTGTCTGTTTGTCTGTCTGTCTGTCTGTCTGCCTTCCTTCCCTCCTTCCTTCCTTCCCTTATGTATTTCTTGCCTGGCCGTTGCTCGTTTTGTTTGGTTTGTTTGTTTGCATTTTTGTTTGTTTGTGTGCTAGTTTTCGTTTCGTGTTGTTTTGTGTTCGCTTGTGCCTGAGCTTGGCAAAGTCACAGGCTCCCCGAACCATTGTTGCTGGTTAGTCACATCCCGTTGCCTCGCGACAGGGGCCATGTATGTAGAGCTCGAGCAAGGAATGAGCCCGGCGCTGCTATGAGAGATGCCTCCACTTTTGCCGGTTGCGCGATGCCCGCAATCCGCACTCTTTGGACTTCGAGATCCGCGCGTGTAAGGGTGCCGCCTCGGAAACTGAGGGAATTCGCCATCCCAAGCCCTCGTGGAGTTGAAGCCTCCCGAGCTTATCCCTAATTCAGATCGAATGTGGCTTCATCACTGCATGAGCCCTACGTGAGTCCGGCAATCGAGTGACGGGCCAGAGAGTTCTGCTTCAGATCCCGGTTCCAACGTAAGCGAGGCGATAGACAGCAACGCATATTCACGTGTCTCTCAGTTGCATTGCCAGACTTAGACTCTGCGCATTGCATGCGGGCTCAAAAGGACCCAGCCGCCAACTTTGGGTTCTGACTGGGGTCCGCGCAGTTTGGCCATCGAACCTGTTTTTGGAGCGCAAATCTGGGAGACAGGGCCTTGCCCAGCGCAGAACCTATAGATTGGATTTTCCTGTTTCGATGCCTGCAAGTTTCACGAAGTGGGAAAGGTACTCTAGAACTCGGTTTGTTTGTACGTTTTGCAGATTTCACCTGTTTTCCCTCTGTTGTTCAATCTTTCGTAGTCTTTTAGTACGCTTGTCATATCCTGGGTGGATCCACAGATTCGCTGCATCCAAACCGTTTTCTAGATCTACAAAGTGACCCTGGGTCCCTTCAGAAGTCCAGGCGCGCGTGCAGCAAACCCTTTTTGGCTTCACATACCACGGCCAGAACTGGCAGAAGTGCACCCGAAGCGAGTGCCCTGCCCGGCCCTTTGAACGAGCCAGGCAGCAAGCAAACTGGGCAAGGAGGTGGGCACGTAGAGTCGTAGAGTCTTTACACAAACATCTTGGCAGTTGCCTGCTAGATTTGAGCTGCCAAAAACTACGCCACTACGCACTTCGCCTGCTTTGACCAGCATGGTCAACCGCTTTCCAGCGACGTGGGGCAGTCTATCTTTACCAGCATCCCCCGACAAGGCGTTTTTGTGCTGACCCCGAGGCTTCCGGTCTAGGCTCTTCCAAGGTAGTCCTTGATCCTCGGGTTACGTGAAAAAGGCCCCCTTAGTTGGTTGTACAAAAAGGGGTTCTGGCTTCCTTCGGCTTGGCCATGCCGCCAGTGTTCTCAGAATTCACAACGGCTCGACGTACCAGGTCCCCCGGTAGTGCCCTCGATTCCTCTCCCCTTTGTTGGTTGGGAGGGTTCCCCTAAATAGACTACAGAAAACTACAGAAGCACATCGGGTATCCTTATTCTAACCTCTCCACTGGAGGACCTAGCATACGACAAATTCCCGACGATCGCGCCACTCATGCGGACGTCGGCCGACGGATGGGCCGACTGGGGGTGCTGCCCCTGGCTCTTCGGCGCGTCCAGCCGCTCTCCGGCCCTTCGTTTTGCGCCGGACGCGAGCCCGAAGGATGCGGAGGCGAGGAAATGGATGGGCGCGACTTGTGGTACCCCGGGTTTGGTTGGTCTTAAAGGGAGGCCAAACGGCCACCACGCATTTTTTGGGGTCCCCTAAAAAGGGACACACCGGGTGTTTGTGTGTTTTCAGTGAACCTTTTGCTGCGGTGGTTTGCAAGGGACACTAAAGGATCATTGGCATTTTGGGGTCCCTATCTTGCGACAATGCCGCATCATGAACTATTCCACACTACGCTTGGGTGTCTCCTTGGTGCAGCACGTGTGAACGTCAACAAGTACGGCATGTGACATGTGCGAAACTTTTCGGGTTGCTTTCGTGACCGCTTCGCACACACACACACACACACTTGCAGTTTCGGGAGCTGCATGCTGAAAATGACTCTTGCACAGTTCGATTGCATTTTTTCAACCGAGTCAGCCCCACATTATCAACCTTTTTCCAGCACCTGCTTAAGTTAAGTCGCCTCAGACGACAAGCTGTCCATGTGGGGCACTTGTTGTTTTTGGTTCTGCAAGTTGACAAGCCATATTGTGGCAATCTGTCCAATTCATGTTTGCCGTGTTTGCCCATCGCTCGAACGTTTTCATGGCGATCACATGCCTGAGCCCTCTGATCAGGTTCATGAAGTCGCGGCTACGCCGGAGAGCCTTCCGCTACCTGACCAAAGTTGGGGCCCTTGGTGCACAGAGTGGAAGTAAACGAGTTTGAAACACAGATTTCCCCAGGAAACTACGAGCAACATGTCATATTCCAAGATTTCCAAGGCTGGAGCCCCTGTTGCTTTAGCAAGTACCGTGCCACAATGCTATTTCCTTTACCTGCAAGGCTCTGGAAGGCTCGTCTCCCTTTTGCCGCTCACTCCTTGCTGCGCTCTTCTCCGCAGTCTTCGCCCCGCTGTTCCCCTCTCGGCGTCTCTCCACCCTTTGCTCCGCCCTCTGCTCCGCTCTTTGCTCCAATCGTTTCTCCCCTCTCTTCCCCGCTCGGGAAACTTATGTCGTGCCATGTGTCACACACATTGTTCCTTGAAGTCGCCTTTCGCCCGGAGAAAGGAACAGTACGCAAGGCTGTTCCAGTTCTTTGGCCATTGCTCGTTTCTTCTCTTTTGGCTCCTTCCTAGCCAACACCTAGAAGTCAGCGGAACCTACCTGTCGACCTCAGACGCTGAAGATTCTCCTTTCGTAAGCAAGGCAAGGGGCTGAAATGCCCAAAGATTGATTTTGTCAATTGTGTGGGCAAAAAACCTGCTAGAAGCCACGAACCCGAATGCAGAGAAGAAAGCGGACTCTTGTCACATCTCGCATCGCGACTCTAGTCACGTTTCTACAGTCACGTCTCTGGTCACGTCTCTAGTCACGCCTTTGGTTACGTCATTTGTCACGTCTCTCGTAGCAACTCTGGCCATGTCTCTCGTCATGATTTCGTCAAACCTTTCATCATGTGTCTAGCGCACCTCTCATCACGACTGTGTCACGTCTCCCATCACGTCTTTCTTGGCGACTCCTGTCATGTCTCTTGTCATGTGAGTCGTCACCCCTTGGCGCGTCTCTTTTCACGCGTCTCTTGTCACATCTCTCGTCACGTCTCTGGTCCATCTCGTCACGTCTCTCTTCACACGTCTCTTATGACATTTATCGCCACGTAGAGTATCTGGCTATGCCTCTTTTTGTGTATAGTCACGTCTCTGGTGGCGTCTCGAGCCACGTCTCTGGTCATGTCCCTTCAGGTTTCTCGTGACAGCGTCTCTTGTCACGTCTCTCTTTTTTTCCTGGTCACGTCTCTTGGTCACGCCTTTGGTCACGTCCTTTGTCGCGTCTCACGTAACAACGTTTCTTGTCATATCTTTCATCACGTGTCTCGACGCGCCTCGTCGAGACTACGTAGCATCTTTCTTGGAGACGTCTCCTGTCACGTGCGTCGTCGCCCCTCGCGTCACATCTCTGGTCACGTTTCTTGTCACGTCTTTGGTCACATCCTTTGTCACGTCCTTCGCGACAACTCTGGTCCCGTCTCTCGTCATAACTTTTATCACGTCTCTCATCATGTGTCTCGACGCGCCTCACGTCACGACTCCGTCACATCTCCCTGTCTTTCGTGGTCTTTGTCATGTTTCTAGCCACGACCCTACTCGCGTTTCTCGAGTCACGTGTTTCGTCACGACTTCGCAATCTTAAAAGGTGCTCCGCGCCACAGCAAGATCGATTCGACCCACCGAAAGTGCGCAGAGGGTTCGCTCAAAATGCGCACCGCGCCACAGCGAGAGCGACTCGACCCACCCAAAGTGCGCAGAGGGTTCACGTTGCAATCTCAAAATGTGAGCCGCGCCACAACGAGAGCGAACCCACCCAAAGCGCGCAAAGGGTTCGCTTTGCGATCTCAAAATGTGCACCGCGCCACAGCGAGACCGAGACCCACCCAAAGTCCGCAGAAGGTTCACTTTGCAATCTCCAAATGCGCACCACGCCATAGCGAGAGCGACTCGACCCATCAAAGTGCTGCGCCTGCCACGAAACCTGCACGCAAGCTGGAAAGTACTGCGCCTGCGACGAACTCTGCACGAAAAGCTCTAAAGCGCTGCGCCTGCCACGAAATCTGCACGCAAAGCTCTAAAGTGCTGCGCCTGTCACGAAAAATCACGTTACAGTGACATGCAAAGCGCTCAAAATGATGCGCCTGCCACGAAATCGGAATTTGACACTCTCGCATCGCACGCGGAAAGCTAGCACGGGACTGTAGAGCCAGAATGATTTCGAATGGATTTGCAACGCGAACATGAACCTTGACAAAGCACCGCGCCTGCACAGCAAAACGACGTCTGACATGCTAAGAGCTACGATTCCCGCACAGGGGCACGAAAAATGACACGTTTCGTCATCTAAATGGTACGTGATTCGCTTTCCCCACTGGAACTGCGACCGCGACACTCGCGAACACATACGAACGCTTGCAAACGCTTGCAAACGCTTAGGGGCGTAAGTTCAACGACTTCTGGTCACGTCCTAACCCCCAGACCCCCGACCTCTAAACGGGAACCCTTCTGCTGCGCATTCGGGAAAACTTGCAAAGAATCAATTATTTCGACCCCCCCTTTGCGTGGGGCTCGAATTTTTCCCCCCAGTGCTTCATGCATTGCCAAGGGAGGTGCTGAAGTAGCAACGGGTTCGCTGGCAGAACTCGACATGATTTCTTCAATTTGACAAAGACAAATTTTCCCACCTCCTTGGGTCATGGCAGGGCATTATCCGATTTTTCCGAAAATTGTTCGAAATATTTTGAGGGCAGGGCATTATCTGAAGCTTTACGTTTCTTATCCAAATTTTCCGAGAAGATTCCCAGGGAGTTCTTCATGGACATTGCGGACGACCACCCGGATCAGGAAGCTGCAAGCCGCGACCTGGTGCACGCCAACTTTTGCGCCTTTCAGGAAGAGAATCCTGGCGGCACGAAGTCTTGGAAAGGGGGGAGTCCGCAGTGCCAATTGGGGCCGGTCTTTTAGTTTGAAGGAGCATTTGGGTGGGTGTTCAAGGGATACCAAAAGGAACAAAGCCACAATTTCGGAGGTTCCCCCGAAGAAGAAGACACCAAAAGTCGCAATTGCAGGTGGCAAGCCTGCGGTGTTTGACGGATCAACGCGCCCTAGCCCCTTCGGGCGCCCAGATCCAATTTCTCATGAGACCGCAGCCTTGTTGGAGGGTTCGTGTCCTGTTACCCTGTGGGGGTTGCCAGACATTGCGCGGACATCGCCAGCTTTCTGATCATCCAAATGAGAATGGGCGTGTCTTTTTTGAGGGTACCCCTTGCTTGGACACCAGCCATTTGTATTTTATGTTTGTTTGTTGCTGTTGTTTTCTTTTTTCGGGGTGGGGTCCGCTTGAAAAAAGACAGACTCATATTGTTACCCTGGGCATAAGCCAGACATGGAGTTGTAGGGATCCGACTGCGACAGCTGGTTCCCGTCACAGGGTCCAAGCGAAGGGTCTGAGCGGGTTCATGGTTCACCGAAGACAAAGCCTGGATCAGGAGTTGACTTGCGCGATAGGTGCTGGTTGCAAAAAAGCCCCTGCAAGCCCTTTGGCCAACAACGCCACTGGAAGCTGGACATCCCGGATACAAATTTCACGCAACGGAGGGCTTCCAGGGGCCAGACGCCCCGCTAGTTCAAAGGGGCCCTTTGGTCCTGCCGCACGCGCCCTTTGGATCAGATCTGGGAGAAACTCAGTCATGGAAGGGTCGAAAGGTTATTACTTGTCCATCCCTCCATTGAGGGGACGTCCGAAAAGGCGCGACCGGACCCTAAAAACCCCTTCCAGGCCAACAAAGCTCGCCGCCGGGATTTGGATGATGATGATGATGATGATGATGATGATGATGATGATGATGATGATGATGATGATGATGATGATGATGATGATGATGATGATGATGATGATGATGATGATGATGATGATGAACATGCTGGTGGAAACGATGAACATGATGGTGGAAACGATGACGACAATGAACATGAAAATGATGACGATGAACATGATGGTGGAAACGATGACGACAATGAAAATGATGATGATGCACGTGGCGATGGAAATGATAAGGAAAATAACGGCTGTGAGGAACCTTCTCTTCGCGCCCCCGGCGCCGCTGCCCCTGCCGGTGCTGGTGGTCACCGGCTTCTTGGGCAGCGGCAAGACCACGCTGCTGAAGCAGCCCCGCGGCGGAGGTTGAGACCGGGGTGCCCGTAGGCCGGCTAAGCCCAGGGGCTAAGCCCAGGGGCATAGGTGTCTTTTTAGGTGAGTCTGGCTAGGAATGGATGGGTTCCACTGAAATTAGATGGGTTTTATGCCCCATTTGCCAGAGCCACCTATTTTTCCCAAAGGCCACCTATGCCCAGGGGCTTCCCATGAGTCTAAGGGCGTCGGTTAGCCTTTGAATGGGCTTTGAAAGGGAAACCAAGAGGACATAAATCACCCATAAGCCTCCAGTGCCTTGGCCGCCGGAAGAATGGAAGTCTGAAAATAGCGCTTGTGGATTCCCATATTTTTTGTTGGCCTTGGCCTTTAGTTTCAAGCAAGTTGTGTTTTCCAATGCTCGACTGCCCCTCTCCGCAGTAGGTCATGGCGAAGTGAAGTGCTCTGTGGAAGATCGTTCCCAGGTTTCTCCTCACCTTCCGCTGGGGGGCAAAAATGCCCTCCAAAACATTTCTTGTCAACACTTCCTTGCTAGTGCAAGGAACATACCCTTTGAGGGGCTGCGCCGATGTCAGCAGTTCCACCGAGCCCAGGCTGATGCAGCGGCGGGGTAACCTTCGTGTGGCTTGTGTGGCCCATGACCTCGCTGGTGCCAACGTGGACGGCGCTTTCCTTGCCAGCGAGCGAGGCTGGGACGGCGGGGACAACGAAAGAGATGTCGGGAGAGAAAGACCCATCGCCGCAGGATTTTCTTGCTGCCGCCGAGCCCTTGCAAGAGAGAGCGAGACAGACAGAGGGGGAGCAAGACAGGGACGGAGAGAGAGAATCAAAGAAAAACATCAGGGGGCCATTCGCTGCAGAGGGTCAGACCTTAGGCAGGTTCGACGCTTGTGGTGCTGCGTTTGGCGCGAGGCTTGGGCAAGGGCGAGTACCTGTTCCAACAGGCGATGGCGGCGTGCCGGGATGGCGACATTGCGGCTCTGTCCGGCTGCGCTACCCAGCTGAGGGTCTGAGGGCCTGAAAGTCAGGTGTCAGCGGCCTCGGGCCAAGGGGATGGAAGACCCACAGGGCTCGAACTTCGATGTGTCTAGTGCTTGTCACAGGCTTGTCATGCAGGAAACATTCTAGGGGACACTTCCATTTCCATTCTTTCCAGGGATCCTTCTTTCCAGAAAAGCCATCAGAACCCCAGGGAGAAACAGCTGGCTTTTGAAAAGGACCATGGTTGAAAAGAATGGGGAATGAACCCCTAGGCTCTTCCATCATGTTGTTGGCATGTGTTATTCAGGTGTTTTGGTTCTCTTCATGTTAAGCCGCCAACAAAAACATGAAAAGAATGAACCCCTAACATGCTGGGAAGATCTCAGGCTTGTTGCCCTGGCTTCGACGATGCGCTGGCCGCCGCGGTGAGAAGTGCGTTGACACAAGGCACGTCGAGCATCATTGACGCAGTCGCAAGGTGCCACACATCACTGGGGCAACATAAAAGCGCCTGAGAAAGCTTCTTGTTTCAAGTTGGTTTTTTTTTCCCACAGCTGAAAGCTTTGGGGTCTCAGCCCAGATAGGCTCCGGGGTGTTCCGGGGGCGGCCCTGAGGTAAGGTTCCGCGAGGGTTCTACCAGGGTTCCACCGCATGCGGTTGGGGATATCACCTGATCATTTTTTTCTCAGGGTTTGATCAGTTGGGGCCGGAAGGTGCTGATACCGGACTGTTGGATTACCTGGTGCTGGAGACCAGTGGCGCTGCGGACCCCCGGCGCATGGTTGCCGCCCTGGAGGCTGTGCAGATGAAAATGTCGCCGCGTTGAGGGCGACAGATGCAGAGATGCGGTGGTTTGGTGGACATGCAGCGTTCCAGCATTGCCATGCGGAGAGGCCCCTTCCATTGCGGTCTTCTTTGGTACGAAGATGTATTGCTTCAGGATTGCAGTCGTGCGCCATGCTTGTTGTGGCATGTTGCCTCTTGTTGTTTTTTCAATTGGCACATGTTGTCTCTTTGGCTTGTGTGCGGTTTACGTTATCATGTTCGTGTTGCTGTGTGGTTGTTTTTGGACTTTGATTGTCTACATGGATGCTGGGAAGGGCCTCACAGGTACACCCGCGACTATGTGGTTTGAACGACATCTTTCCTTGGCTTCCGAAGCACGTTGCCTTTTTTGGGGGGCTGGGTGGGGCTTGGCAGCGCATGAAAACCTGGCATGGGCCAAAGCTACGGTCGCACAAGGCAGCAACCGGCCCAACGTTGAATAAGATAGTCTGAGTGCGTGACACCGTGAAACATGACTTCCAATACTAGATCCCAGTAGTGCCCTTTTGACCCTTTTTTGGGGGAGGGTTCCCCTACTAAAATGGACTGCTGAAAAATGAAAAAGGGTACCCTTATTCTAACCTCTCTACTGGAGGACCTAGAATACATGGAAGTTTGGGTGGTTGGGGGCATTCCTTTAGATGCAGCAGAACAATGGAGCAGGTCCCGGCTGATCGGCCAGCCGAAGCCTCATTCATGGACCTCGTTGGGTTTCCCCGTTCTTTCTGGTGGACCATTTCTTAGAAGCCCCCCCCAAAACGGTGGTTGTCCTTTTGTTTTTTTTTTGAAACCGCACCCTCAAAACCTCCCCCCGCCCAAAGGTGGAGCCACGGTGATGGCTTGATCAAATGTTAGGCCAGAAGCCCACAATGCCAAGAATCCTACACAAAAAACACACACACACACACGTCCTTTTAACAGGTCTTAAACCCTTAACTCTGGTAAAGCCCCCCCGACCCCTCTCGTCCTCACAAAAAAAAAAAAGACACACCCCGAGGCCCGAGCCCATTTTTGTCAGACTGCGGGTGGCCGTTTGCCTGGCGGTTCCGTTCGGCCCCTGGGGCCCTGGGCCCCCTAGCCCCCGAGGTCCGCTTCGGGCCGTTGGCCCGCGTGCGCTTGGACCGCGTGGCGACGCTGGTCGACGCGCCCTGGCCGGGGGCGCGGTGAGCCTGGTGCGATGCTTCCAGTTTCTTTTCTTTTTTTCAGAGGAAAAACAAAGAAACATATTTTGCCCTGTTGGTTTTAGAAGGACTCTATCACTATTGGACATGTGTGATTTTTTCTTGGGCTTAAGCAAATGGAAGGATGGGGAACGACGGGTTTGGCAATGAATCGTTTTGGGATTCCCTTAAAGGTAGTTATAGGATGGATGGTTTATAAGGGTAAAATTCCATTTCTCATTCCCTGAGAACCGGCAAGGCAGGGTGAGTGTGCAACATGTTTTTTTGGTCGACCAAGCCGTGTTGGCCTTGTGCCGCGTGCCCCTTTTATCCGGTCGCCGTAAGGGGATGCACAGGGAGCCTGCTTCAGCCAGGTTCTTCCTGAAGAGCTTGTCCCCCCCCTGCCAACCACTGCCAATACTGGGGGTATGCTCCCCAGTCGTGATACCTCTTCAGGCCCTGGACTTTTTGGGGGCTTTCAAGAGGGACAAATTGCTTGGCTTTTAAAAACAAATCCTCGGAAGGGGTTCTGACAGACCATAGGATCCGATTTTGGGGGAGATTTAAAGAGGGATGGCGGCTTGGCGTTTTACCTTGCAAAAAATCTGACAGATCATACGAGCCCATTTTTTGGCTGTACCTCGCAGCGACCTGCTCCTGAGGCGGAGCGCTTCATAGCTGATGCCAGCGCTTGGGAGGACGCTTCCCAGGTGGATGGGGAGCGAAAAAGGAGCCTGGTTTTTTGTCGCAGGTCTGGACCATTTCAGTTTGGTTTTCCCCAAACACTTTGGCTTGATTTCTTCAGGGCTCTCCACTCTACTGTTGGGTTGGATCCTTCGATTTGTTTTATTTTACTTTTTTCGGATTCCCCTCATATAATTTTTTGGGGATTCCCCTCATACTTCCTTTTAACCCGCCAAAAGGTTTACACTTCTTGCCGGGGGTTTACTAACCGCACCGTCCACAGGGGAAGCGAGTGATCCGTTCAGGCGACTGGAGAGGAGCTGCTGCAGCTGGCGCAGCTCTCGGTGGCGGACCTGGTGCTGCTGAACAAGGCGTCGTCGCTTTTTGTTTTTTGTTTCTTCCCCAGCTAGGTGCCCCTTTTTTGATGGGGGAGGGTTGTCGTTTTTTGTTTCTTGTTTTGTTTCTTCTCTGAGAGTCTCTAGGTCCCCAGCTAGGTGGCCCCCTTTTTTGATGGGGGAGGGTTCCCCTAGTAAAATAGATAAAGGAATTAAGAAGTTGGTAGCAACGTATTCTAACCTCTCTACTGGAGGACCTAGTTCGTCTCTTTGCCTCCCTTCGTTTTTGTTTCGTTCATGTTCCCTTCTTGGTTTTCAGGGGTCCGGCAAACCTATGTTCCCAGCCATTTGCTAAAAAGAAAGCCTGGCCAATAAGGCCACTAAGCCACGAAGCCAATGAAGGTGAAACTTTCTGCCGAGCTGGCAACAGATCAGCAACCTGTTTTGGAGGGGGTGGTTTTACCCACCCCCCCCGCCACCAATTAACGCGGAACACGACAGAGAAGTCCTGCAATTTTTGCTTTTAAAGGAACCGGGCCCCTGTCAGGTTCCACGTTAATTGGTGAGAGGGTGTGTGTGTGTGTTTTTCCTCAAGTTGATTTTGAGGGTATCGATTTCACCGATTTCACTACGAGACTAGACCGAGTCAGGAAACAAACGACCGTGTCGAGGAAACATGAGTCAAGAAATGGACAGACAGGGGCAAGGCAAGAAACAACTGGAGGCAAGTCAAGAATGAAAAAGTGATAAATACTTAGATCACAACAGCAAGCGTGAGTCAGGAAACGCGGAAACGTGAGTCAGGAAACGCGATTTGGAAATGATGTGGTCAGTGCCTTTGCATTGGCGGCGATGCTGGGGTGCAAGTCTGGCACTGCGTGCTTTGCGCTCTGACGCGTGCTTCGCGCATCGTTCCTTGATATCGTCATGGCTCAGATCAAGGAACAACCTGGCGTGCAAAGCTGTTCATTTCACTAATGGACATTGATATGTTCTTATGCCTTTAACGATCTTTAACGGGGCGAACAAGCAAATGGAAGTGTTTGAGACCAGACGGGACGGACGCTTTGGCCCGAGTCTCACGAAAAGCACATGTCGTTCATTCATTCATTCATTCACTCCGGTTCAAGCGCGCGCACAGCAACAAGGCGGTGCGGCACGCAGCGGTCTCATGTCCTCAAAGGTAGACCTGATTCGCCTATTGGCAGTGAACGCCAAGATCAAATGATGCACCTGTACAAGATGGTGTTCCGTAAGGCGAAGATGAAGGCCTTTGACAGGCATATGAATTCCAATGGGTGCGAGATGCACCAGAGTCACACTAGGCACGGGAACGTTCAAAACTCGCATCGCTGCGCGGAATCCACGTTGCAGATAGCGCACACAGGATGCTAGGGTCATGCCATGGTGCCGGGATGAACCATTGTCCCATCTCTCTTGTAAACCAGGTGCAGGTACCGGCAAAGGCGCGAAGTTGGCCTGTTTAACCAAAAAGGCCAGCTCAATCCAACTAACGGCAGCAAGTCCCGCACCATCTGTATCGATCGAAAGCAACCACTGCATCAACGTCAAGAAGAAGGGCGGGACAAAGGGTGCCATAAGCGGGCTTTCCTGCAAAAGGCTGCTCCAGGCAATTGGTAAATCGTCCAACCAGTAAGAATCATGAAGCCAGGGGATCACGCATTGTGGGGGCGATTCCGTCTCAAGCTCAGGTTCCAACTCCAGTGGGGTGGCCAGCAACTGTGCGCGTGCCGTTGCAACATCCACATGCAGGGAAACAAGTGCCTGAATGTCCTGACAAACTTGCAGGTCATGCTGATGGTACTGCGAGTGGCTCTGCAATAACTGCATATTGCGTTGCCAGGCTGCCTGCTTAGCCAAAAGGTCGACACGGTTGTTGTGATCGACGATCCAATCCGAAACCGGGTTGAGGCTGACCGTCGAATCTCCACGCGCCGCAACATGCTGTATCTGAATCGCCGCCTCATGAACCGACAAGGCATTCTCAATATCGGCCCAAAGGTCGCAGTTTGCTCCGGGTTCGTGAGGTTCCAAACTGTGAAGCAAAGCGTTGACCCCCAAGGCCACATAGGCAGAGTCTGTCCAAATGGAAATCGGTGAGGCGATAGCATGCACGTTTGACCAGCGCAATACCTGTAGCACAGCCGTGAGTTCCGCTCGACTGATAGTTTGAGGGTGGCCAATCAGTGGGCCCGCCAAATCAAAGTTGGTGAAGGCCAACGAAGCCGCCCATCCTGCCAGTGCCAACATCGGGTGATGGGGCTGGTAACAGGAACCATCGGTGAAGAAGTCGAGGTGGGGGGGAAGAACAGAAAGGTGTGCGTGCAAGGCGGTCTGAGGCTGAATCCAGAGCTGATGGAGCAGCTGCTGGTGAAAGGGATTGGCTGGACAGAGTAGATGCTCTGTCAGGCTGGCACGAAGAGGGGCCAGCGTAGCCCAGCACAAGGTTTTGGACTGATCCAAGTCCAGCTGCCAGAGGTCCATGAAGACAGCTTGGGTGACAATGCCATGGATTAAGTCTCCAATCGAGTGCCCCAGGAGGGCGAAGTTGTCCACAAAGGATGTGGCCAAGATCTTGGGCGAGAAGTGGTGCATGTAGTGATGATAGGCCAGATCCACGACGATCATAGCCACACAGCTGAGAGCACAGCCCTGAGGATATCCTGTCGTTGATTGCAGAGGCTCCCCAATCTGGCCATGCCACGTCCAACGGCGACTCATACTGGTTTGCAAGGCAAGTGGTCAGTGCCCCAGAAGCGGGGTTTCGTGCTGGAGACTGTGCTCAATCAGGGCCTGGGTTGTGAGCCAAAGCTCTCCAGGCCCGATTGGGCAGGAAGCCCATGGCCATGAAAGGGACCATAAGCGCAAGGCGACGGGTGGCCTGCTTGGCGCGCAAGGAGCTCCAGTTGCGCTGGATCAGTGAGGTGATGACCACTGGTCGGAAGTCTTGAACCATGGTGGCGGTAGTTGTCTTGGGTATGCCAACTGCGTGGCCCTCCAAGAGCTGTTGTGGCCAAGGTTGGCCTTGTTCAACGTCAGTGATGAGTTGAATCAAGGTGGCTTGTTGTGTGGGAGGCATGTTGCGTAAGTCCTGGAAGTCGTAGCCGTCAGGACCTCGAGCCGATCGGCTGGTGAAGCGCTTGAGACCATATTGCCATTGGGTAAGGTCTAAGGGTTCATAGATCCATGGACTTCGTGGCATGTAAACCTCTGTGAAGGAGATGATGCGTCGTAGTTGGGCCTCGGGTAGTTGCTGAATTCTGGACCAGCGTTGTGACCAGTAGGAAGAGAGCTCCTCAAAGATTTCTGAGGGGGTCGTGAGCTCTATGTCGACCTGAATGTCCTGGCCCGGGGTGAGCACGTGGTCCGCATCGACCCGCAAGTGGAAGGGGCCCTCTATGACAGCAGGTGCAGGCTGGTCGTCAAAGGTGAAAGAGGTGTGGCGATGGATGTCATGCTCCGTGTGAACCTCTTGGCCATCCTCACTGACCGCAAGGATCGTGGTATTCACCGACTTCCTCAGTGAAAGTGCAGCGCCCGGGACAGGGTCTTTGATGCGAGAAAACAGCAACCGGCGCCGTTGCTGCAAGAGCAGGCTCAGTGCGTGGGACCGTTGCTGGTAGCACCAATTAAGTTTCAAACTGACGGAAGTTGAACTCAAAGTCAGCTTGGATGGGCAGCAAGGTTTGGAGATCAGGGGTCTCCGAGGGAAGAACGGTGGGAGAGCCCTGAAGCTGCTGAGGCCGGGAGAGCCACCATTGGGAGAAGTCTGGATTGAAGCCTTTGGCCTTCATGATGGAGGTCCACGTGTTGGATCGGTGGAGGGTCGCCTCCAAGTGAGTTTTGCCTCCCTGCGTGGCGTGGACCAAGTGCTGGATGCGTTTGAGCTGTTGGTACCAGCGAATGACGTTGCGATTGACCAGATCTGAGCGTAGTTGGGGATCACCGGGACGGCCTGGTCTGGGAAGTGGTGCTGTGTTGAGACGCAGCTCCGGTTGAAGACGCTGCGCTCTACCCCGACATGCGTTGGGGAGCATATGTGGAGCCTCGGTGATGTGGGTGCTGAGGCTCTCTTCAAAATGCTTGCCTATCTCGCTGTAGCGAGATGTGGTGTCAGTTGAGGTGGTCGGGGTGTCCAAAGCACAGGAGTCGTGCCAAGTCGCCTTGTTGACCGAGTCCCAAGGAACAAAGTTGGGAAGAGGCCAATGCCAGACCTGATGAGCGAGATCCGGCACCTTGATGGTGGCGAACAAGGGAGCATGACCGGAGCCTTCCCAGGCGCTGTTGACGCTGGTGATCATGTGGGCCAGTTCCGGGCTGACAAAGATTTTGTCGATGAAGGTAGAGCCATTGAAGGTGGGCCTTGGAGCACGTCCCCAAAGGTGGAAGGCAAGTTCCTGGATCTCCACCCAGCCAGCTTGGCGCCAAAGGTCAAGATCAGCAAGTTGGTCGTCACTGTGATTGTAATCCCCCGCCACAAATCTAGGTGAGGTGGGAGAGCAGGTCGTTGGTCCACTGTTTGGCCTTCGGCCAAGTAGGTGACTGAGGCCAGGCATACAGATTGGCACCAAGGATACAGGTGTTGTCCACCCAGAAAGAGGAGAGCTGAACACGACCAAGTGCGAACTCCTGTTGAGGCCAAGGAAGGTTGAGTGCCCTGGCGGGAGTGCTGGAGCACTGGAGAACTCCAGACCATGTGCCCGCTGTCTGGGAACCAGCACGAAGCGGGACGGGAGCCCCCGGGAGAAGGCGAAGCTGACGATTGGATGCATGTGCTTTGCTGCGCATCCGCCGAGAGAAGTCCTGGATGCCGATCGTGGACAAATGGGTTTGAGAGCAATTCCAAATCCGCGGGGGGAGTGATAGGAGGAGATCCTCCTTACCAAGTGCACCGTTGCAGTTCCAGGTGCCCAGAGAAAGAGTAGATGGGCCAGGATGTAAGGCCTCACCATAGCGTAACGTAGGAGGTCCCTGCCAAGGACCAGATGGGTCAAAGAGGCCCAAGGGGTTGTGTGACTCAGAAAAGAAAGTGGGCTCGAGAGAGCCAGAAATGAACGGGTCGCGGCCGGAAGGACCAATGGGGCTGGCACCCGCAGCCAAAGTGCCCCAGAATAGACCCGACAGCCACAAAAACCGGCGTAGCAAAGGGCGTTGAGGCAGGGAGCCGGAGGCCTGCCTTCGCCTGAGGAGTCAAGAGGAGCGAAGCTTCTTGTTGAGCAGGGCTTCAATGTTGCCGAAGCCCCTGCTCATCTCCTCGCGGAGCTCTGAGTTGACCGCCTGCAAGGTGGTGCTGTTCTGTGTGACCGCCTGCTCCAAATTGGAGAGCTGGGTCTGGTGCGAGGCGACCTGGTTGGCCACCATGCGCAGCTTGTGATTGGCCTCTTGGTTGGACTGAGCCGCGTCCTGGAACCAAGATTCGAACTTGTGGTTCTGCTCCTTGATTTCCCGCATATCGACTTCCAATTTGCTGAGCCGATCCTCTGAATCGTCGGCCATGTGTTGATCTAAGTGGGCAGCGGATTGCTGGTGCAGGGAGCTCTGGACCTGTTTGAGCTCCAGGGAGAGCTGCTGCCATTTGCCGGAAGGAGCGGCTGTAGAGGAATGTTGTGCCGCCGCAGCCCATGGGTCCTCTCCCAACGCCCATGGGTCCTGAGCAAGACCCGGAGGGGCATGGATTTGGGAGCGGAGAAGCTGGTTCGTACGAGTGGAAGCCAGCAGAGGTGCCGCTGTGGGCGGGGCTTTGGCCGCATGGGAGAAGGAGACCAGCACGTCACCTGTAGACCCCGGGGGGTTTTGAGACCGCTCCGACTTGCCAGCAGAGTCCATGACTGTCGCTGCGCACAGGCTGTAATGGCTTGGCCCGCCATTTCCATTGGTTGAGAGCCTTCTGAAGACCGGCTCTCGAAAGGCAGGGGGTACAGGTGATAGATTTCCTGGATGTCGAGCGGAACAAAGTCCTCACCTGGTCGTAGTAGTTTGTGCGCATCGGGCAGGTCCGTTGCAAGGAATCGTAACCCAATCTTGGAGCCGAAGCGGGCCAGACCAAGCGCGCCTTTGACTGACGATCGCTTACACAGGATTTCAGCCAGGGAAGCACCAGGAAGCCATGTGACTCCAAAGCGTGGGTCCGGCGAGCGATCGTCCCTGGGTTCAATGAAGATGCCAGAGGCCCCAGAGACTGACAAGAGCACCGTGCAGGCCGATTTGGGGATCCTTGCCATGATGGACCATGTGAGGAGTGACCTCGTCGACAGGAGGGTGGTACATCGGGCATTGGTCTCCGCAGCTGTTGAGACGGCACGTGCGGAAGAGTGGTTGGATCACCTGTAGCTGCCGAACTGGACTCTTGACGAAGGCTTGCCAATCGCCGGGCCAGGTATCCTTGTACACCACAATCCGGACTGATTCGGTAGGTGTATGCTCTACTTGAAGGCTGGCATTCAAGTGTCTGGTGATTTGACCCGTGCCGAGCTGGATGAGTGAGCCACTGACGAGGACAGACTCCTTCGAAGTGCAGTGGTGTGCCGGAAAGCGAAGATCCACAATCGGCAGATTGCCTCGGGCATCGGTTGGCACCGGTGTTGTGGAGAGAAGGGCCAGCGGCTTTGTGGCAATGGCCTTGTCCTGTTGAAGGAAGGGGAGTGCCTCTTGCACGGTGCAAAAGGCAATGCCTTGCTGGTCCGGACCGACCTGCCTGATGCGGTGGACCCATCTGAACACTTGAAAGTGTCCGGGACGAGGGCAGGTCAGGAAGAACTAGAGCCGGCATGTTCCTGCCTGATTTGTCTGGCTTGGTCTTCCGGTTTGAGGGCTGAATCTTGAACTGCGACTGTGCTGAGACGCGTATTTTCGCCGCCAATTCGTCGTGCTTGATCCACATGAAGGCCACCTTCGAGGCAACTGCCTTGAGATGGGCCCATGGATTCTTACCTGCGAGGGCTTGTGTGATCTCTGCCGGAGGCAAGTGTCGGAGTGCATGGTCGATCCTCTCCTCAACCTTGTCATCAGGAACACCCTTATCCACCAGGAGAGTGGAGAGTGATTGCCGAGCCGGACTTGTGAGTGGTCCACAGCCTGAGGGACCAAAGCTGTGGTAGGAGTGGAGCACTGTTGTCAGGCCAATGGGGTCCACAGTGAAGCCCGAGCCATCAAGGCCGAGTGCTGCAGCCAGATGAGCAAGCAAGATGCACCCACAATGGCGTTGGCAGATGCCAGAAGCGTGCCAGCAGGGAGACAAGCTGAGTAGCTTCCGAAAGTGGCGCAGATAAAAGGCCGTCGTAACAGAGAGCCTCAAGCTGGTTGTCATCCAGTCGTAGATGGAGCAAGCACCAGTGGCCCTGTGCCGCAAGTGGAATGAGACATTCCCTGGGCGGACTGGGCGGGATGGTTTCCATGCCAGCATCGTGCAGCACAGCATGGGCTGTCCAGGGATTGACGAGGAGAGGATTCCGTGGCGAGCAATCCTGCAGAAGGAGGGAGATTGGCCAGATGTGGGAAGCAGCAAGGCCCGGTTGGTGGGTGGTCAACGGACAGGTGGTGGTAGTGGGCTGCCCAGAGTTAATGGGATCGTAGAGGAGGAAGGTTGCTGGCCACAAACGCTGGTCAGCTGGTTGCTTGCTGCCATCCAGTGCGTAGATCGGGATGCCACAGTGCCACTGTGGGAAATCCCAAAGTAGCTGGAAGAGAAAGGTGCCGTGAGGATTTGAACGCAGAGCGACGAGGGCGGTTGTGGCAAACTGGCCTTCTTGGTCTGCAGGACCAGGTTGTAAGGCCCATGCCTGCCCTGCGCATGGAGGATGGCCTCCTGTGAGAGCGTGTGTTGGCCATCAATGATTTTTGGGATTGTCCCCCAGGGTCGCCACTTGTGCTCTGCCTGTAGCAGGTCTGCAAGTTGTAGAAGCCCAGTCCTTAAGGTAGGAATGGGTGTGCCTTCGTGGTGGATGCTGATATGCGCATCATCATGTGATGCCTGCAGAGGCCAGAGGTGGTGGCGATCGAAGAGCAGGTGCTGCTTGAAATCCCTGAGGGCATGCTCAGGGGAGGGTAGTACGCTCCTGCCAGGAGCTTCGTTGACAGTGACCCAGAGTGCCTGCAAGGGTGATGCAACCTGTCCCAGCAAGCAGAGGCTGAGGAAGAGGTCATCACACAGGCGAAGTTGGGCTGGTATGGCCAAGAGAAGAGCCATCTCCTTTGGGTGCAGGTACCTGAGTTGATCCAATGCTTGAGAAAGGACTAAGATGCCTCGAAGACCGCCGGTGCGAAGCCTGTGCAGTGTGAAGGGACCTGTGCGACAACCACAGGGGCAGGCCGAGAAGGCACAGCCGTAGGAGTGGAGGAGCGTGGGGCAGAGGCCCGTAAGCACAAGTTGCCGTTGATCACTGCCGAAATCGGGGTCATGGAAACATTGCAAAGCAAACTCCGAGGGGACCAAGCTAGTTTCCACATCACGGGTCCAAGAGGGCCATTCAGGGATGGCCGATCGAACCTGTTGAAATTCTTCACCAATTGGCCAAGGAACCAACAGGGAGAGATCCAGCCGGAGGGGTGCCAAAACCACCCACCACCTAGAACGGCGAGAAGGCCACTGGTGGTGCAAATGCAAAACAACGTCCTTGATCTGAATGCTCATTGCTGATGCTAATTGCAAGAGTGCGCTCTGTACTCCTGTGCAAAGTTTAGCACCTGGGACACATTCAAGGATGAGACCACGCGCCTGCATGCAGTAAGCACTTCTGAGAATACCCAAAAAGGCCAAGCTGCGACTGTCTGACATGGCACGTTCATCGCTCTGTGTGGAAAAAGGCTGGCAAGGAAATCCGGCAGCGAGAAAGGTCGGGAGTTCCGGGTGTACCTCGTGTAAAGCGTGAGTAGCCTTCCAGTCAGTGATGTCCATCTCCAGCACACAGGGTGAGTGATTCGCTCTCAAAACCTCACAACAGTGGCGATTCTTGTCCAACTGGGCTAGAACACGGGCGCCGAAGGGCAGGGCGCCAATGCCGATGCATCCAATGCCCGCACAAGCCTCCTTCAGATACCATCCTGTGTGGTCCTGAACTGCATGGGGAACAAATCGGGTGTGCCTATCAGGTGAAAGGGTCAGCCTGTCATCCTTCAAAACAACCGGGACGAAGTAGATCGTTGCAGTCTCACCCACAAGAAGCAGATCTTTCGGGATCCCGATTTGTTGAAGGGAGTGCATCACCAACGCGGTGTTCACCCCAAGGCCCTTGATGGCACCAGAGAATCTAAAGCCCACCGTCGGGCTGTCCAGGCAACTGATGCAATCTCCATGGGCCATGGCAAGATGAACCACCCTCTGGCGTTCGGCTGACGTAGGCTCACCAGCTGACAGGGGCCAGAGCTCGCGCCTAGCACATGTCGTTCAAAATGGGTGAGCATGTCATGGTCTCACCTGCGCCCTGTCGCGGCTGGATTTGGCCAACCTGGAGAAAATACATTTTTGTTTTTTAGTTTGTAAGGCTTTGCCACATGCTGGAGAGGTGAAGAGCGGTGAATAGCGCCAAACCCACCCCTGCGACAGGTCGACTTGATCAGCGAGGAGGCCCTGGGCCGAGCCGAAGATTTGCTGAGGCGCCTGTGCCCTCATGCGAAGGCGCGGGGCGGGGGGCGGGGGGGGGGGTCGATGCAAAGAAAAAGATGGGGAGAACTGCTTACCCAAAGAAGAATGTTTGTTTTTTCCCCTGTTGGTTTTAAAGGGAACCTATCACAACTGGACATATTTGCTGATTTTTCCAGGGGTCTTAACGAAATGGAAGTGACTTGAGCCCTGTTTCCGCATTTCCTTTCCTGCCATTGCCTCAAGCCGCTGGGAGGAGATTCGCCATTCCGCCAACATACGCTCGGCCTTCTTACGGCAGCAGCAGCACAATGAATGGGTTGCAAAATCCTGGCTGCCAACCGCATCATCATTGGGGGAGTAAATCATGTGATGCTTTGGCCGGGGAGCCCTCCAGCTAATCCATTCTGTTTTGATACAGGTTGTGAGCATCACGCCATTTCAGGAGCAATGGTGGACTGGGCACTTGGTGAATTGGGTCATTTTGAGGGTACCCCTTTTCCGTGGGTTTAGGGAAACAAAGGGAAGCACATGTTTATTTTCTTTGGGGGGAGTGCCATGAACAAAAACACGCCCATTTGGCCAGTGGAATTTGAGGGACGGGGACCCCAGAAGCACAGCGAGAGCCAATTCCTGGCGTTCGGAACGCGAAAAGCCCTGGATTTGGGAGCTGGAGCGCCGGGTGCGAAGCAGAGAGAGAGAGAGAGAGAGAGAGAGAGAGAGAGAGAGAGAGAGAGAGAGAGAGAGAGAGAGGGAGGGAGGGAGGGAGGGAGGGAGGGAGGGCCCTATCCATCAACCAGGGGTTTATTAATCCGGGGTTAACGTTAGCCAGTATTTGTCGCATCTTGTGATCTGGAGCTTGCACCCGTTTTTTCCCCGTTTTTTTCCACTTTTTCTTTTTTTACCTTGGCGATACTGGGCGGCAGTCCTTCGCAGAGGGTTGATATCCAGGACCCAATCGTTGTCTATGTGGTGAATGGAAGGGTAACTACGGCATTACATTTTTTGCGCTGCTGCGGCCAAGCTCGAAGCACCGTTGAGCACCATCACCGCATTCCTGGGGTAGACTTTGGATACATTGTACACTGTACCAGTGACTCAAAGTGAAGCAAACAATAAAATAGATATTCTATAACTGGGCCTAACTCTAATCATGATTCCATCTAGAATAATTAAGTCAGCTGCCAAAGAAAGGGAGTCCCTTCCTTACCGTTTTGCCACGTCCAAGGCGACAGCATTTTCTGGCGCTCATATTTTAGCCGGTTTGGCATTCTGCCGTGCAGGCTGGAATGAATTGTACACAATGCGTTTGTGTCTAAGTCGTGGCACCTGCAGTTGAAGCCCCACTGTAAACAAGTTGTGAGCTGATGGAGTGTTAATAGCCCCAGTTGCCGCAGGAAGTAGTTCGTAAGAGCAGTCCAGGGCCGCCAACCACCCCCCCCACAAAGACAAGTAACAGCGACAAAACAGCTGCTTACCGGACCATGTTTTTTTGTGGTTTCCCCTTCCCACCCCCCTACCGGATCCGCTGAGATTCGCGAGGTGATATCCTGCTGCCGGGGGGATGTGCCGGTTCCAGAACTCTTGGACGTGGAGGCAGCTGTATCTGTGGCAGCGGCTGTATCCCACGAGGAGCCACAAGGGAAGACCGGACAACCCATACTTTTCCTGGCGGTTCCCAGCCGTCCCCTCGTTTTTGTTTTTGTTTCCCTCCATTTTTTTGTGTGTGTGTGTGTGTGTTTTTTTTGGGGGGGGGAGGGTTGGGGTTTAGTGGGAGTTTCCCATAAGCCCCGCAAAGTTAAAAGGAGGGGTATTTATTTTAGGTGTTTTTTCCTTCTTTTTTTTTCTGGGAGTTTTTTTTTCGCTTTTGGCTTCTTGGCTTCTTGGCTTTTTGGCTTCTTGGCTTCTTGGCTTCTTGGCTTCTTGGCTTTTCGGCTTCTTGGCTTCTTGGCTTTTCGGCTTCTTGGCTTCTTGGCTTTTTGGCTTCTCAGCTTCTGGGCTTTTCGGCTTCTTGGCTTTGGCCTTTCGCATCCTCTGCATTCCCACTTCCTCTTCGGCAGGTGGCATTTTGGCTTTTGCGGCTTTTCGCTGGTGTATGCGGCTTTTGGCGGCTTTAGCTTTTTGCATCCTCTGCTTTCCCAGTTCCTGTCCGGCCTTTTGGCTTTTGCACCCTTTCCTTGGTTTTTCGATGTGCTTCCCGCATCATCAGCATCACCAGTTCCTAATGAATCATCACTTCTTCGAACATCATGGGGGGGAAGCCCCCCCCCGCAACCCACCCGCTACTGTTTAGATTGCTTGCAGAGTAATTGCACCCCTATTTGAATCAACACTTCTTCAAACATCATGGGGGGGGCTGCCGCCTCCCCCCCGCTACTTTTTGGATGTATCTTGCAGAGATTGAATTGCACCCGTAGTTCAATCATCACTTTTCGAGCGTCCAATTTCGCGAGAAAATGCTGCAAAATACGATATTTTAGGTATTCTGTGTAATCCATGTATGTCTGTATGTATGAACTTCTTCGAACATCATAGGGGAAGCCACCCCCGCCAACCCTCCCGCTGCCTTTTAAATTCTATCGCACCCTTTCTTGAGTCATTGCACCCCTACTTGAATCATCAGTTCTTCCGACATTTTGGGGGGGGCTGCCGCCCCCCCAACCCCCCCGCTACGGTTGCTACGTTTTAGACTTTTTGCAGAGATTTAATTGCACCCCTATTCAAATCATCACTTCTGCAAACAACATCATGGGGGGGGCTGCCGCCCCCCCCAACCACCCCGCTACTTTTTACTGTGTGTGTTTTTTTACAGGGATTGAAATGCCCTCCTATTTGAATCATCATTTTTTTGACCCCGTCAACCCGCCAGCTACTTTTTTGATTTTGTTACAATTTGTTGGTGATGCTAGGGATGTTGGTTGGACATGCGGGGGATGTTGAAAAACGATGCTGGGGATGTTGACGGGCTTGTGTAAAGCGCATCAATTTCGCGAGAAAATGCTGTAAAATACGACATTTTACTGGCCCGGACGAAAAACGAATCCGCACCCAAGTTAAAATCTGATGGCACGCGACCGGGACCTGAGCACACGTACAAGTGGAGCTGGCAAACCATGAACTTCATGGGGTTGTGCTCCATCAGCGACCCGAGAAGCCTGAACGTTTTCTTTGGCCAGTCAACTCAGTCGAGTTTACATACCACTTGCGAGAAGGAGATGGTGTTTATGGCATAGGATGGCACTCCAGAACCGTCCCGCAGAAGTTCTGCCAACATCTTCAGGGTCCAGAGAGCTCCCCCAGGGCTTTTTCCATTCGTTTTGGAACCTCCAAAATCGGCGATGGCTTCCATGGATACCACCAGCCAATCGATCGAGTTTTGATTTGAATAAAAAAAACAAATCCATAAATCCAGTACAGGGCCTGCGCAGAAATCACCTGGCGACGCTCTCAGCCGCTTGCTCTCCCACGCCAGGACACGCCTGCTTGCTGGCAGGCCACTTGGTGTTTCGACCGAACCTGGCCGCGACCAGCTCAGCCTCGATGAGTTTGCTGTCCTTTGATCGGTCAGTTGGTTAGACATAGGTGCGAGTTCCCTTTCTGAGGGCTGTCGTTGTTGCCAAAAAGCTCGAAGATTCTCGATTTGTGGGTGGGTGGGTGTGTGGCTGTGGATGTGTGGCTGTGGCTGTGTGGCTGTGGGGGTGTGGTGGGGGTGCGGTGGGGGTGTGGGGAGGAAGTTCTCCGGAAGTTCTGTGCCAAGCTCGCAGGTTTCGAGCAGCAGCCTGGAACCTGCACGCCACCACGAGTCCGGGCTAAGCCCCGGCCTGGGCGACGGGAAGGTCCACCATCGAGTGGTGGACACTTGGATTGATTCGGACATGAAAACTGAATGGATGTGTTTGCTTCCATTTGCTTAAGAATATGGTTGATTTTCCCCGGTTTGGTTTTAAAGGGAATCTCCACTACCGGACTTATTCTTATTTTTCCAGGGGACTTGAGCAAATGGAAGTTTTGGATGGGAGTCCTGTGTACACAAGGCCCAAAATGAACGGGCAGAAGTGCAGGCATCCATTTCGTTGCTCACGCTAGGTTGCTTGCATGGTGCATTTCGATTTCGAAATGGTTGCGAAATGGCCGCAGGGGGAACAATTGTTTGTGAATGGGTCTGTCTTTTGTTGAGGGCACCCTTTTTGGGAGTTGGTTTTAAAGGGAGACCGAAAGGCAAACCGGTTTATGTGGGTTTATCACAAAGGCGAGGCATCCAAATGGGGTCGCCGAAATCGGTCAGCAGGGCTTGGGAAGGGGCTTCGGCGGGAAAGGCGTGTGCTTGGGATGAGCAGCGTGAGGCGCATCACATCGGCATCTATGATATATATTTATATAATATATATATATACGCACAGAGCACAGAGTATGTGTATGTGCATGCTAGAAAGGTCCACATGGTACTATATTACATGAAACGATGTTTGCATAGGTGTGCATGAAAGGTTGAGTGTGCACGTGACATAGCTAGCCTGCTGTGTGGTGCTCAGCATCGAGGACGGGGTACTTCCGGCCAACATGCTAGGCGCCAAGTTCGTGTGCGAAACCTTTCCTCCCCATTGCAATGCTGCGTGCTGTTGCCGTCAGCTTGTGATCCGTGCGCCAAGGAGTGGTCGAGTCGTGACAACGGCAGCTTGGTGCAGCTGTCGAAGCTGCAGAGCCTGCTTCTTGACAAACGGCGAACCGTAGCTTTTGAAGGCGGGCGTTTTCGAATCCCATGGATACGCACTGCAACGCATCCCCTCTGGCTTTCTGGTTGACGGGGATGAATGTATCGGAGCGCTGCCCAAGCCGGCCTGTCTGGGTGCACAGCTCCCTGGAAGAGCATTGTAGATATGATTGAATCATGATACCTGCCACTTTTCTTCGGACTGGGCAGCTTGCCAATTAGGCTCGCCAGTTAGGCACATGGAAGGCAGTGGGGCCGGAGTTGATGCATGCGCCCCTTGCTTTTCGAGCATGCTAGAGGCCCCCCTTTTTGTTGTTAGCCGGTGGCCCACGGCAATGGGTCGGTGCGTCACCAATCTCGCTGGGGCCGGAAGTTTCCCAATGGTTCTTGCTAAAATGTGTTTTTGCCCGACGAGGTGCTTCCATTTGCTGAAAGAATATGTTTTGTTGTCTTTTCCTGAAAGAATCCATCAGAAATATAGTACTATTTCCAGGGTCTTGATAAACTGGAAGTACGGGTGTCCTCATGTTGCCGGTTTTAGAACACTATTTGGTTCGGTCTTTAGCTCGAGGTGTAAATCCAGGAGCTCTGTCGAGGTTGCAAGTATGAGCTTGCTATGCTTGCCCTGCTGTCTTTCAAGAGATCTTTGCTTCGATCAAGCTTGGTCGGTGAAATCTGAAAGGTACGCTTGGGATTTCCTTCGGTTTTCCCCTGTGTTTGTTTCTTTTCTGTGCAGCTTCCTTTGGCCTTTCCTTTGGTTTTCTTTTGTTCTGTTTCCATGTGTTCTGGTTTTTCCACGTTTTTTCTTTCTTTTTGGTTCCGCGGATTCCTTTGGTGTTTCGGGCCGCAGGGGGTTCCCGGGCCTCTTTGAGGCTTTCGGAGCAGCTGCCGCGCATGCGGCGCTGGCTCCGGCGTGGCAAGGGCGTCCTAAGACTGGCCGAGCCTTGGAGAGGGACGCGATAGGCCGCGGATTTGGTCAGGTGGCGCCGTGGTGGTTGGGGGGAGGGGGGGGGGAGGAATGAGTAATGAGTTAACTCCGGATGAATGAACCCCTGGTTGATTCATAGGGGGGTGTCCCCTTTTAGTGGGGGTCTATCACTTTTGGAGGGAACACCCCCCCTAATGATGGGACAGGTTTATTAGTCCTGGGTCAACAGTATGGTGGACACTTAGGGCCTTTGCAAGCTCCTTCTTTTAGGGTATTGGTTTTTCAGGGTACGGTTGCAACTCCAGGTGTCCATGGCACGGGGGGGGGGGGGAGGGGGACTCAGAGTCTTGTTTTTTTGTTTTGGCTTTTCTTGGGGGAGAGAAAAAAGCAATTCAGGATGTGGGTGTGGCTGAAAATGAAAGACTGCGGGTTTCGCAGGTTTTAGTTGTTGGTCCCATTTGCAGCTGAAAGTTTCTGGTCACAGCTGGTTGGTGGTTTGGAGCCGGGTGGCTTGGGATTTGAAGCTTCTGGCTCTTGTGGAGGGCAAATGGGAAACCCATCCACCAAACCACCGATTCGCTCCAAACCACCAGGGAAGCTGAGGATTGTTTGGATTGGCTTGGGGTTACGAAGGGATCTCCGCAGATCACTGGATTTCGATTTGAGCGGTGGTTTCCCATCGAAGCTGACACTTTTGGAGGTGCCAAAAAGGGAAATTGGAGGAACCCCTGTTGGTTTGGGGGTTTGAACCACTGGTTCCGTGTTGCCAAACCACCATCGAAGGATGCGAAGGTTGGGAAGCACATGGATTTTCTTCTGGGTCACTTTGCGGCACCCACCCACCCATATTCACCCACGTTCGCCCACTCACCCACCCACACCCACCCACCACCCACCCACCCACCACCCACCCGCCCACCACCCGCCCCACCTTCTCCAGTGTAAAAGACGGCATCCTTCCAGGGAGAGGACAAGTATGATTGGCCATATTCCAGCTGGTGGAAACAGCTACATCCGCAGCTGTCTTCGCTTTGCGAATAGGTTGAATCATCAACCCCCAGTGCTTGAATGGGATAAGAACCACATAGCCAAGATGCGAGGCGTTTTAGCTGGGCGTTTTCAATCTTCTCCATTGGGGAAGAAGACGATTGTGGCACTTTCTAGCTGGGAGCTCTTTCGTGCGCAGAAGAACTATGGTTGAGAACGGGGACTCGCATCTTTCAGAAATCCCCACCACCCCCCCCCAAAAGAAAACAAATAGGACTTGGGTCCTTGCTCCCCCGATCCCCCCCCCAAGCTCCCCCTTAAGGTAGGGGATCCTAGACTCTGCGCCCTCCTCGTTTTTTTTTTGGTGAGGAGGACCCTTCGGCCCGCTGGGAGTGGGAGCTGAGCGGCCAGCTGCGCTTCAACCTCCGCAGGTTCGAGGGAGGAGCTCCCAGCAGCCTGGCGCCGGGCTCGGAGGACTCGCCTTTGCTGAGTTCAACCCTGTGCTTAGAAAAAACGGGTTCCATAGGATGGACACTTGGAGTTTTTTTTTGGGTTTGGCAACCAAGCAACCTGGGCTTTCATAAAAACGGGTTCCATCAACGGGTACAAACAATTAAAAAAAAAATGAAAAACGGGTTCAAGGTGGGCGAGCCAGCCAGTACATTTGGAGGGTTCCATAGGATGGACACTTGCAAGGAGGGCGTGGAGGTGTTTTTTTGCAACCAAGCAACCTTTGGCCAGTGACCACGCCAGAAGCCACGTTTTGATGCATCCCCAATTGTGGCGCTCGGCTCCACGGTGAACAAAAAAAAGTTCAAGGTGGGCGACCTTTACCTTTTTTGCGGTACATGATGGAAGTTTGGGGACTTTTTGGGACCTATCCACTCAGGAAGTGAGATCCAAGAGTCAACTCGTGCGCTGCTCAGGTGCTGATCTTCTCAGACAGCTTCTCGGCACGTCACATCTGCCTTTGGTGTTTTAATGTTGACCCAGGATTAATAAACCCGTCCCATGATTGGGGGGGTGTCCCCTCCAAAAGTCATGAATCCCCACTAAAAGGAGACACCCCCTATTAATCAACCAGGGTTTATTCATCCGGGGTTAACATTAAGGGGAAGCCAACAGGAAAAAGCACCAATTCAAGGTCCAAACTTTTTTCAAGGCGGAGCCATGTGTAGCTCCGTTTGTGCAGCCAATGTGGTTGCGGCATGCTTGCGTTTGCGGGTGCTTCTTGTGTGGGTTGTTGGTGCTCACCGGATGTCACGGGCAAATGGGCGGCGGGCGATGTTCTCCGGCCTTTTTTGAGCCAGCAGCTGCGTGAGCGCTTTGTTGATGCCCAGGTTCTGGTTTTTAGCCCATGTTGATGCCCAGGTTCTGGTTTTTGGTTTTTAGCGATGCCCAAAATGTTTTTTTAAAGCAGCTTGCCTGCTTAACAGCGGGCTACTTCGCGTCGACAGGATCCTCGAATATGGGATCTTCACCCCAGGGATCGGCTGACGGGTTCCGAGCTCTTGGGTCAAGCCTTTGGGGCGAGATCTTGTAGATCGCCTGGCGGTTTTGTGTTGCCGGATGAGGTTGTTTTGGTTTTTGTTCTGCTCCGAGGTGGAGGGGTTAGGTCAGGCTTTGCATTCCTGAGGTGAGATCTCGCAGGGTTCCGTGAGGGTCACAAAAGAGCCGTATGGTGTTGAGGATGTCACCTGAGCTTCTTAGTCATGGTCCCAGAAGCTGATCACCTTTTGTTTCTGGGTAGCTGAGTACCCAAAATGGAACCCCGGTAGCTTATTTTGTCCAAAGTCCCAAGTTGTGCCCGGCCAACAGCGTCTCGTGTCCGATGTCGCGCGCGCGAAGGCGTGCCCGACGCCGTGCAGCGCGAGGCGGAGGCGGCGCTGCACGCCCTCGCGGACTGCGACGGATCGCTCGGGGAGCTTGAGGCTGAGGCGGGGGCGCGAGCGGAGCCGAGCCCGCCGCAACCGCCCCAAAGACTGAGGAGCTTCAGGAGCTTGCCTGGTTTTCCTTATTAGTTTTTTTGTTGGAGAATGAAACGTTGCATCTAATGTTGACCCCGGATTAATAAACCTCCGTTTATTAATATGGGGGTGTATTCGGTTTTAGTGGGGATTCAGACCACTTTACCCATATGAATAAACAGGGGCTTACGAATCCGGGGTCAACATTCATTTGGTCCGGCCGAAAACAGGGAGCCCGACGATCCCTACGAATGTTCTGTCGCCACAGCGCCGGGAATGGGACGGAATGGGATCCAAGGGGGCCCAATGGGTGGCTCGTTCAAGGTGCCCGTGTTTTTTGTGCAGCTTTAAAGGGACGCCCAAAGGAAAGCCAACGCCATTTTTGGGGGTCCCCCAAAGAAAGGTCAAAGGTACCCAAAATGGTTGCCCGGTACATAAAACAAATGCCTGCGGTCACCGCCTAATTTGACCCATACCCATTTCTTCCGGGCTCCCCCTCCCTCCGCCCCCCCCCCCAAAAAAAAAACAAACAAACAAAAAACAAGAATGCAACACACAAGAGGCACCTCCTCTTTTTTTTTGCGGCACTTTTTTTTTGGGGGGGGAACCCTGTTTTGAGGCTGGGTCCCCCCCAAAAAAGCCCCCCCCCCCCCAAAAAAATATATGCAAACAACAAGAGGCACCTTATTTTGCGGCACCGGGGGGGAACCCTTTTTCGGGGGGTGCGCCCCCCCCCCAAAAAAGCCCCCCAAAAAAACCCACTCAGCTCGCCCAGCTGTTCGGTCCCATTTCGAAGCATCGAGGCCTCGGAGCTGGCGAAGCTGGGCTTCGAGGTCTTGGAGGACCCCAAGAACGCCCAGCCCTGCCTGCGCTTCCGGCTCACAGGCGGTTCGTTTTTTCCTCGCGACATGGACGTAATATATATATATATATATAATATATATATATAATATATATATATATATATGTTAAAAAAAGCCTCCGGCTTCTCGGGAGGTGGGTTTGATGTTTTTTGTTTTTTTTGGGGGGGGGATGTGGCTTGCGGCGTTTGTTGTGTTGATGTTTTTGTTTTTTTTTTGTTGCTGTTTCACATTTTATTAGGTGGGAGCCGAAAGGGAGACTCCGAACATGTCTGTTTATTTGTATTGGAAAACCGTGTGAACCATGTTAATCATGCTAAGCATGTTGACCTCAAGGAAGGTAATTCACGGGTGGGCTTCCCTTTGGAACCTACTATTGCAACTCGGAGCTATGTGCCAGTGCTGTTTGATGGTACTGGTAGGCTACCGGCTACCCCTTGTGTGTTTGCGAACTGCCGTGCTACACGTTTCATGAAACTTGCCACCGGGCCTTCTGAGCTACGGGTGCAACATCAGAAAACTCAAGCATCCGACACATTTAGATGGGCAGCATAGCGCTTCGATGCGTTTTGTTCTGATCGCTGTCGCCAACTGGCCAAACAACTGCCCCCTGCCCGACTGGCCCGCGCCGTTCTTGGTAAGGTCGCAGCCAACCAACCTCCCATCTAGACCTCCAACATCCATGGTGGCATGTGATTGGACACAGTCGTCACTGACGCAAACCACCCCGACTGCAAAGGACAAAACATCAAAGCATCGTGACAAGGTGCATGACCCAAGCTTTTGATGCTGTTTGGCCCGGCGCTGTGCCAGGCCGCGACCGTTTCAAGCTGCCTGCTGATCTGGACCTGTCCGAGCCGCCTTACCGCTTCTTGCCAGGGATCGCGAAACCCTGCCACTTTAAACGCAGTCGCCAAGAGGGGAAAACCACATCTCCAAGATTCTCCATGGCATCCCCAACGCCGTTCTGCCTGTGAAGAACAGTCTGCATGACCCCTGCATGCGTGCGGTTTGGTTGGGCAGTGTGTTGCTAGTGTGTTTGTTTTGTTTGGTTTTGCTTGCTTGCTTACTTGATTGCTCGCTCTTAATGTACGGACGGGTAGGCTTGCTTGTTCGATTTGCATTGCACGGAAACAACACCTTGAAGTGGATGCAGTTGGTGGGCGCTGCAGCGCATGCAGCACTTACAACGTTTGCCTGCAACTTGCGGAAAACACTTCACACAACACATGGCACGCTGATGTAGAGCCACGTGAGCTTATAGTGGCTGAAACCACGGCTGAATTGAAGATGGGATAATCAACAGTTTGTTTTGCTGGGCCCATGTTTGTTTTGATTTTTATTTTTGAGATTATCAAAGTCAGACACCGGGGTTGCTTCCCTTCAACCTATATTCCACTTAGGGGGTGACTTCGACAATTGTCAAATCATGGGGCCACTTTTGGCATTTGTTCAGACCCTTGGCGTCTCTTGGCGCGCGCGCAATTACGCGGCGTGCTTATCGAAAAGCGAGGCATCGACCTGGACGCCATGAACGCGGAGCTGGCGCTGCTGGTGAGCTCCGAGAAGGGCCCCAACTTCCTGGGCGCAGGAGAGAAATCTGGGCGGGCGTTCGGTTCGCCGTGTGGCGCGTTTGAGGCGGCTCACCACGGGCCTGGCCCGAGCCAGGCGAGTGGAAGCTGCCAGGAGTTTGTTTGGAAGACGTGGCTCCCATTTAGAGAGGCCAAATTGGGGGAGCGTCCATGTTGGTGTGAGAAAGTGTACCCTTTTTTGCGAAGCCCCACGGAAGACTGGGCGAAGCCCCAAAGTGGGCGGTTTCCCTTCAAAAACTGGCCAATGGGTGTGGGTCTTTTTTTGAGGCTCGGAATCCAAGAAAAGGGGGTTTGGGTTCCCCTGTTTTGTCAGAGACACTTAATTGGACCTTATTGAACTCTTTCACAGTTTCTCAAGGCGTTTCTGGAATGTCGGAGTTTTTGGGCAAATCCTTGCCCATTGGAGCTGCCTTCTTCACATCAACAAATGCTTGCTTGTCCCAAGCAATGGGGTTTGGAATAGGCAACAGCATCAGGCCATAATCTCTTCCCCCTAACAATAAACCCGGACCCCCTCCCTGATCAAAAAATAGTATTTATTAAAAGGGTCGGTTCATTAAAAGGGGGAACGGATTAACGTTCATGTCATGAGTTGGAAATTCTCTGCAATGAGGTACACATGCGCAGATATGTTTCTCGCCTAGGCCCTCGAATCCTTACAAACGTGTCGATCATAGGTATCCTTTTTAGGTGAGTTTGGTGAAATATAGACGGGTTCCACTGGTTTAGACGGGGTTTATGCCCCATTTTGTAAAAAGGCCACATATGGCACTGAAGGTGCATCACCTTTTCGTTGTTTTTCTTCTCCAGCTTCATGACACATAGACCAATTCTACTTGCCAGGGAACTCCATCGATGTTTAACCAAAAGGCCACCTATGGCGTCCATGGCCTGTCTGGGCCTTGAGGGGGCTAGACGGCGTCTGTCACGCTGCCCTATGTGCCATGGCCAGACTCACCCCCTTGGGGTTGGCAGGTTTGGTCGTGGACCCCTTGGTAGGGATTTAGGGAACTCTTACTTGCGCAATTGTCAGAAAGGAGTGACAGAACGCTGCTTTGGAACATGCTCCTCTGGAAGCTCCGGACTTTGCTGTCGCTTTGCAGGAGCCGCCATTTGTCCCGCTTCTTGGCTGAGTTGGTGGACAAGTTGAGGGGATCACAACGTGAACTGAACTTCTTCAGATTCAAGCTGAGCTGACATAGCAGCTGCATGAGTCCCTTGCAGCACGTTCTGTTGCTTTGTTCATTCACGTTGCTGTGACCGATCACTTCTCCGAAAGCTGCCCAATATGTCTTCTACCAGCGCTGTTTTGAAGGACACCGTTCCTGGGCCATACGATGGACGTGTAGAAAACTTCCAGGTCTTATCTGGCGTGCGTGCAACAATAAAAGATCGGGTGCGGCGTTGAGCGAAGCTCAAGCAAGCATCTCAAGCCTTCCGCAACCTTCAGGGGTGTCTTGTTCTTGAGGGTACTTTTTTTTTCTGTGGGTTTTTGAAGGGAAACCAAAAGGACGACCGCCTCTAGGGGTCCAAGTCCTCCAAAATCCACATACCTTGGTGGCTCCCAGCCATCCCCTTAAGGGTTTTAGCCTTTTTGTGTTTAGTGGTAGTTTTTATTACCCCCTAAAAGTTAAACTTTTAGCGGGGGATCTGAGGGCAGCCGAGATATCCATGTTTCACCCGATGCCAGTGACCTCCCGTTTTCGTGGGCGTTTTGAGCTGCTCCGAACCGAAGGCCACGAAGAGGAGGGTTCTGGCGCTGCTGTGGCCGCTGGGAATGAAAGCAGATGGCGCCTTGGCTTCCGGTCAATCCGCGCAAGCCAGGGGGGGGGGGGCTTCGCGCCGGCCCAACCCACCCCCACAAAAAAAGAAGAAGAAAACATGGACAATGTGTTGAGAACCATGTTTGTGTTTGGAGCCCTGGAGCCTTGGGGGTTGGGTTGGTTTTGGGTCGGCTGTGTTGAGGCTGAGGATGATCAGAACAAGCTACCCCCAAAACCGAAGCTAATTGCAGGGGCTCAATTGGAGATACAGCCACATGGCCAGCATAAAAGGCTAGATATCCGATTCTAGTCTGGGCAGCGGTTTGGGCGCAGCCATCTTGGAGTGTGCCTTAGGTCAGGGGTTCTCCATTTCCTTTTTTTCGGACCTGCACAAGTGGCGATTGGTTCAACGGAAATCAGTCAGTTCCGTCACTCGCAAAACTTTTGAAGGGGAAATATCTGAGCCTCTAGGTACAAAGCTATGCGACCTTGAAATTCTGGGCTCTCTCTTGGCATGTTGCTAGATTCGCTTATCCCCTGGGACATAAGAAGCTTGTATCCCCTGGGACATCCGATCCCTCGGGTAGCATCCCCAAACCGAAGCTTCATTAGTTTTGGGTTCCCCTCCCCCCACGTCTGGTGGAATACTTTGCCCACCCAAAAGTTCGGCCAGATCACTGGAAGTGTTTAGGTGATGTGGCCCACTTCACTCCGTTGTTGCTCGCCACGGCGCAAAGTTTCAACTTGCCTTTTGTGGCTGCCAGGCGGTTTTGGCCAACTAATTATGCTGCTCTAAGGTCCCAACCATGTTCCCCTGGGTGGGTGCCCAGCATAATACCCGAGAAGCTCAAATAATGAATGGGTACATAAATTGTATATAGCGATATGTCTTCGTTGGGATACCAGGGCCACTTGCCCAGGGGCACATTGACATGGTTTGGCCACCACAGCATTTGCAGAAAGGATCGGCGGCATGACATTGGATCGGGATGCTTGAAGAGAATTTGCGGGCTTCAGTGGCGGTTGGGGTTTATGCCATGTCTCCTGCCTTTGCAGGCGACAGGACCGGTGTTGAACATGGCAAGCTTCTTCCTTTCAGGAGGCTGTCAGGCTGTGGCAACACATGAACCTTTGTTCCCAAGGGCCCAAGAGGATTTCTTCGCTTTCGTGGCAAAGGCATACGCCATCTTCCAACCTTTAAGACTGAACCCCCTGCAGATCTTGGGCCTGGCCCAAGCCGGAAGCCGCTTGGTTTCAAGGCGGTTCAGAGTTTTCGGGCTTGATAGACGTCGGGAGAGCTGGCCATAGGGGTTCCCCTGAAAAGAGCACGACCTAATTCTCAAAAGCCGGCTTGGAATTGTGAAGGTCTCACTTGCCCTAAGCCGACCTTTTGACCTTTGGCTTCCTCTTTTCGGTCCGTGGTTCTAGGGGTTGATCCCCCATTCTTTTCAGCCATCGTTCTTTTCAAGCACCAACCATCTCCCCAGGGTTTTTGTGGTGGTTTTCGAGAAAGATTCGGATTCCTAAAAATAATGGAAATGGAAGGTACCCCTAGAATGGTCCGTCATAGCGCAACTGAGAGGCCCCAAGCCACGAAGACCCACCCGTTTCTCGCAGGCGATCGGCCTTCAGCCTTCAGCGCTGTCTTGGCCGCGCTGCGGAGGGAGGCGGAGGGTCTGCTCACGCGGCGCTTCGGCCACGTGACGACCTGCATGTGCGGCCAGTAGCAAAAAGGGCCGCAGGATTGGGGGAGGGAGGGGAGGGAGGAGTGCGGGGTGTGGAGGATTGGGGGAAGAAGGGAGAAGGGCGGGGGTGGAGGATTGGGGGATGAAGGGAGGAGTGCGGGGTGTGGAGGATTGGGGGATGCATGTTTTTGTTTCTTCCTGTTTTTTTCCCCGGGATTTCAGCGATGCGTTAGATCATGACGAGCAAGCAGTTCAGTGGGCTGGCGTTGGTTGGGCTCGGAAGGGTTAGCGCTTAGCTTCTAGAGAGCTCACGACTATGTTGCGGGCATGGGCTTTGGTTTGGGATCGGACTCTTTGAGAAATGGAGTCTGATGACCAAGCAGTTGGCTTTTATTAAGTCACAACAAATGTGTCGTTGTTTGCGAATAATAAAACCGTTTGTTTGTAAACAAAACACCGCTGTTTGCATCCGAATGTTCGCCAGTCGCCAGGGAAGGATATGTGACCTATGAGTTCGTGGAGAGAGTGAGTCGCCCGATCCTGAGGTGGAACAAGGTGACACGGACTTTTGGGCTGAGGGGCGGTTGGGGGGGAGGAGAGGAGGAAAGGAGGAGAGGCAGAAGGGGTGCAGAGGCAAAAGCGTTCTTTCATCCCACATGAGTTCAGGTTTGTTTCATGCATATCCGCTATGCTCAAACTGGACATGGCGTCCCCTGCGATGCCATTTCTAGACCTTGGCTCAAGGCCTTTTCGGGGGTATCATTCGAGATGTGAGAGCTCAAATCCATCAGCCGTGAGCTGAAGGCAGGGCTGCTGTGCGAGAATGTTTGATTGAACGTTGCCGACGACGACATTCTGCCGATTCCACACGGCTTCGCCTTTCGCATCTTGGGCTTTCCTCCTAACATCAGCCCTGGAGCTGTGCAGAGTTCACGCCTAGGATTTGTCTGGGACTTATCCAGTAGCCGCTTGTCTTTTGCATCAAGCGATTCTACGCAATGAGTCGTAGAGCACGGGCCAACCCGATACCGTGGCAAAGGTTGTTCGAAAGGCTCCAGCTGCACAATTGGGCACCATCTCATGTCCGGTGGTTGAACACGAGCCTTGGCAAGATCAGGTGCTTGAGTGCTTGACCAAGTTAGTAAGTGGTTAGCCACCTGAGTTAGAACCCACTTATTGTGGGGTCATTAGTGGGTGATAAGCCAGGTGGCCAACCACTTACTAACTTGGCCGAACACCCAAGTAGTGACTTGCCTTCCCATACCCGGTTCATGATATCGTTATCCGGGTTCACTATTGTTTTTCTTTTCAGATGACCGGGAGGAGCAAGAAACGGGTCGGTGGAGCTTGTTTTCAGCTTTCAACATGGACGCTCCCAGGACCCCTTTGGAAGACTTGGTTCCATTTACAAAGGTCTTCTGAGAGCTTCCATTAGTCTGGGGGAGTGTAGGGGTGGTTTCCTCTACAAGGGTTCAAATCCAAGTCTAAACCACCAACCCAAAGAGAGAGGTTTTTCTGATGCGGGAGTAGTAGTAGTACTAGTAGCAGCAGCAGCAGTTGTAGTAGTAGTCGTAGGAGCTAGTAGGTAGTAGATGGTAGAAAGTTGGGCAGTGCCTCCGGAAGTTCCGTAAGTTCGCTTCCCGCATTTCGGATCCAGCCGTCTGCCATGTCCGTTGTCTCCACAGCGGAGGAAGCAGGCCTTCTGGCGCAGGAGCGGTTGCTTTTTCGGCGAGAGATTCGTTTGGAGGAGGCACCCAAAGATTCCACAGATGGGGTTGTCGTGGGGTTTTCACTGAAGCGAAGGCAGCGCACCTCCAAACCAACCCAATCCACCTAAACTCTGGCGTCATGACAGGCTCCCCAAGTGGCGCTGGCACTCGAGCAATAGAACATTGCGTAAATCAAAGCTTGTCTTATCTTTTCTTCGTTCAGCTCGTTTTTTTAAACCCCCCCAAACAGTGGTCTTCCTCTTGTCTCTTTTCCGGTAAACCAGCCAACAAAAAGAAGGGTACCCTCAAAAAAGAGGTTGACACACTGTGACGCTCCCAGCTAACTGCATGGCATGTGGAGCACTTTCGCCAGGAGCGGATTCGGGTCCTTGGAGTCGACATCGAGCGCAATGAGGGGCGGTGGCACTTCGCGATGACCTTTCCCGTCCGGGTGAAGGCGGGCCAACTTGCTAGTGCCTTCGAGATGCTGGGAATCAGCCTGAAGATCCCCTAAACCCCCTATTGATTCCCGAGGCTGTTGCGTTGGGGAGATTTCCTCGGGGAGATTCGGCCTGTCTCTCTAGCCTGCCCAAACCCCCCCCAAAAAAAAGAGAAGCAAGGGTTCCGGGGAGGCAGCAAACCAGGCATAGAACAGCTCTGACGGTTCCCGGCTTTTGCTGATTTTGACACTGCAACCGAGTCATTGCTCTGACAAGCCCTCGGCATTCATCCCAGATCTTCTCTGGGGTTGGTAAAAGCCCATGCACAAAAGGAGAAGAATTGTCACCAACATCCAAGAACCAGCCATTTGCAATCATTTGCATTTTTTTGGAAATCCCTCAGGGCAAATCTGCCACTCAAACGGCGTCCGCATGTCTTTTTCCTCTCTTTGCTCTTTTGCTCGTTGGAGTCCGCATTCTTTTTCGCTGAGGGCGAGAATGACAAAAAGTTCGATGACGCGGTGTGGAACCCGGCGCACCTCTGGAAGTCCATCTTCCCCAGCGAGATGGAGGTGGACGCGGGCCTGGAGGATGGCATGTCCTGGGAGAGCTTCACGGCCATGGTGCGGGAGAACGTGAAGACTCTCGGGTGGATTTTTTCGGGATTCGGACGGGGATTTTTTGGACCGGCCGGACTTAAACCCAGGGATTTATTGGGGGAATCAAAGGTACGGGTTTCTTGGGGTCAATGGGATGGGACCCGGATAATAGCCCAAAAAGGCCTGGTAAATGGAACGCACACGAGCGGTCCGGCGGATTCAAGTTTGACCCAAGCCCATTTGAAGGAGTGGATGAAGCTTGACAAAGTCGTGGATGAAGGAGTGGGACTCGAGCATCTTCTCACGCAAAGGGTTATGTTCCACGAGTCCACAATCATGAGCCTCTTTTTCACAGGGTCTCGAGGTTGCCGGGGATTCCTTACACCTGGTGCTCTCTTTGGTGCTGACTTGACTTCGAGTTCGTTTTTACTGTCCCACCCCCCCCAAAAAAAAAAAAAAACGGCTGCCCAAAAATAACCGAGCCTTGAGCAGGCTTTTGGTTTGGGGGTCCTCATGGCCCAAAAGGTTCACCTGAGCCACGTGCTCAAAACCGATTCGGGTAGAAGGTTGGTAAGGGCCAATCCCCTTGCCATAAATAGCTGCGGATCTCTGCCTTCTTAATCCCTGAAGCATGGTTCTCGGATTACGACCATTTTAATACCCTTCCTCCAACTAACATGGCACCTGTGGGGTATCTGGAAGATGAATTTCCTTTTGAAGGGACCGGGTCCCTGTCAGTTGCCATATGTTGCCATGCTCGTGGGAAGGAGGGCACCAGGTCTTGATTGCGAACGACTCACCTTTTCTATTTCTGGCTCCCGAGAAGACACAAACAAAAACAAACAAAAAACAAACAAAAACAAACAGAAAAAATAAGAAGAACACAAACAAAAAAGAACAAAACCGACAGATCCATCCGAGTCGAGGAATTACCTGGTGGAACTCGGCTGCGAGGCATCCGGTCGATTCGAAAGATGCGTCTTGTTTGGAGCCCCGCGGGTGTGGGATTTTGGGGCGGTTCTTCTCAAGGCATCCCATCTTGGGGTCCTTTGAAAAAGCAGACAAAAAACAAAAAACAAAAAGTCGGATGTTCCCTCCTTGCGATTTTCAGTTGCCTGAATACTCTAAATGGCACTGAGCATTGGTGTCCTTTTTAGGTGAGTTTGGTGAAATATAGATGGGTTGCACTACTGGTTTAGATGGGGTTTATGCCCCATTGACTTTGCCAAAAGGCCACCTATGGCACTGAAGGTGCATCACCTGTTTGTTTTTTTTCCAGCTTCGTGACACACAGGTAGACCAATTCTACAGCGTGGACATGGATGAAATCTTCATGGTCTTCTGCTTGCCCACAGGTCGGACCGTCGGACCGTCGGGTCAAATGTGTCCTCTGAGCCCGCGATTGTGGCAGAGAGGGTTGGGGAAGGAAGCGATGAAGCTACAAGCTACTGTGGGTGGACGAAATCCATTTCGCACCACTTTGAAGCCATGGGAAACCAGGGTTTGTTGGTATTTACAGGGGAATCATCATTCCAGGGTTTCTTGAGTGGTGCAGGATTTCGTCCATCCACAGTATGAAGCTATGTCATGGATTCTGCGTGGTCTCAAGATGTCGAGAGCAATTATCCAGAAATGTCCACCAAGAACCATGACGTCGCAGAGCAAACTCATGGCGGATTTCATGTGCTTGGAGCTTTCACGAGGCCTGTGCAACAATTCAAGGCCCTGAAGATAGGGGGTTGTTCCGGGGCTTCCTAAGCATTCCGGCCGCAGGGACCGCAATGACGGAACTGGCCATGAAGGTGGACGCGCGGGTGCGCATCTGCCCCACGGCCTATGAAAAGACGAAGAAGTTTCAGTGCCCCACGGACATCAAGCGACTCAGTTGCCCAGCGCCGCCTTTTTAGGATTTTTGGGGCTGAGGGGAAGGGTGGCCTTTCCCTCAAAACCTGCCCAAACGAAACGCCTTGCTTGGCGCGAGGCAAGGCCAGGAGTTTGTGGTCCGAGACGTTGGCATCAACCTGAAAGGTGAGACAGTGAACAATCAGTGCCCTGCCTTCGTTCGCTACACGCATCACACTCAGGGCAAGGCGCTTCTGGACTTGCGGATCCCTTTTGCGAGCCGAAGATTTTTCGGGGGTGCCGGTGCCCAGAAGTGTCGTCTAGTTTTTGGTCTAGTTTGAGTCATGGCCCCAGAAGGTGATCACCTTTTATTCCTGGGTCCCTAGGGCAAGAACCACACAAGCCCTAAGCCGGCAAAACCGAACCCTGAACTCATGCCAGAAACGGTTGGCTCATTGTTTCGTCTGGGATATCTTCAGGCTTCTGAAGGTGCTTTGCGTTTTCACCGTGTGATGTCCGCTTTGTGTTGTCAAGTGGATTTGCCCAGATTTCCCATGTCGTCGGTTGTTTTCGACTTGGGCGTGCGTGAGGTCTAGGAGCCCGACAGAAGTGGCAAACAGTCAGAAGTTCCACTCCACTTTGAAGCCTTCTTGGGATCGTTGTCCAAAAAGAAAACTGTACAAGAGTGAGTGCGCGAGACAACACACGCCCAGCAATTCGGTTCAGAGATGCTTCAGAATGATACATCAAAGAAGCATCGCCCTGGATCTTTGCAACCCCTCCGCTTGAAACAAGCGCTTTGCCGAAATCATGGTTGTTGAGAACCATTTTGCCCATTTTTGATCCTCTTGCGGTTGAGTGGTTGGAAAAATCCAACCACTTGAGTGGTAAAGTTTGATTTTTTTTGCTCCCCAAACCCCACGTCAACCAAATGAGTCCGGGGCCTTCTGGGCCTTGGGCCTTGGGCTCCTTGAGGCTGATGGATGGGCAAAAAATCAACAGGGGACCGCAGCTCTTGGCCCATGTCTCCACTTACCAGGGCACCCCATTTTGGGGGTACCCGATTTTTTTGACCAGCCATGTCAAGCGAAGTCATAGCCATCCATTCGCGCAGGCGGAGGAGCTTACAGAGACGGAGATCCTGCGGGTCTGCAAGCGGGGCTTCCGGACGTGCTTCAGCGACCAGCATTTGCTGCAGGTCTCGGAAACTCCGGGAAGAGCCGGCTTTGGCTGGGAAATCTGGGGCGGAACTTCTTGTTGGGGCGCCCGATGTTCTCGGGGTCAGATAGTTTGTGGTCAGGACACATGGCACGAAATGTGGCCGATTTGTTGTTTTTTGTGTGTCTTTTTCCTTTTTTTCCCCAACAGGTTGGTGAGGCTTGGGCTGTTTTTTCCCCAACAGCTGAAAGCTTTGGGGTCTCAGCCCAGATAGGCTCCGGGGTGGTCCGGGGCGGCCCTGAGGTAAGGTTCCACGGGTTCCACGAGGGTTCCACGAGGTTCTGCGAGGGCTGCGGGGTGGTGCGAGCACTAAAAAGAGCACCGCATGCTGTCGGGGATGTCACCTGAGCTTATTTTATTTCTTTCCGGTGATCTATGTTGATTGTGAGTAGGAGGCTGCAAAAATATGGGAAAAAGGACAGTCAGCTTTTTGCGAGCCCATACCAAGGGTTGTGAAGAAATTGGGGATCAGCTTATGCCTAGAGCTTGCCCAGCTTTTCTCATGGCTTAGTTTGGTCGCGAGGTTTCGGCAAGACATCTCATTGCAATAGGGTTGCTGGATCCCCACCCTTACTGGATCTCATTGCTGGATCCCTGAACGGGGTGTGGATGTTGGTACACATGGTACGCTTTGCCTTGCTCATCTCCAGCATCACATGCCAAGACTCGCGGAGGTGGGGGTGTGCCGGCTCTTCTTCGCAGTGCACAAGTGGGACCAGCTGATGGAGCTGTACAAGCGGGGCTGGAACGACCCCACCAGGCTGATTTACTGGCCCCACGAGGGCGCCTCGATTCGCTTGCTTAGAACCCGCCCCCCGAGAAAGACGACGAAGGCCGAAGGACCATCCTTCAGTTTTCGAGGTTCAATGCTCGTTGTGCAGGTCGGACGGTACAAGCACGTTTGCTCGTTGGAGGCGCTTTTTTCTTTGTTTGCTTCTTTTCTTCTGGGGAGAGGCCGCGGTCGTAGCTCGCCGGGTTCGCGTGGGGCGGTCGACGCTTCCGGAGCTAGATTGCAGAATTACAGGGCTCTAGGCTGTTTCGTTGCAACATGTGCGATGTTTGTTGGATGCTAGGCTCGAAAGGGTTCTTTGTTTCCGCTAGGCTTGGCCATTGGGTGGAAAGGTCGGGGGGGGGGAGGCATTTTGTGGCACTTCACTTGAGGTATCACGGATGAGGTGGCAGAGTACTTCGGCGCGCATGCAGCCACCTTCTTCCACTTCTACAACAGCTTCACCCGCTGGATGCTCTTCCCAGCTTTGGTCAGCGTCCCTCGATGGATTCGTGGGCAACCAATATGTTCATTTGCCGGGTTGGTGGCCAGGTGTTCCTAGAGGGCCAAGTATCTTTGTCTATTTGTTTCTCTCTTTCTTTGTGTTTTTCTCTCCCTTCTTTCTTTCATTCTTCTGTTGGTGTGTCTGTCTGTGTGTCTTTCTGTGTTCTACTTTTTTGGTTCTCTCTCTCTCTCTCTCTCGCTTTTGTTCTTTCCTTTTTCCTCTCCTTCTTTCTTATCCTCTCTCTCTCTCTCTCTCTTTCTCTCCCCTCTCTTTGTGTTTGTGCGCGTGTTTGCGGGCCTTTTGTGTGCCAAGAGCATATGTCAAGGCCTTGGCTTGTTTCGTGGGCGCGAGTTAGCCTTCTTGTGGGGCCGGGAAGCGCAACTTGGAGCCATGTGCATGCCCAACCGGGGAGTCACGTGCATTGACAAGGTCCACGACTCCACCACGGTGGTGATAAAAGGCGCATGATTGCGCCTATTCCTCCTTTGACACGCTGGCACATGCGAGACACGCTTTTGGAATTACATTGAGCTCCCGCAATAGCAATTGCAACAGATGTTCCTTGGTCACCCGTCATTCGAGAGGATTTGTTGCTGGAGCAGCAACTGTTCCATACTTCCACAGAATTAGTTCCCCTCTTGAACTTTGTCTTTTTTGGGGGTCCCCTTTGTTTTCCTCCAACCAGGCAAAAAATATGTTTTTCCCCAACAGCTGAAAGCTTTGGGGTCTCAGCCCAGGAAGGCTCCGGGGTGGTCCGGGGCGGCCCTGAGGTAAGGTGCCACGAGGGTTCCACCAGTTCCACTCCACGAGATGCACTGAAAAGAGCACCGCATGTTGGGGAATTCACCTGAGCTTTGCTGGGGTCCTAATTCCAGCCTGTTCCATACAGAGTTTGAGGTCATCATCACGGCGGCCCGCCCGTTTGTGCCTACTGGTGTGGCCCACTGGGTGGACAGCGGCTTTGGCACTGCGGCGGCATTCGTTCAAACCGCGCCGCGCGATTTCCCAGCCAGCGGGTTTGGGAACCAGGCCACGCATCGGGGCAAGCTTTTAGGTTTGGAGGGCTTGCGGGAGGGCCCCGAAGTCCATTCGCGAACTGCGCGGAATGCGCCAGGTTCGATTGGCAGCTTCATGCGCGCCTGCTCCTTTTGTTGGTCTAAGCCAGCCGTAGGTGTCCGGTTTTTTGGAGCCAGCCTTGCAGGACTGGCAGACTGCAATTGGCTCGGGCGAGCACTAGGAATGCGTTCACCCGAAGGAGTTGCCTGGGGAGCTGAGGTTCCAACTTTGGAGTGAAACGGGAAAGCAGCGGTTTCCGGACAAAAGTCCAAGCACGGAAATGACCAAACCATGTGGAGGGAAACCGGAACTCAATGTCCAAGGCGTTGGCATGTGCATTTGGACCACCTTGTACCTCTCTCGCTACCGGCACCTCATGAACGTGAAGCTCCTGCGCTGGGGGATGGGCGGCTCTATCGACAACTCGATCCCAGTTAGAGCCTAACTGCAAGTCAATTGCCTCTTTTGAACACTTCAAGAAAATGTAATTCGCCAAACTCTGCGAGCTTGTTTTGGGCCGGTTTTCAACAGCGAGGACGGCAGTTCCAGGATGAGTTGCGAGGCACCTGGTCCGAGGGCGGGCGTGCGCTGTTTCACTGGTTCCTTTGTGCCCTCTTCATCGCGGAGACCTTTTGGATGGTGAGCTTCGTCGCAAGCCTGCGGCTTAAGGCGCTGCACGCACCGGAAGGGACCATGTTCTTCAGCATCGACAACGAGACGATGTCCTCCTGTCTCAAGTGCCTTCGGCGATGTGTTTTGCGATGTTCGGAGTTTGTTGCTTTCCGATCAAGAGGCAAACCATTTAGGAGTGCCCCAGGTACGTGGTCACTGCAAACATCAAGATCGTGGATGCCGTATGGTCTCCGCTGTCCATTTGGCTGAGCAAGTGTGAAAATCACCGCACAGAGGCAACGGTCGCAGCAATTCGTGAAGAGTTTCAGGGCTTTTGGGGTCCAGTCCTTTTCGAAGCTCCGGAGAAAAACAACAAGAAACGGAGTGGGCCGCATTCTTTTTCGAGAGATTTGCGTCTTCTTGCTTTCTCCAGGTGGACATGAAATCCAGCATGGTGCTGAAGCTCTTCGCGGTGAAGTTTGTGATCTTCTACTACCCTTTCGCGCGGACCATCATTCTGCAGCCCATGGTGGAGGGCTGCCCTGGGGGGGAGACCCAGTTGCCCAGTGGATTCCGCCCCTTTTGTTCCTTTTTTTTTTTGGGGGGGGGGGAAGGGTTTCTCTTTCAAGTCAACCAACAAAAAAGGGATGCCCTCTTCTTTCTTCATGGAACTCCACTTGGCATCTGAGGAGATGCTGGGCTGCCTCAGGGATCTGAGGTCGGATTTGCAGGTCTTCTTCGTGACGCAAGTGATCTCGGTGGCGGCCGGGCTCCTGCTCCAGCTCTTCTTCATGCGCCTGGGTGAATTATAACGACCGTAGGTGTCCTTTTTGGTTGTTTTGAAAAAATCGATGGCGATTCCTGGTTTACCTGGTGGCTTTTCTCACCTACCAGGGAAACCCATCTATTTGGCCTAAAGGGACACCCAAGACAACGACCTCACACGACCTCATCCCAACCACCTTAGTTCAGGTGGGTGAATTCACCCAGATGTGCCTTGACAAAAACCGCTCTGAGCTCCCTTTTTTGTTTTTTTTTGTGGTTGGGGGGGGGGAAGACGGCTACAGTTTCCGTGCCAATCCTTTGCGGCCTCAAGGACATCAGTGTGAAATCAAGCCGGGTTGTTAATAGAGAGGTCTCCCTGGGTTGGGTTTAGTGGTTGGAATCAACAATCACTTTTGGAGGGGGCCCCACCCCCCAGATTAATCACCTGGGATTCATATTGATGTGGGGTCAACATTATGCAGTCATTGCAGAAAGAACTGTGCATGCTAGGGAGGGTCCGTGCCCAAGGTGGAAGACCGTCCACAACGAGCTCAAGCGCAACTCGACCCAGATCGTGAAAGTTTCTTATATGTGGCTAGCCAATAGTCGAGCGAACGAGGAAACGTCCATGGCATGGGTCAAAATCAAGCCACCAGAAAACCACAGGTTTTGGTCCATGTTTCCACTTGCCAAGGTTCCACTTCGGGTACCTATGTTTGACCCTCAGCCATATGTTGGTTTCAAAAGGAATCTAGCACTACTGGAGAAATTTCTTTGTCCAGGGGACTTAAGCAAATTGAGAAAATATGTTGGTTTCAAAGGGTATTTCCATCAAGGACCTCACACAACCTCACCCCAAATGGTGGTTTATGTGGGGAATGGCCCCCCCAGCCACCTTATTTCAGGCTGGTGAAATATTATAATTCACCCAGACAGGGTTCCATTTTGGGTTTGACCCACGGCCATATTGGTTTCAAAGGGAATCCATCAAATGATCCCCACCCCCTCAAAATGGAATTGGGGGAGGGGATTTTGACCCTGGAGATCTCCATTTCGGGTTCCATTTTCCCTTTTGGGACTGAATGACTGGATGTGGGACCCGGGTCCCACCCTTCCCCTTAAGGTTGGGGGGATACAGGGCTCCTTAAAAGATCTCCATTTTGCCCAACCATTTGAAACATGGCTTTTTCCACCAAAATAAGGCGAAACCACCATTTACAAGTTGCAATGTTCAGGTGTATAATGTAAGGAGCCCTGTTCACCCAGACGGAAGGAAAGAAAGACCAGAACAAGCTCCTGACCTACTTGGAAGTCCAGGGCATGCTGGCGGAGTACGATGAAGCTGCCGAGGTGGAAGACTTCATGCAGGTGGCCCTGAACTTTGGTTTCCTGTCCATGTTTGGGACCCATGGCACGAAATGTGGCCGATTTGTTTTTGTTTTTTGTGGTGTATTTTTCCTTGTTTTGCCCAACAGGTTGGTGAGGCTTGGGCTGTTTTTCCCCCAACAGCTGAAAGCTTTGGAGTCTCAGCCCAGATAGGCTTCGGGGTGGTCCGCGGCCCTGAGGTAAGGTTCCACCAGGGTTCCACGAGGTTCTGCGAGGGCTGCGGGGCTGTTGGGGATATCACTTGAGCTTTTTTCTTTTTTTTGGGGGGGTGGGAGGGGGTCAGACTCACAATGAATAATCCTTTCAGCCATCGGTTTTGGTTTTATTTCCGTTTCGCCTGTTTGTTCTTTGTTTGTTGGTTTGTGGAATCCGTGTGCTTGGTTCGCTTGGTTCGTTGCTGCTGACGATGATGATGTTGATTGCTTGTTGTTGCTTTTGTCGGTCTGGCCGTTATCGTCATCGTCGTCGTCGTCGTCGCGGTTGTTGCGGTTGCTGTGTGCGTTGTCTTTTGTTTAGATGGCTTGTTTGATGGTTTGTTTGTTTGCTTGCTTGTTTGTTTGTTTGTTTGTTTGTCTGTCTGTCTGTTTGGTTGGTTGGTTGGTGGGTGGGTGGGTGGGTTGGTTGGTTGGTTGGTTGGTTGGTGGTTGTTCTTGTTCTTGTTTGTGTTCCTGTTCCTGTTCCTGTTTCTGTTCCTGTTCCTGTTCCTGTTCTTGTTCTTGTTCTTGTTCTTCTTGTTGTTGTTGCCGTGGTGGTGGTAGTGGTGGTTCGTGGTCGTGGTCGTGGTCGTGGTCGTGGTCGTTATTGTGCTTGTTTGTGTTGTTGGTGGTGGTCGTGGTTGCTGTTGTTGTCGTTGCTGTTGCTCTTGTTGCTGTAATCATGGTGGCGGTGGCTGCCGCCGCCGTCATTAACGTTGCGTACCACCAAGGACAGTTTGCCCTATGATGTGCGTCCTGTGTTTCCTGCTGAACTTCCCTTTGAAGAGGCTGCTTGCGTACCGCTTCTCTTTCGCGCAGCAGCGTACCATCCCTACAATGTGCACTGGAGTTGGGTCTTGGGCATCCATCCTGAGCTTCCTTGCGTACATCGGGGTCACGTGCACCTGCTACATTGCCGCTGTGCTTTTAAGTTATTTTTTGCCATTGTTGCCTCCTCGGGCTCTGCGCTCTGATCAAACATTTGCAAGGGTGACACCTCCATTCTTTTGTTTGCAGCTGTTTCTTCCGTCACCTTGCCAGCTGGTGTTGGTGAGGTCATTTTTTGCCTCCACAACTTTGCGAGCGAAGGCGGGATGTTGAAAAGTGCGGTCGGGCCGTTTGGTCGTGTCTCGGCTTTCTCATGATGCAAACATGCGAAGTCGGTGAATCACCTCCCAGTTAGCAAACACGCATGCTCGCAGTAGCTTGCCATTCGCCCAAGAATAAAGCGAGTGTGCGTCGCAGCGACCATATTCTAAGTAGGGCGCTGGCTGGTTTGCAACGGCTGTCCTGCACCCCGAGGCATTAAATGGAAGCTGATCTACTTCATTGTGGGGGAGCGGTTGCTGCAGGTCCTGAAATTGATCCTAGACGCCTTGGCTGCACTAACTCATGGCGGGCTGAGATTCCGGGTGTCTTTCTTGACAGCTGCCCCCCGAGGGCCCTACTTTTCCCAAATTCAGCCGGGTTTGCAAGAGGATACTTTTCGGGCATGGCACGGGGTATGGCCGCCTGCGACACATTCTCAGACCTGATATTTTTTCCCCTACCCCAAAAAGTCCTCTCTGAAGAGACGTGGCTTCGCTTCGCTTCACGTCTCGCGTTTTGAGGACGCCTCGGTGGGGGAGAAGTGCGTGGCCCAGCAGCGCATCGAGGAGTGCAACGACGACGCGGTGGATCTGATTCTGCACCCCCACCTCGCGCAGCGGAACAGACACCAGCTGGCTTCAGGGGGTACCACGCCCATGAAGGATCACGCCACGCATACGTTCTAATTTCCAAAAACCGTTTGAAGCAAAGAGAGCGCCTGCCGGCAAAGGGAACACCGGCTGCATGCGGAATCCTGGCCGAAGTCACAGGAAGCGAAGGTCGAGGGAATTTCCTGGCTGCAGGCAAGGCTTAGCTCTTGTACCTTACGGCGGCCGAAACTGGTTGCCACGAGTTTCAGCGATGCAAATGCAAAGTCGTTTGCCGGTGCAAAATAATTACTCATTGAGCATGAAAGGGTTCTATCGCAACACCAGCACCACCCAGAGTCTCCTGGGGCTTCCAATGGAAGACCCAGACCCTCCATTGGACATTTCAGAGGGGTTTTGGGGTCTCAAAACCTGGATGTTTGAGGGCCCAAAGTCATTTCCTGAGCTCGTTGCCTGGAAAGCGGCACGCTCTCCCCCCGACAATCCTGGATGTCCTCGTTGAAATCGAGAGCCAGACGAACAAGATGTTAACCCCGGATTAAATAAGCTCAGGGGACATCCCCAACAGCATGCGGTGCTCTTTTTAGTGCTCGCACCACCCCGCAGCCCTCGTAGAACCTCGTGGAACCCTGGTGGAACCCTCGTTCTCGTGGAACCTTACCTCAGGGCCGCCCCGGACCACGGAGCCTATCTGGGCTGAGACTTCAAAGCTTTCAGCTGTTGGGGAAAAACCCTTGGTTGATTTTGATCGGGGGGTGTCCCCTGTTAGTGGGGATTCAGACCATTTTGGAGGGAACACCCCCCAAATAATGGGACGGGTTTATTAATCCTGGGTCAAGATTAGTGATGCCCCCCCCCCTCGTGGCAGGAGCATGGCGGAGAGTTCTGTCCGGAGATTGTCTCGGAAGGCAGGGAGGGAGAGACCACCGCCAAGAGCTTCGAAATGATGTCCAGCTGAACTCTTGCGAACTCTTGAGGCTCGTGCGCCAGTCAAGCTCCGACTGGGTCGCCATGATGTTTCTTGGGTGCGCAGATGGCTTTGGTTGCAAAGTCTCGGGGGATTCTTTGCAAGGAAACTCAAATCGGGCAACAGGCAGGTGCCGATGCATGGGTTGATGCAGTGAGATCCACGCATGTCTGTGTTCGGATTCCAGGCATTTGGAGGCCAAAACGCGAAGGTTGAGCCCTTGGACTGTGCACGCTCCAGTCCCATTTCAAAAGAAGCCTCCCGTCCGACTTACGTAAGGAGACCCCAGCACCCCCCCCCCTCTCCTGGCACATCCGCAGATTGCAGCGGAAGGGCAGGAGCCAGGCGCGCGGGACGGTGGGCATCAGAGAAAGGGCCCTTGGCGGGACACGACGTAACGGGTTTGGAAATCAGCTGCAGCTTCAGTTGCAGAAGCCAAACAGCCACAGGTGTCCTTTTAGGTGAGTTGGGTCAGAAATAAACGGGTTCCTCTGGTTTACGAGTTGGTTTTATTCCATGTACCAGGGCCATCTATTTTCCCAAAGGATATGCAAACAGCCCGATAAACCGGATGCATTTTGGAGCAACCCTTAACAGTGTATGGTGGATGCTCTTTTTCCCACGTCACATGCGAAATAAGGGCGCCTCCGATGAGAAGGGGATTTTGCAGGGATGTGAGAGCATGTCATATGCGTTGAAAGGGTTCCACGCAGGTAGCATCATTGCACCATTGACGCAACACCTTGAAGAAACTCGTCAAACGCAAGTTTGTATCAGGAGGGTAACGCTAAGGAGAGTAAAAGACGTCAGTCCGCACTTTTTGCGTCGAACCCTGGACCCCTTCGCTGAGCCCTCCCTCCCTCATTCGCGTAAATATTGTTTCCTTTTTCGCGTTCACCCTAGTCGTTCGCATCTGGTGGGTTCGCAGAACTTCGCGGCACCCTTTGTTGCAAACCTCAGTTCGCAGAAGGTGCCGCCGCCTTACCCCTGCAGGGGTTTGCCCTAGAATTTCCCCCTTTGTACCGAGGGTTGCAGATGTCAAATAATCCCCACCCCATATGGAATTGGGCAAGGGGGGTGCCCTTTTGTTTATGGTAGGGGGGACGCTAAATACAAGCCCTCTGGTTCAAGATACCGAGGGCTGCAAGGCAACGGAGAAGTGGGAGAGGCTTACGAGAGAAGCCAAGCCCGCGAGGCGACACCCCCAGCTTTCTAAGAAAGACAGTGGCGGTGGCGGTGAAAGGCAATGAGGCCGGATCGCTTTTGGAGCCTTTGCCCGGCTTTCCTCTCGGAAAAGCTAGGGTGTATCTCTCCTTTCCGTGGGCGGAAAGTTGATTCCCCTGAGCCAAAGAAGCCAAGTCGTGCCAAGTCGTGCAAACGCTTGTCCCTACTGAGAACATGCAAGCACGGCTTGTCTAAAGTTGCTAGCTGCTAGATGCTGGCAATGCTGGAGAGACTGGAGCCTTGGCCCTTAGCATATGTTGTCCAAAGGCCAAGGAACCCGCCGCAACGCATGTAGGAGCATCAAACTGTTCACAAAAAGTTGTGTGCTGCTGGCCACGATTTGTTTGAATTTCATGAGGTTGAGAGGTTCGGTTTAACAAGGCGCTCGCACGTTTGTGCGGCCCCCAAACCAAAGCCAGGCGCGGCAGAAGTGGAAGCAGCTGGAGAACCGCTGTCGAGAGTCCGACGACGAAAGCCCGTCCAAAAGGCGCGTAGGAAGGACACGTCCTTCAAAAAAAAATCCGGGGGAACTCTTCGCTAGCTGTGGCCATGTGTCATAACCTATGGGTCCATTTGGCAGATGAACACCCTACCACCTATTTTGATGTTCACCAGGGGTAAAAAGGGGTTTTGACAACCACAGCCATCTATATCTCCAGTGCCTTCGCACTTTCCTTTCCTCGGCTTTCCTTTGCCGCCAGCCTCACCCAAGGAATGTGTTGCAACCGAATCCAAGGGCACTTGGCCATGGACATATCCCGGAAAAGCAGACAGTGTGCTTCCTTCAGGTGAGTTGATGGGGAGAACTGCGGGTGGTTCCCAGGCCCTCGGTGAATTAGGTGCTGCAGGAATGCCAGGTCATCCCATGCCCTTTCGGGCAGGCTGTCGGGTCCCGACTCAGCTCGAATCGATTCAGAACACTCGATTTTCAGCTGATTCCCTATGGCCATTGAGCCAATGAGTCGTACATGTTGGGGGCCCGAAGCGGACATGCGGTTCCCTTTGCATCTACATCCACACCATTGACGAAGTGTGGCGACCAATTCGTTTGCACCTAGCCAGGCGCTGGTTTATTTGGGGGCCCACAGGGAAGCGTCGACGCTACAAGTAGCAGCCCCCAAAATTATCCCCCCATGTTCTTTCTTTCAGCCACCTTTGTACGCGGCAGCAAAAAGCCAGGGGATTGCTGGTTCTCGGCGATGTTGGCTGTAGGCGTCTCCAGGTTTCAGGTTTTGCCCGGCCGGGCCGGGCACCTCAAGCAATGAACGAGCGTTTAATGAGCGGCGGCGATGTCCAGTCGATGCGAAGATTTGAAGCGCCCACCCCGAACTGGCATCGTTCGAGTGCTTGTGAATTACACAGATATTGTGTGTCTGTGTCTGTGTCTGTGTTTGTGCATGCGTGTGCGTGTGGGCGCGTGCTGATTGATGACAGTGAGTAATAAAGGACATTACACACAGACATAGACACAGACACAGAGACACAGACACCGACACACACACACACACTGACAAAGGCACACAGGCACACAGGCACACTGTGCGCACATACGTACGTACAAGTAGACAGAGAGAGAGAGAGAGAGAGCGAGAGAGAGGGAAAGAGATCGTGAGACAGAGAGAGAAAGAACGCGAGAGAGAGAGAGAGAGAGAGAAACCAACAGACAGACACGCAGACAAACTGACACGCAGTCACGCAGGCACACAGACACGCAAACACGCTGACAGAAACCAGACGGAGACGGACAAAGAGAGACACGGACAGACACAGACAGATACCCTGCATGCATCCCTGCGTGCCTACGTACGTCACTACTCCGCATGCAGACAGGCAGGGAGGCAACCAGACAGACAGAGGCAAACAGCCAGACACAGAGATAGACAGGCAGACAGCCAGCCACACAGACAGCCCGACAGACAGACAGACAGGCAGACAGTCTGCCAGACAGAGACAGAGACAGGCAGACAGTCAGACAGACAGTCAGACACCAAAGCCACATTGCGACAGAGCCACACAGACAGACAGACAGACAGCCAGTCAGATAGGCAACAGAGACAGAGTCACACAGACAGACAGACAGACAGAGACAGAGACAGAGACACAAACAGACAGACAGACACACAAAAATTACCTGCGATCGTACGTACAAGTATAATTCATTTCGCACACACACAGACTTTCGAATTCACACAGAATGAAGCGCATGCAAAAACCAACGATACACTGCAAGACACATAACACAGCACTACAAGTGAAGAAACATATACATCCACAGAAGCAAAAAAGAAATATATACTATATATATATACACTTACATGCATGTGCAAATATACATATACTTATTTGCATGTATCTATATATATACGCATACACATGTGAATATATATATATATACCTAGATGCATGGTAACTATATATATATACTTATATGCATGTGTATGTATATATATATATATATTTATACTTACATGCATATGTATATATATGTATACTTACATGCATGTGTAGATATATATATATATGTGTATATATATATATGTACATCTATACTTATATGAATGCATATATATATATATATATGTATACTTATTTGCATGTGTAAACAAATATACATACATATACTTCTAGGCATTTATCTATATACATATATACTTCTATGCATGTGTATCTATATATGTATACTTGTGTGCATGTATCGGTATATATAAAAAATGTACTTATATGCATGTGTATCTATATATGTATACTTATATGCATGTATCTTTATATATGTACTTATATGCATGTGTACATATATATATACATATATTTGCATGTGTACATATTTATATATATACATATGCTGTTATGTATGTGTACATATATATATATATATGTGTGTGTGTGTATATGTATAATCATAGGCATGTAGCATTTGCATGTGGCATATGCTTGCGGCCGGGGCAGGTCCACCAGGCACCTGGGCACCATGAGCAGCCCTGCGCCTTGGGCCTGATGGCTGGGTGTTCGGAGCCCGGAAACCGGCTCGCTCTCCGGGTCGGAGGGCTTAAAAGAGGCACGCCTAGAAACCTTTAGAAGAAAAAGTGGCAAGAAAAGAGAGAAGCAGTACTTGGAGTCGTGCTTTTTTTGGTGATTCGAGGGCCTGAGGGTGCAGTTATTGGATGGCACAAGCTCTGGGGGGTCAAAAGTTGGCTGTTGCAGTTAGTTGGCACATTGGCTGGCTGTTGGTCCATTTTAGTCAGTGGGTGGGAAGGTGGGGGGTTGGTGGGTTGGTTCGGTTTGGGGGTGGCGGGGGGGGGGGAGCTTGCCCCGCACATCCCGCACCTTGGTTTCTCCGCACAAAGGCGGTAGCATCCGCGAATCATCCTTCAGGCTGGCTTGTGGACGCCCAAGCCTCCAACTTGTTGGGCAAGACTGGGGATCTTCTTGCGGATTTGCGGACCGCCCGCCCAGCCAGCGTCCTTTGGATTGAGGCGTTGGAGGCCATTGCGGCGAAGGAGGCTTTGGAGCGAGTCCCTCTATACAGCGCTTGCTCGCAAAAGTGCCTGGAGGCAGGTTCAGTTCGGAGATGCTTCTCCGCATCGCAATAGACGAGCGACAGCATGACAGGTATGAGTCCAGGAATATGCCAATCGATCGAGAGTAATGCGAACAAAGCACTTTGGTAGGCAGTCGCAGTCAGCGATTGCTAGCCTCTTCAGTAGCATCATTCTCTCTTGGTTTTGCTTGCTTATGTTCCTTGCCACCTAGTCACTTCTGAGCCAGCAAATGGAAAAGCCAGCTCTCGCCCCAGAAAGCCCCAGGTGCTTTGGTCCTTTAATGGGGCCCCGCTTTGCCACGTACCGCTGACAACATCGCAGTGGCATTTCCAGATTTGCAGTTAAAAATGAGGACGGCACACTCGGGACCCCAACATTTGCGTTGTTGCGTTTTGGCCTGCAGAATCAAATCTAAAAGGACACGTGACACTTCCACAATTGCCCAGCTGGAAAGTGAAGGTATTTCTCAATGGGATGGGCATTTCTTAGTAGAGGAAAAGATGAGTTGCAAGTCAAACAGTCTCGCCACCCATTGCGTAGAGTTCACTGGCAGATGCACGTATTGTCGATGTGTGTGGTGGATTTGTATTGATTCCCTAAAGGATTGCCAGACTACATTAAGTAGTTTGAGGTCCCTCCACAAAGCATGAAGCGTGCGTGAGGCTCGCAGTGGCAGATGCCCGCGCCCATGATCCGGATACTTGTTGGATCCCACGGATCATTATTTTGGGATATCATTTTTTCAGCAAGTGGGAATTTTGGTCTCTCAAAAGGAACGATGCGTGGGAAAGAAGCTTTGGACAAGTATGACCCTTCCAAATGGAAGCCTGTAAGGGGAGGGCCTTCAATTAGGATCATCGCTGCGCCGCGAGGGCAATCGCGCCAATCCAGCCCCTCCAAGCCAATCGGGAGATCACTCCGCAAGACTCGCCGTTCACGGGGAGCGGGCAGTTCACCTAGGCCCCTTGAAAACCTAAGAGAAGGGACCTCAAACAAGCGACATCGATGTGTATTGTTTGAAGCTAAGGGTTTATGTATTACACCCTGGGAATACACCCACTGGGTATTGACCCCAGAAAAGGCACATTTCCAGATAAAACATATATATATAAACACCGTGTTATTTTGATCCATTCTGGGTCATTTCCCAGTGTAATCCCAGGGTGTACAAAAACCATCAGAAGAATTCGTGGAGCTTATCAGGTGATTTGGATTAGGGTGAGGCTTGCCTAGATGGGGTCAATACCCAGTGGGCGTAATCTCAGAGCTCCGGAGGCTCTGGCCGCTGTGATCCGCACGCGGCTGGTGGGGCTTGGAGCGCCTGTGCAGTTGGAGGGAGACACCGGCGGCTTGGCAAATAGAGCGGCATGGAGCGGCCACGAAGGTTTACCTCCATTTGCTGAAGACTTAAAAAAAAACCTTGTTGGTTTTCAAAACATTCACCACTGGACATATTCTTTCCTGGGGCCTTAACCAAATCGAAGTGTATCAGGTAACCCTCAATCGGTGCTTTGGGTTTGGTGGCTTACTTTTTGAGGTGCACCATTCAGTGTCCGTGTCCTCATGTGTCTCATGAGGTTCAATGTTAATTGGTTGTGTCAGAACGCAACTCCTGGCAGGGGCCTCCAATGAGTGGATGGCAAGAAGCGTCAATCCAAGGCTTCTCAGGCAAGGTGAAACGCGAAATAGAGGTTGCCTAGGGGCATCTTCGCCAAACCGCAGGGATGCGTGTGAAGACAACCATTGCGTACAGAGAGGGGGTGTGGCGGTCTCTACTTTTTTTGGTTGAATTTGTCATGAACAGGCAGGGGTCTGCCCCCCAAAAATGCCCTTGTACACTTTTTTGGAGGAGGGTTCCCCTATTAAAATAGATAAAAGAAAAAATGGTACCCGCATTCTAACCTCTCAAATCTGGAGGACCTAGTTTCTCTACGTCTTTCAGATTTGTCACTAAGTAAATCGTGGATTCGCAGCAACAATCTTCAGGTAGGGGGCTGCGGCTGGGATCTGTGGACTTGTGTTTCTTTTCGGCCTACATGGTTGTTGTCGGGAACATTTTTCATTTTTGCATATATTGTTGTGGTTTAATGGACATCCCACTTAACTGCTAAAATTTAAATCTTTGCTCCCCTTCCAACGTCAACCAAGTTCAGCTCCATGGCCGGCCTAGGGGACTGCATGCACATCTTGGTGCGGGGCGAGGTTGAGGTGCTGAAGGGGGATGAGGTCCAGGAGACCCACGAGGACCATCCACCTCCACCCGCCTCAGCGGCGGCGGCCCTGTGCCCTCAAACAAATTCTAGGTCCCCCAGCGAACGGTGCTTGACCTGGCTGTGGCTCAAAAAATCGGAATTCCAGAATGGGTTGCCCTGGCAAGTGGAAACATGGACCAAATCCTGCGTAACCCCTCCAGTTTAATTTTGAGCCACAGCCACCTCTCACCCCTTTGGTTGGGAGGGTTCCCCTACTAAAATATAGACTACAGAAAAAAGTTGGTACCCTTATTCTATCCTCTCTGCTGGAGGAATAAGAATTGGTGTGGCTTCTTCTGTTTCGAGCTTCGGCCAGAGGTGTTGGCATATCATTTTGCAACCGATGGCTGTTTGCAAGTTCTGCCCGAGATTCAGATGTCCCTTCTTGTTAGTTCGTGGTTTGGGGATTTGAGCCCTGGCTCCTGCAGAGTGTAAATGGGAAACTACCCTGAACTAGGTCCCCCAGCTAGGTGCCCTTTCTCCCCCCTTTTTTGGTTGGGAGGGTTCCCCTACTAAAATATATCGACTACAGAAAACTAGACCACGGTTGGCCCGAAAGCATCACAGCCCCGTGATCATTCCCACGCATGTTTTTTGCTCGATGTGCAGTCTGTCAGCTACAAACAGCCATTAGCTACAGCAAGAGGAGCAAGATGATCGCTCACGCAGAAACCACTTTGCAATAATGCTCAGACGATGTGCAATGACGCTTTGTGCTCTGCGCATTTTTCCGCGCAAGTTGCTCTATGCAAGTGCTGCCAGAGCTGCCGGAACGTACTTCGCGTGCTGCCTTTGTACTTAAAAGTTGCAATTTTGCAGCCGAAGCTGCGGAGGTGCACTCCGCGTACCACGTTTGTACTTAAAAGTTGTGATTTTGCAGCCGGAGCTGCGGGAGTGTCTAAACGTACTATGTTCGCACTTACAAGTTACAATTTTCCAGCCGGAGCTGCCGGAGTGTCCTCCGCGTACTACGTTTGCACGTGAAAGTTGCGATTTCTGTCTAGAAAAGCTGCTGCGGAACAGGCGGGGATCGAACCCGCGAGCGACCGCGCGACTCCTGGAGCAGGCGCGCAAACCATGCGACAACTTCCAAAGACCAGTTCGCAAGCAACAAATTCGCACGGCGCAACAGCGAGAGCGCTTCGCCTCGCACGATCCCCGCAGAGGGTTCATCGGGCACTTTGCAAAGTCGCACGGCGCCGCAGCGAGAGCGCTTCGACCAAGCCGATCTCCGCAAAGGGTCGCGCGGGAACCGCAGAAATCGTAAAAAGTCCTCAGTTTTTTTATCATCGACCACGCCGACCTCCGCAGAGGGTCGATGTTCGTAGAGTGCTGTCGGGCCCACCCCGCCGCCCAAAGAAGAGAAGAAAGGAATTTAAAACTCTCATGAGCATTGACTCTCACGAGCATTGCTCCTCGCAAGTGGCTCTCATGAGCATTGCTCCTTGCCAGTGCCTCTCACGAGCATTGCTCCTCGCAAGTGACTCTTTGTGCAATGACTCCTGTGCAATGACTCTGTGCAATGACTCCTGTGCAATGACTCTGTGCAAATGACTCTGTGCCATGACTCCGTGCAATGACTCTGTGCAATGACTCTGATGATGATAACTTCTTGCAATGACTCTCATGATGATAACTCCCATGAACCCAACGGAAGAACCCTTCGCCATTCGTTCGGGAAAAGTTGGTACCCTTATTCTAACCTCTCTGCTGGAGGAATAAGAATTGGTGTGGCTTCTTCTGTTTCCAGGTGTGTGGGCATATCGTTTTGCAACCGATGGCTGTTCGCAAGTTCTACCCGAGATTCAGATGTCCCTTCTTGTTAATTCGTGGTTTGAGAATTTGAGCCCTGGACTAGGTCCCCCAGCTAGGTGCCCTTTCTCCCCCCTTTTTTGGTTGGGAGGGTTCCCCTACTAAAAATGATAAAGGACAAAAGTTGGTACCAACTTATTCTAACCTCTCAAACCTGGAGGACCTAGTTAACGATGGGAACGCCTGTTTGATGCCTCTCTTTGGAGGGCGGAGGTTGGACCTGGGACGGTTGACCCGCAGGACTCCGGGGTCTTCGGCGAGATGGCCTCCATCTCCAAAAACCCCTCCGCCGGCGCACCCAGAACGGCCGAGAGGAACCATGTAGCAGATGCAGCCGAACTATGCAGTCTGCACAGGTTTTTCCGAGCTCACCTGGAAGTAAAACGAGCTCATGGTAAAGATGCTTTACTTGAGAATCACTTGCAGTATGTCCAAAACTTGGTAAATATAAGCTTTACTTATTTCAAGTTTTGGACATATTGTAGAATTTGCAGTCCAACGTGCAAACTCGGTGCCCAGAACCGTTCCTTGCTTGCATCTCAGTTGGCTCTGCGCTGTGCGACGGTGCGCACGAAGTCGCTCTGCGACTTCAAGGTCCTTCACCGCGAGGATGTCACGCAGGCTCGGATGTGTGCACGTGGCACCGTCAGGCATCGTGGAGTTGGAAGGTCTCCATTTGAGGGGCCTCTGTTTCCTTCGTTACGGGGGCCCCATGGAAGACTACGTTGCTTAAGGGACAATCTGGTGGGTTCCGTGCAACGCGTACAGGAGGGGTAACTATCAAAGGCTGGTTCCGCAAGTAAGGCTTTGTCAAGGGAGGGGCTCGTAGTCCATGACTGTTTGTTGCACGCGAGGCTCGGGTCACTTAGCTGGCCGTGTGGTTCCTGACGGGCGCATGTAGCGACTCATGCCCCTTGCGAGGCCCTCAGCCACTTCAAGGAAGACGTTTCTCGGCTGACGTGTTCTTTTTTGGGGGGGCACGTCCGAATACAAGTCAGTGAAGCGCAGAGGGTGGAACCCATTTTCTGAATTCTTGGGGGAGGCTTGATCTGACAGTCAGGCTCGGTGCTGGTCAATCAAACGAACTCAAAGGAGCAGAACCGACATGTTGCTTGAGAGTTGGGTCAGTGGATTGCAAATGCGACGCCAAACGACGCCAAGTGCGCTGTTTTCAAGACTTGAATGGCCTATAGCAGCCGTTTCTCCATGTCGTTTGTGCAGCACCCCTCCAACAACTTACCTCTTAAAAACACAACTTTTCAACCTTTTGGGGGTAACATGGGCTATATGTCTGTAAAATATGTTTCCTTCCCCAGGCCTTGGAGTTTGAAGGGGTAAGCCAATTCGCAACACGAAACGGGGCCCAATGGACCTGCAGACGGCGCGAGAACCAGGCAGAAATGGTGCCATGGTTCTCACAGCCTGCGTTTATCAAAGGGATGTGTCGCAACATCTACCTCAGGGCAACTCGCGGAGAACTTCTGGTTCCCCAAGTCGTGGAAAAAAACATGGCTGTGGATGGACCAAATCCATTTCGCAGCGCCTAAGAAACCCAATCGGTTTCTGATGATTTCCCTGTAGATACCAAGAAACGCACTGGTTTCAACCATGGTTTCCAAGTGGTCCTTTCGATTTCGTAAGCATCCGCATGTGCGAAGTTGCCGCGCCTCCCGAGGCGGTGCTTCTGGAGAGGCGCGTGGAGGAGCGAGTGCGAGAGCTGCGTGAGAAGGGGGAGATGCCTGCCAAGAAGGACGCGCGGGACGCGCGCGGGACTTTCGACGCGGAACGCCGACATCCGCACCACCTCAAAAATGGAATTGGGCGACGAAAGTGACCGATGGGAACTCCGTTTGCGTTTCCATTTTCCCTTTTATGGAAAAAACTAGGTAAATGGAATTGGGGATCCCCCGATCCCCCGCCCCCCTTCCCCGTAAGGTAGGGGGGATACGCCGACGACAGTCGAAAGCCGAAGTAGATGTTGGTTGGAAGGGAGCCAATCAGCCGGAGCTAGGGTTCGGTAGCCAAGTTCGCTATGGAGGGAGCTAAGGAGCTACCATGTTCTGTAAGCACATGGTAGCTAAGATTGATTTGGGGTGATCCGGGCTTCAGAAAGGACATACTTGTCTCTGTGGAGGGGTCAACGGCAACCAACATTTGGGGCGACTTGGCGTCGTTGAGCGACTGGTTGCAACTTCGAAACATGAGAGATGCCGGTTGCCCGAATTGAGGGCTTCTACCGGGCTCCCTACAGAGAGAGAGGGAGAGAGAGCTTTGTTGGAGGATTTGCGTCCTTTGCCGCAGCCAAATGCCACGTTGCATGCTCTTTTTTTCAGGAGTGGTGGCGTCTAGAAGTGCGACGCCTGGCTGCAACGATGGTTTTGTTCAATCGGTTCCAGGCACACCGATGTCCTTTTGGGTTGATTTGGTCGAAAAATAGATGGCGATTCCTGGCTTACCTGGTGGTTCAACTGCTAGGGCCATCTATTTTTTCCCCAAAAAGGACATGGTTTCAGGTCTTCGCCGGTGTCATGTGAGCTGTTCTCTCTTTTTTTTGGTGAGGGGCCTGTCTTGAGGAACACCTCTGCAGCCACTCGCCTATGGGAAGGGTTGTTTAGGCCTTTGGCCATCGGCATGCAGAAGAAACCGCCGCTGCGTTGTGCTCAGCCCATGGAATGGAAGGTCTTTGGAATCCTTGCTTCTTACAAGTTTGCAGCATGCTCCAGAAAATGTGCCAATTTTCCCCCAACATTCGGATCCTTAAAACAACTCCGGGGTGGGTTCTTTGGGGTTGTTTTCTTGCTGGTTCTCATCAGGGAATGAGCTGGGGGATGACCCCTATAAACCATCCAACTGGTGGTTTCCTTTCAGGCAATCCCAAAACGGTTCATTCCCATGTTCTCTGAGCCCTATAAACCATCTGACCGGTGGTTCCTTTGAGGGAATCCCAGGTCCTTTCAGAGAATCCCCTGAGCACCAGCTGAGCCACAATCAAAACCTGGGTAGATGAAGGTCAGTAAGGGACAATCCCATCCAGAAATAGTTGCGGATATCCGCCTTCTTAATTCCTTACATGGTTCTGGGTCGACCATTTTACTACCGGGTTTTGAGCAAGTGACTCAGCTGGGTTTGCCGAAAAAAGCCCGGCCCAGGCCGGTCCACCCAGGGCTCAGCTTGCTCGGTGCCGACGGAAGGCTTCCGCACGGCGGTGGGCCAAGCCATCGCAGGCGAGAAATGGACGTGGGGTGGGTGGACGTGGTGGCTCCAAAAATGGGGGGCAGATGGGTTCCACTGGTGAAGATCTGCGTTTTTGTTTTCAATTTCAAGCCAGGGAAGCCCAGATGGGATTGTTTTTTGTTTCTCCTTTTTCTTTTGAAAGGCCACCTCGGTTCTTGACACTTTGGGAAGGTTGCCAGGATTGATTGTGATTCTCGCTTGTTGAATGAATCCTGAGGTCATTGCGAATGAAAACCAATGGATCAACTTGTCGAATTTGAAGGCCGTTTTTCTGTGCCTTTGGCTCCATCAGAAAGTGGAACCCTCCTGCAACATGGAACTTGAGTCCTAAAAGCTGGACCAGGTGGGTTCCAGTGGACAGGAGGGTACCCAGAATGGTTCCTTGGCAACTGGAACCAGGGACTTGACTAAACCTGCGGTTGGCCCTAGCTCTTGAATTTTGAGCCACACCCAAGGAGCAAAGCATGGAACTTCAAAAGCGGGTCCTTTCCCCCAAAAGGAGATCACTAAGAATGAATGGCTTGAGATGTGTTGTGCACATTCGTGACTTGTTTTTTTTCATCACGAGGAGTTCACTCATTTCCCGTGATGTCCAGTAGTTTTTGGTACTTCACAGCAAATGTTCTTCTCAAAGGCGGCACTGTGTTGCTTCTCAAATGTTCTTAGCGCTTGTTGCAACGGGCTTTTCATTTCTGGTGCTTTGTCTGACGGACGGTAGCCCTGATGTTGTTTGTGTGTTTTGGCGTGGCGTTTCTTCGAAAGTTCCCACGGCATGCAGTCGTGCTTGGAGGCTTAGGCCTGCCACTTTGGCGCCTCCGTGCGTTTGGCCAACATTCGTTGCGATGACATGCGTTGCGACATGGGTTCTCCTGCTCCGTTTGCGCTTCCTTGGTAATTGTAAAATGCTTGATGGAAGGTTTGGAAGCATACGAACTGGCATGCTTCATTTGCGTTCTTTTTGTTGGCTCATGTATTTGTCCCAGTTATATCGGTTACCACTTTGTGATTCAAAAATCCTTATCCTTGTGAACTGGTTGCCGACGCCCCCATGCGGGCTGATACAGTCTCACAAGGCACCACCTTTGATTCAAGTGCATGACTTGGAGTCGCCTTTGCAAGGCTGTCAACAAAAGTACCCCAGCTTCGGCTCGCGGCAGGTCAAAGGTGTGGGTGTGTTTTGAGCCCACCCCCCCCAAAAAGAACACGAAGAAGAAAAAGACAAAACGGTTGCTTGGTTTTGAAGGGAAGAGGAAATTGACTGGTTTTGGGGGGCTCCTCGAAAAGGAAAAAACACAAACACGCACACACCGACCCACATATTATATATATATATATGTGTGTTTCAGGTCTGCGGATGAGGCGCTTTTCCACTGCGGGGCCTGGAGCGGCTGGCCCGTGCGGCCACTCTGCGACTCTACCCCTGCGGCGGCGGATGAGCCACGTGGCGAAAGGCGAAAGGCGAAAGGCGTGTCTGGCTTCGAGTCCAGGCACGGGAACTCGTCCCCTCTGCTTCCATTTGCTGAAGCGGTTGTTTATTATTTTTTTTATTATTATTATTATATTTATTTTGTTTTTATTCTCATTATTTCCCCTTGTTTGTTTTCAAGAGAATCCATCACTACTGAGCTTTGATTGCGTGGAAACGAGCCTTGCACTTGGCACAGACAACTTCACTGATGTGCGTGCTAGTGCCGCGCTCGGAAGTAGTTGAAAACATGGTTGAGTTTGTCATGCACATGCAGTGGTGCGTGCGTGCATGAAACATACAGAGTGGTGAAGCAATCTGCTTGGCTTCTCTGAGTGTCGGGCTTTGCCTCGTGAGCGTCGCCCTTGGTCCCTCTCATGATGAGGAAATCCATTTGTCCCTTTTGAGTAGTCACGAAAGTGTGCGAGCCACCTGATTTACGCAATGTGCCATGTGTTCGAAGTCTGCTATTTCCAAGGGGCTTAAATGCATCCGCATCTGCATCCGCACCCGTAGTTCGATTTGGATGGCTGGGTCGGAGTTTGGCCACTGCGACCCTCGCGGCCCACTTGCAGCCAAGACACTCGAAGGGGAATCAAGACATGAATCGGCCCAATTTCAGGTGTCAGGCCTCTCATTCTCCCCTCATTCTCTGCCGTCTCCAAGTCTATGCTTAAGGGAGGGGGGGTTCCCAAGCCGAACGCGGGCTTCAGCCCCAGTACCATCATTGGCCCCAGTGCAGAAAACCTGGTGTGCATCACATGTTGGACTCAAACTCTGAGTTTGGTCTCCAAACGTGTCGCTGGAAATCGCTGAGGCGACGGCGCGGCGCTGATGCCCAGCATGATCAGGAATCGCCTCACTTCCAGCCTGACGAGTCTGGTCCCCGGACGCGTTGAATTAAACTGGGTGAGTCAGTGAGACATGGTTTGCGCTGGACTCAGTTTGGTTCGAGGCGGGATGCATAATTACCCAGGAGCTGCATCGCGATGTATTTGCAACAGGCAAACACGTGGTGGGGGCATTTTTGGTGAGCCCTCATGTTGCGACTTCAACAAGCCGAAGCTTCAGCCGCCCTTCCTTGAGGCCAGGCAAGTGCGGCAAGCGCGGCATGCGCTGCAATCGCAAGCGCGGCGCAGCCCAAAATTGAGAGCCGGGGAGCCCTGAGGATTGAGGATGTCACGAGCGGATTTTCGCAAATAGAAAGTTTCATTTAAGGGTTCTTTTGCAAGGGTCGGACTTGGGGGTAATTAACCATTGTTCTAATCGAGGGGGGGAGGGTGCTCTTGGGACATGCGACTGCCTTTCTACTGAATCTTTGGGAAACGGGTGAAGCATCTTCACGCCCTTAAATATGGAATTGGGGGAGCGGGGTGACCCCTGGAATTGCATTTCTGGTTCCTTTCCGTTTGAGAGATTCGAGGTAGACGGCGCATCAAAACAGCTAGGTTGCATGCCAAGGCAGGCACCCTTTTTGTGTGTTGCGTCGTGTTGCCTTTCAAGTTGCGGCCCATTGGAGAAAAAAAAAAAAACAACAACAACAAAACACGGATGGATGAGTCACAAGGCTAATTTGTGCTACATGAAGCCAACAGCTGTGTCATTCTTGATTTTATCCAGGCAACCTCTGAATGAAACTCCATGCATAGTCTATTTACACAAATACTTAGAAACCTCAATGTACCTTCCCTCCAATTAACATGGCACCCGACACGGACCGGTCCCTTTAAAGGAAAATGGTCGAAACCAGGACCCCCCGAACGTCAAATTTCATGCTAATTGGCGGGAGGGTAATTCAACTCTGCATTGGCATTTGTGTTTAGATGTTTCTCATGACCAAGCAGCCTGAAGTAGGAAGGTTGGTCCCAACAGCCTCAAGTCTTGAGTGCATGGGATTTGGCATCGGTTCGCCGGTTTGCCCACCCGGCTTCTGCCCCCAGTCTGTCAGAAGACTCCTTTGGTTAATTTAATGAATGGTTGAAAAAAAAGCCTGTACAACATGGGCTTCAAATTCCCAAGCCAATCCAATTGATAGTAAGTTGATCGGGGCTCCTTAAAAGATACATTTTGCAACCAATTGAAACATGGCTTTTTCGGCCGAAATAAAGGGAAGCCACCATTTACAAGTTGCAATGTTCAGGTGAATAATGTAAGGATCCCTGTTGATGGGCAGGGTAATTGCACATGCATGTTATATCATGCCATCATCGATGCCGCTCGGGCGTTGCTGGAACGGAAGGCTGAAGGTGAGCATGTACCCGTAGTCATTGTTACGGAAACTCTGGGCATATTGGGTTGGATGATGCTGCTTCGAATTTCGAGTGCGTTCTGGAAATTGTAGTGGAAACACATCACAATGAATCTCACGGCAAACCGTCCTCATGTGCCAATCAAATTTCACACCTGGGCTCTCAAGACCCAAGAAACTCATCAAGAAACTCTTCAGCAAGCTGAATGTGGAAAAGGAGGGCGCACTATTTGCTTAAACTTTCTTTTCTGAAAAACATTCTCCTGTTGGTTTTGAAGGGAATCTATCACTACTTTTATTTTTTTCCAGGGGTCTTAACCAAATGGAAGTACAGCAGCTGGTCTTGATATTCAGTTGCTGTCCGCAAGGGGCTCCTGGTTCACAGACAACACATGCCAGAATCTGAACATGAGAGCTGTTGGAATCCTGGCAGGGGAACCCGCCCCCAACATGGAAGCTCCCACCCCTTTGGGTCCCGTTCAACAGGCGTTCCGGGAGGAATGGTGGAATTCGGCCCCGCTCAGGCGGTGAGCCGGAGCCAAATTCCAGCTCCGGCGAGGAGGAGGAAGTTCAACAGGCACGGTCGACAAAATCAACTTAGGCACCGCGGAGGCTTAGTCCTTTCCATTTGCCAGGCAAACGCATGGGGGATAGCACAAAAGATCCTTACGCAAGTTCTTTGGTATGGTCTTACAATGGGCAGTTTGGCTGGCAGAATGAATTCCCTTCGCAGTGGCCACTTGGAGAATTATTATGTTTGACGACGCAGAACTCAGAAGAAAGGACAAACACACACACCACCAACACCAACACCAACACCAACACCAACACCAACACCCACACCCACACCCACACCCACACCCACACCCACACCCACACCCACCCACCCACACACAAACGAAACACACACACACACACCAACACAACACAACACAACACAACACAACACGACACGACACGACACGACACGACACGACACGACACAACACAACACAACACAACACACACACACACGAACACAACACAACACAACACAACACAACACAACACAACACAACACAACACAACACAACACAACACAACACAACACAACACAACACAACACAACACAACACAACACAACACAACACAACACAACACAACACACACACACACACACAACACAACACAACACAACACAACACAACACAACACAACACAACACAACACAACACAACACAACACAACACAACACAACACAACACAGCACAGCACAACACAACACAACACAACACACAACACACACACACACGCACACACACACACACGAACACACACACACACACGAACACACACACACACACACACACACACACGCACGCACACACACACACACACGAACACACACACACACACAAACACGAACACACACACGAACACACGCACACACACGAACACACGCACACACGAACACACACACACACACACACGAACACACACACACACACACGAACACACACACACACACACACACAGGAACACACACACACAAACACGAACACACACACACACGAACACACACACGAGCACACACACACACACGAACACACACACACACACACACGAACACACACACGAGCACACACACGAACACACACACACACACACACGAACAAACACACATGCACACGAACACACACACACGAACACACACACACACGAACACACACACACACACACGAACACACACACACACACGAACACACACACACACACACGAACACACACACAAACACAAACACAAACACACACACACACACACTCACACACACACAGACACACACACACACACACACACGAGCACACACACACACACACGAACACACACACGAGCACACACACGAACACACACACACACACGAACACACACACACACACACACGAAACACACACACACACACGCACACACACATACACACACACACACGAACACACACACGAACACACACACGAACACACACACGAACACACACGAACACACACACACACACACACACGAACACACACACACACACACATGCACACACACACACACACACACGAACACACACACACACACGAACACACACACACACACGAACACACACACACACACACACACACACACACACACACGAACACACACACACACACACGAACACACACACAAACACAAACACAAACACACACACACACACTCACACACACACAGACACACACACACACACGAGCACACACACACACACACGAACACACACACGAACACACACACGAACACACACACGAACACACACACACGAACACACACACGAACACACACACGAACACACACACGAACACACACACGAACACACACACGAACACACACACACGAACACACACACACACACACACACACACACACACACACACACACACACACACACACATACGAACACACACACACACACACACGAACACACATGCACACACACAGACAGAGACACAGAGACAGCATCGGCAAGTGTGGAAGGTGGATGTTTGGGTGCTTGGGTGCTTGACAGGCTCAATCCCTCCGAGTGCCGGATTCGGAGCCGAACTCTGGCAGCGCCTGGTCGGCAATGTGCGGACACTTGCGATCATGTTGGTTCCCCACCCTTCCCTCATGACCCGCAACTCCTCGAATCCTAAGCCCGCTTGGAAAGGCGGGCGCACGCTGAGCAGTGCCATGGCGGAGGCACATGGCCAACAAGCTAAGAACAAGACAGACTGTCGTCGACAAATGTGGGGGAGTTGTCAGGTGAGGAAGCTTCACGCGGACAGCCACAGTAAACCAATCATCTGGAGGGTTCCTACATGTGCAATAACGTCGTGTCTCGCACGCACCGATTCCTCTTCTCGGCGCGTGGCATGCGTTTGGGTCGATCAGCTTTGCGGTTGAAATGAAAGCACAGATGGCGAACATGATAAGATGAGCCCTGCTCCGTTGCCTCAGTGTTGCCTCTCCATGTAGTCGGCTCAACTCACCAGCGAAGAGCAGATAATTCGAGCCTTTCAAAGCATGGTGGGCATCGAAAAGTGCAAGCCCAGAAATCGTAGCCAGCTGACAGCTGCTCTAGAAACGTCAATGCAATTCACTAAATTACCATCAAACTAAACCATGCAAGATGTGTCAAGATGCTGAACCTGGATGGGTTACATGGAGATGGATCACAAAGTCCACTTTTTGTGGATTGCCTCTGGCGCCGAGTCTAGGCCCTGTGGACACGTTGGATTTGGCGAGGATTCTAAAATGGTTGCCGGTGCTGAGGCGCGAGTCTCTCCAGCGACTCGCCGCGTGCGCCGCCGGGGGTATGACAAGTTTTTGTGGCGCAGCCGAGAGTGCTTAGATCCGCTTATCTTCCCAGGATCCATCAGGGCTCTTTTGATGTGTTCATCACTCTTTTGCTTTGGGCTGCAAAGTTTTCACTCAGTTTTTCCCAGGACCCACTCTCAATCAGTCCAAATCGGTGCAGGTACTGCCTCGACGTCCAAAGAGCCCGTTGATGAGAGCCCAGCCGTTGGCTGCACGGTGCTCGGCGGCCGTCAGTACGGTGGGACACGTTGTAACTTAAGGAGTGGGCGGGAAGCACAATGGAACTGTGGCATCACTTGCCATATTGGGGAATTAGAGGAATCTGATGGAACTCGAGTCAGCCGTGGGCAAGGCCTCTGGCAACAGGGGCGGGACTAGGTTGCGCCTAGCGAGCGGCGTAGCCGTTCCCAGCCATCCGGTTCCTTAGCTTTTGAGTTCCTTTTAGTGTGTCCTGGTTGGGGAAGCCCATGTCACCCAACAGTCAAAGACTCCGAAAAAAGCGGCTAATAGCGGGGGATCTCAGGGATCCGGTCAAGGCACCATCAAGTTCCAAGACTTCCCGGATGTCACGTCCCCGGAGCCTGTTGAGGCGCCGGGGGTTTCGGACGTGTTTCTGAGGATCCGCCGTTCCGCGCCACCGCGGAAGGCAGCCCTTATGAAAAACCACTAGAAAAGCCCAGGGAAAAGCAAGTCTGCCGTTTCTTTTGGTCCCCAGCCATCCGGGTCCTTAGCTTTGTAGGTCTTTGGTTTAGTGGCTGGGTTTCCATATAACCCAGTTGTCAACCTGCAGGGGATCCGAATCAGACACCCCAGGCTTGGGTCCTTCCGGGCTCGTCGCACAGATGCGCTAAGCCTTCAGCTTTGGAGGGGTGCGGTGCGGGGGAGTAAACGACATGTCTGGAGTCTGGCTCTCGCACCGATGATACATCCCCACCGGGTCCCTCAAAAATGCAATTGGGGGAGGGGGGATTTTGACCCCTGGAGATCTCCATTTGTGGTTCCACTTTCCCTTTTCTGGGGACGACTAGATAAATGGAATTGGGGACCCCCCACCCCCCCTTCCCCTTCAGGTAGGGGGGATGATACCCAAGAGAAAAGGCGTTGGCTCTTGCGGCAGGTGCCATGGTGCCAGCTTTCAGCCCGCCTTTCTCAAGTCAGTTCATGTCAAGAGGTGCGAGCCAGCTATGTTCAAGCTTCAGATGGCTGGTGGCGTGTCAAACGGCTTTTCAAGTTGGTATTTCTCCTGTTATCCCTTCACAAGCCGCTGGCACTGGGGGTGTTCCCAATCTTCACTGCCATGTCCTCCCACACGCGCACGATATGGGTGTGGCTCAAACTCAAAGAGTTAGGGTTACACAGGTTTGAGTTGTTGCTTTCATTGGCCAAGGCCACAGTTTCTTACCTCTTAAGAACACAACTTTTCAACTTTTTGGGGGTAACATGGGCTATATGTCTGTAACAGATTAACTTCCCCAGGGCTTGGAGTTTTAAGGGGTAAGGTTTGGCGCACGTGTTCGAGCCACAGCCACATGTCAAGCTCGTTGCAGCCCAGGCCTCAAAAATGACGGGACCTTCGCTGCCAGAACTCGAGCGGACCCTCTCGACGTTGAAGTCCTCGAGCGGAGCCTTCCGCGAGGACTGGGCGAGGGCGGAGGCGGAGGCGAACGGGTGCCCTCCAGCACCCAGGTTAGAAGGGCCCTCCCACCAAACATGGGTTAGTGCAAAAAGGCGCTTTCCAAGAGGAAAGGCTCCTTCAAAGATCTCCATTTTGCAACCAGTTGAAACATTCCGCACCAAAATAGAGGGAAACCGCCAGTCACAAGTTGCAATGTTCAGGTGTTTTTCATGCATGTAAGGATCCCTGCAAGAGGAAAGGCTCGTATTTTTCTACAGTCTGTGCACCAAACCATGTTCGCTGGTGGGAGGGGACCTGTTGACATTCCTTGATGGGCCACACGGACATGCGAGGTCAGACAAATACTCCGCACAGACATGGATTCTCGGGTGGAAAATAGGGGTAAAGCCCTGTAAAATGAAGCCTCCAGAGATATTCCCTGCTTGCACCTTTCAATTTTGGAGATAGCTCACATGCAAAAGGCAAACACACACACATATATATATATATATATCTTCTACATGTATTTTGTTTTTACTTCAGCAGCAACAGTGCTTCCAGATCACTGGGAAATCGTTCCGGCATAGTCCGTACTGCTCAGCTGCAGGAGCCAGACGCATCGCTGCGTGCCAGGTGCCGGGCTGCGGAAAGCGCGGTGTTTTTCGTTTTTCGTGCCCCTCTACAAGCCACAAAGGGGTGCAAAATCCCACCAAGTAACATGGAACCTGAGCAGGGACCCGGTGCCTTCAAAAGGAGAATGGTCTAAACGAGGATCCCGAGAACGTCAATCTTTTCTCATGGTGTCACGGTTGCCCACAGAGTGAGTCTGAGATGACAGGCGTGGCATCCTGTTTTTCATACATGCTTCAGTGGGAGCTATTCCTGCCTTTGGGATCAGTGCTGTCAGAAGGGTCTGGGTACGTGTTGGGGGGCCAAGCATCTTCTCGTGACTTTTGTGGACACTTCCTAGTCACTTGCAGGTTAGATTGGTCTGCCTATGTTATTGCCAGCCCACACCCGGGGGCAAAACGAGCTCACCATGACAAAGGTTCTTTACTTGAACTTGGCTTCGTTTGCGCATCCAGACGAATCCGGGAGCCTGGGAGTGGTTTGGGGACTGCGAGGCTTCTGCGCAGGCGGGATGTGGCGCTGCATCCCTTTAACCAAGGAGCGCAAGAGACAGAGAGAGAGAGAGGGAGAAAAAAAGAGAGAGTGAGAGCGCCAAGCGTTCTCTGATAGTTACCCTGTCAGACATCATCATTGGAGCGCCATGGCCCCGTGCATCAAGAGGTTTTCTCTTGCGCCTGCAGAAGCAAGTATATAATATGTATATATATATATATAAATTCCACCTCCTGGAAGCCACAAAAGCTTGTTTTCGATTGGTCATCGGTTTCTGCTCCACTACCTTTTGCTGGGTCATGTTGTTGAGGCAGCCAGGCGACGAGCAAACTTCTGATTTGGAGGAGAACAGCTGCAGCTCAGTCTTGTCAGCCACCGACACGCAGCCTTCTTTCCGCGGAAGGCTGCTCAGACTCGAGCTTCAATTTCGGGTGCTCCCCTTGAAAAAGGCAGAATTCCAACTGCCCCAGTTGACTTTCAGCCTGCGGCGCCTTCGGAACCTGCGCGCCTTTGCGCAAATGTGCGCACAAGCGCGCTTCGCGCGCTCGTGAAGCCAAACTCCCCTTGATGGCAGGATGACAACCTGGGCACACAAATGGCAAGTGTGCTCACAGCTGGGACACTAAACTGGCCTGCTGCACCCACTTGCATTGATTTGTGATGTTCACATCGTTTTTCAGGCATCCCCATTTCAGGCAATCAATGATGCTAGCATTTGCCCTTTATAAACGCAGAAAGGGGCTCAGAATGTGGACCCCCGCAAATTGGCTCAGAATCTGCAAGTTTCAGATCGCATGTTAGTTACGTCAAAAAGTGGTAACCTGGGACCCCATGGTTGTTCATTTTAGCATTGTTTATTGGCATTGTTGATTGCAGCCAGAGGTTTGTAATTTGAGCATCTTCTGTCAATGCGTTCGCGCTTTCAAGTGATTTTGGACCCGGTGTTCAAGACTCAGGATTATGAGGAAGCTAGTAGCATTGGGAGTGCCATCCATCCGTGCTATTGACGCATGCGCGAAATGTGACGCTCACATGAACTGATCAATATTTGCGAAGATCCCGGCCGATGTTGTGGGCATGACACGATCTGGTCAAGCCAATAGCTTGCACCTTGTCGCTGCCAAATGTTTTGTGGATCTTTGAGATGTCTTTTGGATTCAGTACGGTATGGACCGCAGAAATGCTTCCCCTGCTTTCATGTGTGGAGCGGGCAGGAGGTTTGCTGATGCTGGCAGGTTCATTTTGTGGCACCCGCATCTGAATACGAGACCAACGCCCGTACTCCCAGTCAAAAGTCCAAGCGTCCCCAAGCTATCTGGATCCAGACAGCATCAGGGGACTGGGCGAATGCGCCGACTTTGGGCACCTGCCCTGCGCCGAATGGAGTCTGAGTAGACGCAAGCACAACCTCACGCGCGGATAGTTCACCAGCCACTGAGTTCCAGAGCCTGCGCTAGCCCACCCCGCCAGCAAAAGTGGCCCAGGGCAACTACCTTGAGCCCTCCATACCAGACAAAACTAGCTGGAAGTGGTTGGTCTTATTTGCAATGCCAAGCTAGCTCGCGCGTGACTTGGACCAAAGCAACAACATAAAATTGCAGTGTATGACTGCAAGCTATATACGCACAAATTTGTACCCGCACTAACATGTATGTTTTTCTACATATGTGTCTATATATATATATATACATATATGTCAACATGCATGCACACTGTAACTATCTACATATGCATCATGGCTATGTGTATTTACTCTGCATATATGCACGCCATCTATCTATGTAGCTGTGTGCCAACAATGTATCCAACCTGCTCCTATCTCATTTAGCCTAACCCAATCTAGCCCAGTCAAATCTTTTTGTATCTATCTATTTGCTTATTTGTCTATGTAATCTACTCTAATTCAAGGCTGACCTCATGCAATCTTGTCGTATGGTATCGTATCGTATCGACATCTACTAAGATCTAATATATAATGCCTGTGAAACAGCAATCTGTAGTTGCACGATTGGCCATATCTACAACTATACGTGTATCTATCTCTGATATCCGTCGCTTAATGTATGATATCTACATCTATTTGTATCTTCATCTGCGTTTCTATCAAGCTCTACATCGATATCTGCAACTTTGCCTGCATTCGCATCAATATCTACATCCCCACCTGTAATTATCTGCATTTGCATCACTACAAGTAAATCTGGTACCTCATCTCAGTTCCATATTTCTATCTGCCTATGGAGACCATCGCCCCCTGCCAGCCCGACCGATCCATCGGTTTCCCCCGCGCGAGGAGGCCCGACCGGGGGCTTCTTGGCCGGTGCCTCCCGGCAGGGCATGCGCCGGGCGCAGGCGGCGGCGCTGCGGGTCTGCCGCAAGGCGCCGGATTTCGCTGTGGGTCCGGCGGTCGTTGTTTTTCTCCGCCAACGGAATGGGTCCATTTCTTCCATGTGCTGAAGTCAGAATATATTAATATATGTTGTTTCTATTATTGTGCCTCAGGTTGGTTTTGAAGGGAATCTATCACTGCTGGTAATATTTGCTATTTTTTCCAGGGTGTCTTAGAGTCTTGTGTTAGGGGTTCCTCTTGGTTCAGTTTAGAGTATTTAGATTCGATTCACCAAGAGTGGACTACCCTCAGCAAAGGGACATATTGAGTTGGGTTCTTGCTTTGACCCTCGAACTGGCTGGTTTTGTTTGTCCTTTTGGTTGCATTATAAAACACCAAGAATGGATAACCATCAACAAAAGAAGACACATCCATTTGGGTAAGATGGGTTTTCTTTCGGTTTCAGGAACCAATGTGCAAAGGGTACCCTCCCAAAACACACTCATTTTCTGAGGCTCGGTAGCCTTGTGGCTGTGTTACAGAACCAAAAGGGAACCGCCCGAAACATGGGGTTCCCCAATTTTGAGACAAACCCAGACCAGGAACCTCTTTGTCGGATGGTGGTGTATGAATGGAAGTCCGGTTATCGGGATCATAAGCAACCTGTTTTTTGTGTTTACCTACATTTGTGTTTACCCCAGATTTTGATTTTTCTTTTAGGGTTGAGGGGAAAGCAAAAAGGAAGGCACCTAGAGCAGTCACTGAATTTTCAGATGCGCAAACCTTTTCCCCTGTTCGGCTTGGGTGGCCTTGTTGGACCCGAGAGCAAAGAAACCGGCGAGATTTTTCGGCTTCAGAGTCTGAGCTCATACGCGCATAGGGTATAGGCCCCCCGCGGGTTTGGATTGGGATTTGAACCTGTGGGTTGAACTCTGCCCGAAGCGAATCGACCAGGTCTGACCTTTTGGTGTCTCCTTTTTGGTCTAGTTTTAGTCATGGCCCCAAAAGGTGATGAACTTGTATTTCTGGGTCCCTAAGGGGCAAGTGAGTGACCTGAGGGTATATGGGAAACCAGCCTCAAAACAAAAACCAGCCGCCCGTTGGAAGGAAGCTGAGATACGAACTTTCTAACCTCAGAATGCTTCCCAGGTTCGCAGGGAAACCAGACAGCTATCACTTGTCCTTGTTCTTTTTGGACAGTTTTTTTTGCAGGGGAGTATTCGCTTTGGGCCCTGGGGCGGTCCAAAAGCTTGGGAGCTTTGCGAAGGTAGCAAGTTCCGAGTGTCCATGGCCTTGGTGATTTGTCAGTTCCTTGGTGAGTTGATTGGGTAACCCGTGGTCGGTTTGCAGACCCGAACCCCTGGCTTGTGTGTTCTTGGGGTTGCCCCCTTGGGCAAATGGGAAACCACCCCCCACCCACCAGACCACCGGGCTCACCACCAAAGAGAGGGACACGGCTGAGGGGCCCTAACTCCAAGCCCTCAAAAAGGATCTAAAACCTGGCTGGCATCTGTCGCGTCACAGCAGCCGCCATTGTCCAAGTCGGTGACAACCACCCGTGTTAACAACTAGGTCCCCAAGTAGTGCCCTTTTACCCTTTTTTGGGGGAGGGTTCCCCTACTAAAATAGACTTATAGAAAAATTACCTAGACAAGGATTCTTTGTTTGGGAGTCCCAGCAAAAGCGACAAATCAATCTATCTCTGCAAGCCATTCGGGCTGCAATGGTTTCAATGGCCACAGGAAGCCACTCCACCTGAGAAATACGCTGTTACTGTATCATGTTTTCAGGTTTTGGTAAGGCTTTTGGGTGTTCTCTTCATTTTTAGGTGGGGGGGCTGCCAAAAAAAAGCGACGTTTGTCAGGTGTTTACCCCACCTGAACTCGAGGCACCGATCACTGCCGTGGCTGCACGCCACCAGGAGGTTACCTCGAAGCTGCCCGCTGGTCGATGCTTGGCCGAAGCCATCATGGGGGCTCGCCTAAAACGACACCATATGGAACATAATCTGAAGACAATATGTTCTGACTGCGGAAGTGGGACAAGACAACAAATTGCACGTGATCCTCGCTGCGGCTCGTTTCCAAACAGAGAGCCACTTCAATGGGCGCAGTTAGCAGAAACGTGTGCTGGAATTCGCTGAGTGAAGCGAATGCGAGCGAATGACTTACACGCAACTCCATTGGGTCACTTTGGAAAGCGATCAACCAGTCAGCCAGCTTCCCGAAGTTGTTTTTCAACGAAAAAAGCTCACTCGAGACATGGCGAAGCCCGAGTTTTTGATTCCGACATGGACAGGGTGGCGTGCCCTTATACCCTGGGATTACGCCCTTGCCAGATACGGCTCGTTCTTTGGGCTCATTTGTGGGATGAGTTTGGGTCATGTCCGGAGGGTGTAATCCCAGGGTGCGCTAACATCCGTCCATGGCCCGATCGGCCAGTCAGCTGAGGCTTGACCAAGCCCACAGTCGCCTCAAAAGTGTCTGCCTGGCGAAACCCGCAGCTGAAGCTGAAGTTGCCCAAGGCGCGAGGTTTTTGTGAGCTGGTCTGACTTGGTCAACTGGGGTCAATCATTTTCTTCGGAGGGAACCGCAAAGGCATGTGATGTCCATGTGGGCCTATTTATGGGTGAGAGTCTGTGCGGCGATGGTGTTTTCATGGCGATTGCGGCGATGGGCTTACCTTCAGGCACCGGCTTTCCGAGCCAAAGTCCCCGAATTTCCCCTTTTTTCGCTCCGAGCGAGCCATCCGTGAGGTGTTCATAGAGCAGTCGCCGGCGGAGTCGGTGGCGCTTGAGCGGCGGACTTTGTGGCAGGAGTTTCAGGCGAGGTCCGCGATAGTTTGCTCGTGAAGGCTCCCAATTGGATGGGTGCCTAGAGAAACCCTTTGACATCTATAACTTCATTCCGGCACACATTGAGCGACTCACTGGGCAGCCGTGCAATGTAGTGAGCCGGGTCCAGCCAAGTGCCAAGGGAAAAGAGTGCTTGATTGTTGCATGTTGACCGTGCCCATTTTGTGAGATTTCGGTGCCAAGCGCTTTGCCATCGGCCATGCGCTTGCGCTTGCGTGGGTCGGCCGGGGCTTGTATGTCTAGAGGTCACACCCGAATGGGTTGGCCGATCGCCCGATCGAGACAACTTGCAAAAAGCGGGTGCAAAAGGCGGACAAGAAGCGCCAAACAAGTGCTAGGCCGCTAGAACTGAATGCGGCTTGCTGTGACACTCGGCATGATGCGACACGCTGGAGCACAAACTGGTTGTCACTCAACCCCCCCCCAAAAGAAAAAAGAAGAAGCATGGCACAAAAATGATACACAACACGAAAGGCTCAGCTCTGAAAAAAGGCTCACAGGCCATGCCCATTTCCTTGTGAAGGGTTTCCGTGGCCTCTCTGAGGCGACAAAGAGGTCTTGCAGTCCATAGGCATCGAGATGGAGGGGCAGAGGTGGAGGCCTGGTGCTGTTACAGGGCCTACTCCGTGACATGTCTTCGGGTGGGCATCAGGCAAAAATGATGGAACAACGAAGGCGACCGAGTAGAAGCCGGAGCCGAGCGAATGGGGCGAACCAAAACCTGCCAAAAATGAAGGCGGCCCGAAAAGAGACGAAGTTTTGAGGGGTATTCCATTGTTACGTTACACCTTTTGATTTTCTTGCTTTCTTGCTGGTGCTCAGTAGGGAATGAGGGAATGAACCTGATGGTCCCCTTAGAGGAAATCACCAGTTTGTTGGTTTATAGGGGTCATTCCATTCTCATTCCTTGCCTCGGAATCTTCGGAGAAAAACACTAAACACATCAAGGGGCCCAGGCGGCTTGCCGCGGAATTTTCGGAGAAGAAACAAACACATCAGGATCTTGGATGAAGCTCGGGCACGGCCAAGGAATTGTCCAAATGTCACATTGTTCTCATCTTGTGCGTTGACTATTTTTGGCAGTTTTGAGCTCTTGCCCTAAGCCGAACGTTCTGCTTTTCCACGTGCTCCCAGACTGGCTCTCAAAATGGTGGGTTTCGTGTTCGATTGCCTTCTCCCTTCCAAGCGCGCCAAAAGCGAACGCAAAATACACCCATATTGTCATGTTTGACTTAACATCCCAATGCTACTGTGGTTGGACCGAGAGCCCTGGCATGGCCCCGCTGTAAATACCAAGAATGGTTTTTCATGGCTTCCAAGTGGTGCGAAAGGATTTCGTCTGTCCACAGTAGTATGACAGCATTGCGCTGGCTGCCGAGGTGCCGGGTGTGCGACGTGTTTCTGATCTCGCCTTAGCACAAACTCGCCCGCTGCCCGCTCGCAGGGTGGATTTGGAGAGGGACTGTTCATCCCCACCCCCTTAAACATGGAATTGCGGGAGGGGGGTGACCCCTGGAATTCCACCTTGGCTCCATTTTCCATTTTATGAGGAAGACTAGACATGACTGTTCCAACTCAGATGGCCTTGTCGCCAATTTCCTGTTCCACGCCTTTCTTTCCCGGGAGAGGTGGCACTCCATGCTCTGTCTAAGCTGTTTCCCCCCTTGGCCGGCGCGCGCTGAGGCAGACTCTGATCGATTTGTACAGCCACCTCAACCCGACCAACAAGGCTTGCGGTTGGGAGGAGGAGAAGTACCCCCGGCCCACGGCCGGATCATTGTGTCGATGATCACGGCTCAAATTTGAAGGTGCTTCTCAGTTCTCAGAGTGGTTTTGGCTTTGTGCTCCTTACTCCTTACCTTTCTCTATCACATTCAGGTCTTTCAACTTGGAAGAAGGCCACATCTGGCAGGCTTCTTGCAGTTTGGGTACGTCTCAAGCGGCATCCCCCCAAATGGTTGGCTTCTTTCTGTACGTTCTGAGCGCATTGCCCCGGCACATCGCACAGGTGGGGAAGACCCACAGGGATTGGCTGAACTACTCCGCGGGGCGCCCAACGAGACCGAGAGACGCCTTGGCCTGAAGACTTCGACCCTAAGTCGGGCGTGTCAGGAAACGCCGACTGCAATCGAAAGATCAGTGCGGGAGTCAGGCCAATGAGATGTGCAAGACCAGAGTGAATCCAGGATGTGTAACCCTGAATGAATGGGTGTCCCTTTTGGGAGATTTCCCTTTCTTGCGTGGCATGGTAGCACAGCTAGAGTGGGCCCGCCCTGAGTGAGTGTGCATGGGTCCCATTTCCAGGGTGAGCTTCTCGACATATGAGCCACGTGCTCAAAACCGATTCGGGTAGATGAAGGTTAGTAGGGGACAATCCCCTTGCCATAAATAGCTGCGGATATCCGCCTTCTGAATTCTTGAAGCATGGTTCTGCGTCGACCATTTTAATGCCGGGTTTTGAGTGTGACTCATATGTCGCCCAAAGGGCATCTAAGCCTTTGGATTCACATGGCTGTGTAGCCTGGGAGTCCAGTGTTGGCATGCGGCTCTGAGGCGGAGTGGGTTGGTCACCTTCAGCAGTCAGGCCATTCGAAGCTTTCCGATTACGTTGGAACTGGCCTGGATTTGGAGATTGGGTAGGTGGCAAGCAAGTGCCACTGAGGAGAGGCCTATGCCCAACAGCACCTTTTTTTCCTACGAGACTTTTTTCTAAATGCCCGACAGCACGTTCATTTTTCCCCCAAGGAGACTTGCATTTGCTTTTTGCTAAAATCTGGGCGAATGTATCCAAATGGGTATGGGAAATGTCAAAATGAAGCCACCAGAGAACGGCCGGGTTTTTGCCAATGTGTCCATTCACCGGGGTTCCATCCACTTTGGGTACCTTTTGACCCACACCCAAATGACGGTCCCTGGCGATGCCCCTTCTCCAGCGATGGTTTTTGCAAGTAGCAGTCGGTCAGTCTGTGGGGCGCCCGGCTCATGATCGATTCGACTTTGATCCGGGCCTGGCTTGCCCTCAAGTCAAATTGCAGATACAAAACAACATTTATTTAGGCGACACTCACGAAAGTTGTCACCTGTTTGTATAAATGGAAACAACCTTGACAGACGAAATTTGCAATGTGATACAACACATAATTCTAAAGAAGGAACAGAGTTCCGCGAAAAGTTGGCGCCAGCAGAGGAGTTGGTCACCGATTCGGCTGGCACTAGGTTCTTACCGGTTTTTTGGGCTGGCTTCCACAAGCAAGAGCAAATAGACTGGCCGTGGCTCTGTGGGAGCATATTGGCAGGCTGGAGCCTCATGTACCACAAGCTCCACATCCGCCAGAAAAAGTTTTTCTGCTTTCCGTGCCGCACCCGGCTGGCAGACGAATGCCCCGGGGTTGGCGAACACCCCCCTTGTCTTCTTGAAAGGATTGGCCGATAGTCTGAACTCTTCGTTTGTGCTTTTTCGTGGCCTCGCAAAGGAACACCAGCGCCAAAAAGGGGAGCATTTTTTTTCGAAGGTGCTTACACTGAGCATCGCTGGAAACGTGAGTCAAAGCTCTCAGCCAAGCGCCCGAGCCAACCTTAGGTCAGGTATCCCTTAGTGGTTTGGACTCCAAACCACGTGTCCAATGGCTTTGGAGGTCACTTCCCAAGTTTCAACTTGACAAGCGTCGCTTCTTCGCCGATGTGTCTACCCACTGGTCAAGCAGCTGCCGTGCTGAGCGGCCTTGAGGTGCTCCAAAGAGGGCGACATTTGGCATCTCTTCGGGGAGCCTCCTCACACGAGCACGGGTCCCGGCGAACAGCGGCGGTCTCCGGTCCTGGTTGATGTGCATGCGTTGTTTCGTGTTATTTCATTTTCATGTCGCTTGCAGTTGAGCGGGCAAAGTTTAGACTTAAGCGCTTGCGAACTCAGAAGGCCACCCATACCTCTTGAATTGCTTAGAAGGCCTGCTAACTGGAGACAAGGCGTGCTTTTCCACATGGCAGGCAACCCTTATGCGTCCTTTAGCAATTGAAAGTCGTATTCGTGAGGAAGTATCAGTTGTCGGTTTTTTCCAATCTTTAAAAAGGGTTGACCATATACGTCCTTGTGAAAGGGTCGCAAAAGACCGAAAGGGCCAGTTTGCTTCTGCCCATGTCCGCAAAAGCGAAACGCAGCAAAGGCCTTCGCGAAAGGAATTCGAAGTTTCTCGGCCGCTGGGGCAAATGAAGCGTTGGTCAGAACCAGAACGGCCACTCGTTTTCCATGACCATGAGGGAGATAGATGTCAATGATTTTGTTGGACCTGTCGCGTTCCAGCAGCTAAGCGGAACCGGAATGCCATCAAACCGACCGACCAACCAAAAAACAACCAACCCAACCCAACCCAACCCAACCCAACCCAACGCAACCAACCAACGAACCAGCCATCCAATAAACGTTGGTTGCTTGCTTGGTTGGTTGGTCGGTTGGTTGGTTGGTTTGCATGTTTGCTCCTCACACACTTTGAAAGGGGAACCTGGAGATCGGCAAAGCACAGACTGGAGATCGGCAAAGCACAGATCGGCTTTGGAAAAACACTTCGAACCTCCAAAATGCTGTTCCGCGGCCCAAAGTCTTTTGTCTTTGGAGGGGTATCTTTTGAGGATGTGTTTTTTTTGTTTGTGTGTTTCGCTGTTGGCTTCTTGGCTTCTTGGCTTTTCGGCTTCTTCTTTTTTTATTATGCGGCTTTTGGGGCGCAACCCTCGGTTTGTTTTGCGATTTTGTACTTTTTGGGAAGATCATTTTAGTGGTAGATGAACCGATTGGACTTTTTTTGGGCCCATCCACTCAGGAAGTGAGGTGAAGCCCCAGACGCCAGCAACCCTCGAGTTCCTTGTCTTGTGACTAGCCAACTTTTGGACGCGGACCGAGGTACGAGAAAACACCTTCAGGCCATGCGGAGATCCGAGTGTGGGGCCAAGCGCCTGAAAACAAAAAAAACAAAAAACAGAACAACAAAAAAACCCAAAACGGCCAGGTTCAGAAGGCGGTCGGCCCAAAATTCGCCCGTTTTAGGTTACAAGTAGCTTGGTGGCTCCAAAAGGCCATCCGGTTCCTTAGCCTTTTTTAGCTTTTAGTGTTTAGTGGTAGTTTCCGAATTTAACCCACTAAAAGTTAAACTTTTAGCGGGGGATCTGAGGGCAGCCCAGGTAGGTGGCACCAGTTTGGATGGGCTCTATATGCCACTTGCTAGGGCCGTCTATCTTTCCAAAAGGTCACCTATGGCCCTGAGGGATTGGTGTTTGGAGAAGATCCGGGTCTTGATTTGTGCCGGAACGGGTTGCGTCCGCCCCGCTCTTGAAGCCTGCATTTGTCTGGCATTTCCGGAACACAGGCCAAGTCAAGGTAGGGCAAGGTCAGAGAAGCCCAGGTGTTATTTCAAAAGGTAGGGGTGCTGATGATTTTGCGGGCCGCGACTCAGAGATGTCAACTGAAATCTCGGGCCTAAAAAGGGGCCAGTGCCCTTTTACCAACCTTTTTTGTTGGGGGAGTTGTTTTTTTTCTAAAATAGAGAAAACCGGGAAAAAGTTTAAAAAAAACAGTTGGTACCTACTTATTCTAACCTCTCTACGGTTCCCCTACCAATATAGTCTACAGGGAAAAAAGTTGGTACCCTTAAACTACGCTCTCAAATCTGGAGGATCTGGGGGGTTAGGAGCGCGAAAAAGCGAAACAAGCCAAGGCTGCAGGTGCCGAACAGGGGCCCCTTCCCTGAGGAGCAGAGGCGCTGACGCATCCGATTTGCCAGGGCTCCTTAAAAGAAATCTCTATTTTGCAACCACCCATTTGAAGCATGTCGCTTTTTCCGTACCAAGATGAAAGGAATTGAAACCGCCATGTACAAGTTGCAATGTTCAGGTGTATAATGTAAGGATCCCTGTTTGCTGGTTCGGTCGGCAGGGGATGAGAGAACTCAGCCCCTGGTTCTTGGCTTTGACCATTTGACTTGCTGCGGATGGCAAGTTGGGGGGGGCAACGTCCGAGATCTTGCTCCTGCGTTGTTTCTTTTGGTGTTTGCTGGCTTAGCTTCACTTGTTCTTTGCTTTTGCGTTTTGTTGCTTTGCCACCCAGGGAGGTTCTCTGTTTCGGGTTTGGCCCCTGGTTGTCCAGCCCACCTCTCGGCGCCGGCGCCTTCCTTCTGCTGGCTCCAGCATGCGCGGCTTCCTCCAAAGGAGGCAGCCACCAGGCGGTCCGGGGCCACAAGGCGGAGCTGGGGGGGTCGGGGTGGGGACTAAGGGAAGGCTTGTGCACCCAAGTTTTTGGCACCTTTTTCTTGCCTCTTGAAAACACAAAACTTTTCTCAACTTTTTGGGGGTAACATGGGCTATATGTCTGTAAAAAGATTAACTTCCCCAGGGCTTGGAGTTTTAAGGGGTAAGTTTTCGGCCCAACATTGCAAGGATAGGAGCACGGACAATGAAGAAGTCCACTTCATGTCTTTGCTTTGAAGGGTAGATGTGCGGGCGCGCGTGCCCTTCCATTGACACATGTTTGAGATGCTGCAATACAGGTTCCCAGATTTCCTCTCTGAGACTGGACTTTCATGCTTTCCAGGTCGCATGGCAGTGGGGCGGTTTGGGAGCTTAGGATCGATGCAAACCCCCGTGTCTCGCCTGACCACGCTTAGGATTTGTCCTATTTGCCATTGCGTAGGAGATTTTTTCTCCGTCAATATGACAGGCGCCACAAACGTTTTCGCGGCCTTCCCAGGCATTGTCCAGTCTGGTTTGCCCAGGTGTGCTGATGGGTCAGACTTGTCGGAAGCTCAGAGTTTTGATCGGGATGTGGCAAGGCAAGCATAGCCTTGCCGAACAATGCTAACCCTGATGAGGAGAAAAACAAACCCTGGTTGATTAATAGGGGAGTGTCCCCTTTTAGTGGGGATTCAGACTACTTTTGGAGGGAACACCCCCCTACTACTGGGACGGGTTTCCTAATCCTGGGTCAACATCACTGCTCAGATTGCCTATGGGCCTAGCTTGCTGGTTTTGGGCTTCACGCTGAGTGCCTGGCTTTGCAACTCGCCAGCTCAGGTTGCGTGGCGCGCGAGGAGGAGGGGGGAAGGGGAACGAATGAGACATTTCGAAGCCGGCGGACTTCTGGGCGGCGATTGTACTTGGTGCTTCCCAGCGCGTTCGGTTCCTTTGGGTTTTTGTTTTGTTGGTTTGGTGACGGTTCCCGTTGACCCACTCAAAAGTTGATCTTTAGCAGGGGCTCTGAAATCGGACAGCCCAGTGTTGTTTTTGCCTTTTGGACACCGTTTCCCGACCATTTGTTCAGTGCATTCCACTTGGATTCTGGTCAAGGTGTTGTCTTTGGGAGATGGGGAAGCTCTTGGTTCTTGGACGCTTGAGGCACTAGAACGGAAAAATGCCGAGCTACCCCCGCCAGGAGGTCAGGGCGCGAACCACCTTGGCCAGTTTGAAGTAGCTGTGTGCACTGAATAGCTGCGCTTACAAGTTCAGCATGCCACCTCGCAATGTCTACAAATGGGGGGGTCATTTTCGAATTACGTTGATACCAGGCTCCCGGATCCACCAATTGCAGTTTGAGAGTCTCCGCTTCGGACGAGGGTTGAGATGCGGTGCCCAGGACGCTTGGGACGGCATCACCGGCATGTCCTCGGGAAGCAAAGTCTTTCAGGCCGAGCTGACATCTCTTACCGCTCGCGAAGAGGAACTTTGCTTCATACTGAGCTCCCCTAAGAGTCTCTGCTCGGCTCCCTCTGGCCACGCCTTCAAATCAGGAGTCCTGGAGTTGATTCTCATCTGAGAATGCTTTGGCTCGGTCACATGGCGAAGCTGCTGGTTTCCGCATTTTTCGGGGGTATCGGGGCCAATTGGCCACCTTTGGCCAAAGCAACCAGGGCTTGGACCCAGATGTCACATGTCACGACAGGCGGAGGACCATGAGCCGGCCTGGCCTGGCTTCAAGCTATGGCCATCGATCGCGTGAGAACGGTTGGTTTGGTCGTTCAGGTAACCCCTCGTGGGTGGTTTGGCCCCGGGGGTTTGGATTTGGATTTGAACCCTTGGATCTTGTAGAGGCAAAATGGGAATCCCTTAGCTGAAACATATGCTTTAGGTCTTGTACTGTTCAGTCGCTGGCTCGGGCGGCCGGGGTTGCAATGAACAAATATATTGTTGTCTAAATCAGGACTCAAGCCACTTGTGTGGGTGGGGTAGTGAAAACTTGCGCACGCGAGCGCACGCATACGCCCACAAGCAGACAGGCGATGACGGGCACAGAGACACGAGCGTGTGGATTTGCAAGCGACAAGCCCCAGTGCACGTGTGCAAGCCCATGCTTGCATACATGCAAAGCACGCGCAACGACTCCCGGCACGCACCTGGAAGATACTGCGCACGCACTCGGGCTGGCTCACGCTGCAGCGCGCGGCGCAAGTGCACATGGGCTGAAAAAACAACCCCGCGCCTTTTCGTTATGTAAGGGGCTGTCCCTTAACTTGTTTCGCAGGCCAAAACCATTGTAAACCGATACAGAGGAAAAAGAACCGATACCCCCAGAAGCCATGAAGACACACATCAGGTCCTAGTTGTTGTCGCAAACCAAGATTGCGGAATCATAAATTTGCAGGGCCCAAACCGATACCCAAACCGATACCCAACCGATACCCAACTCATTGGCGGCCATGCCGAATCCAACCAGCTGCCCTGCAGCCTTCTCTGGAGCTGCCAACATGTACTTTGTGTACTACATTTGTACTGAAAAGTTGCGACTTCCGCTGTGGAGCTGCCAAAATGTACTTCGTATACTACACCATACTACACTTGCTTGCACTGAAAAGCTGCGACTTTCGAGCCGGAGCTGCCAAAGTGTACTGCGCATACTTGCTACTTTCCAGCTGGAGCTGCCAACATGTACTTTGTGTACTACACTTGTACTGAAAAGTTGCGACTTTCCAGCTGGAGCTGGGAGCTGGCAGAGTGTACTTCGCATACTACACTTGTACGGAAAAGTCGCGACTTTCGAGCCAGAGCTGCCAAAACACTGCAAACCCATACAGAGGAGAAAAAAACCGATACTGACCGATACTGAGGCATAAGGATACAAGGGTTGTCCACGGGTTTTTTTTTCAGCCCACATGATCACGCAAGTGCGCGTACTCACTGCAAGATAAGTAATTCCTAGGATTGGTGCTGCAGCGCCCAGCCGTGACCCAGTCAGCTCCAGGATGAACAAGGAGAGGAAGACGGCAGAAACGAGCACGTGGCTTCTCGTCTAACAGGCTACCCTTCCTTCAACAAACGTGGCATTTGCCAAGGGGTCCCTGGAAGAGGAAACTCATCTTCCAGGAACCCTCCCAACATGGGAGGGAGGTACAACCCAACGAGAAGCAAGCGTGGCAGCAGACACAAGAAGCGCGAAAGATGCAACCACCCCGCTGCGCGCATGCGCACGCATGCCTGCACACGCACGCCTGGGGCGAATCTTCGTGAGTCAACTGCTCGATGTTTGTCTTTATAATTTTGGTCGTCTGCACCCATGTTTGCACGCACGTGCGCGCTGATTGCCCCCACCCCCACCCACCCACCCCACCTCACCCCACGCCACCCCACCCCACCCCGCCCCGCCCCGCCCCGTCCCGCCCCGTCCCGCCCCGCCCCGCCCCGCCCCGCCCCGCCCCCGCGCAACCACCACACACACAACCCACACACACACACAACCCACTCCCAACCCACTCACAACCCAACGCGCAGCCACACAACACACTTGCAACACACACACACACAGACAGACAGAGACAGACAGAGACAGACAGACAGAGACAGACAGAGACAGACAGAGAGAGACAGAGACGGACAGAGACAGACAGAGACAGACAGAGACAGACAACACACACACAGACAACACACACACACAGCAGACACACACACACACAACCCACACAGAACACGCACACACAAACACGCGCGACTACACAACTACACAACCACAGAACACACCCACAACACGAGCAATATGCACCCCCCCAAGCAAGCATGCACGCATGCAAGAACACGCACAAGCACAAGCACAAGCACAAGCGCACACACACACAGAGACACACACACAGAGACACACACACAGAGACACACACACACACACAGACACTGACACACAGACACACTGACACACTGGCACACTGACACACTGACACACTGACACACTGACACACACACACACGCACTGACACACACACACACACTGACACACACACACACACGCACTGACACACACACACACACACTGACACACACACACACACTGACACACACACACACTGACACACACACACACACTGACACACACACACACGCTGACACACACACACAGACAGACAGACCGACAGACAGACAGACGGACAGAGACACAGACACAGACACAGACACAGACACACACACATACACACAAAGACAGACACAGACACAGACACAGAAACACACAGACACAGAGACACACAACAGAGACACACACAGACACAGACACAGACACAGAAGCACACACAGACACAGAGACACACAGACACAGAGACACACACACAGAGACACACAAAGACACACACACACACAGAGACACACAAAGACACACACACAGACACACACACACACACAGACACAGAGACACACACAGAGACACACACACACACACAAACACACACAGAGACACACACACACACAGAGACACACACACACACACAAACACACAGAGACACACACACAGAGACACACACACACACAGAGACACACACACACACAGACACGCAGAGACACAACACACACACAGAGACGCAGACACGCAGACACGCAGACACGCAGACACGCAGACACGCACAGACATACAAGCACACAAGACCCATGAGAGCGTGCACGCACGCACGCACTTCAGGAATCGAATTTCGCCAGGACGGAGCCGGTCCAGCCGACAAGTTATGGCAACTGTCGATGTTCCATTGGGAACTGGGCTATGCAATCGCCCACCCTACCAGCGCGATGAGTTATTAGAAAAATGTCTCAAAGCCAACCCTGACAAATGCGGAGTGTATCCTTTTCTTGGAAGCCGACTCCCCAACCCCGCGAACGCTTGATGACGCCTTCAGACTCTAGTCGCCCCATCACTTAGCTATGATGGACCTGACAAATTTGTGGGCATCATCTTCGAAAGCGTTCGGGTATGGTTTTCGGGGAGACACGCTCGCCCTACTTTTTGTTCAAGTTGGGCATGAGCCAGGGCTGCTGCCGTTGTGATGACATCCCTGTTCCTATGAGTTCTCAATACGCGCAACGCGACATCCCAGTTCCAAAGACGGCGGGAGAGAACATTCGGTTGTTGCGGCGTTTTCACAACGGCTTATGCTCTGCGAAGCGGAATTTGACATTTCTCCTGCACCACCTGTCAACCAGTCAATAAACATGAGCCACTTTTGCAAACAGGGCTGAAATCGCCACGTGGCATGCGCATTGCCAGGCTCCTACGCTGCTGTCCCCCAGGCCAAAGCAGGCAGATGCATTGGCGCGCCGCGAGACGAATGTGTTTGCGAGAAATTGTGGCAAGACAGGTTTGAGGAAGGCAAGTATGCCTTTCCAGCTCATGCTGGGAAACGCGTTGCAAGCAACCTTCGACGGCATGGTTGAAGATTAGGTGCAAAGAATGAAGCATGGCTAGGCATTGCCAGCAAGCGGGTCCAGGATTCTAGTGGGCTCAAATCTGACTACCTTGGCGTGAAGCGGACTGTGCTTGATGATTAGCTTCCCCATTGATGCCCCCAATACTAAGCTACAAGGGCTTAGGGTTAAGTCGCTTCGGCTTGTGAAAAGTCGCGTTGTTTGCGCGTGGCCAGTGGTGAAAGTTGTTTTGCTGGAATGATGATGATCAAACGTCATCAGCAGCGGGGGGGGTGCAAAAAACTCTAGCTCATCAATATAGTTCGTTGCTGGCCTTTTGGAGAACATTGGATCCCCAGCAAAGTGGCATGGTGAAGCGATTTTTTTGGCGGAGCGTGGGTGCCTTCTGAGAGAACATTTAATTAATGTTATGTTCACAGTTCTACGCGCTGGCTTCGGCACATAGCTCACATGAGTCTTGACAGCTTTTGTTGCCCAAGGCGGTGAATCTCCGTGCCTCCGACAGCAACTTGGATGACAATGCGCCCGTGGCGGGCGGGCGGGCGGGCGGGCGGGCGGGTCGGCGGGCGGGCGGGGCGGGCGGGCGTGGTTGGATGCTGCTTGCCTGCTTGCCTGCTTGCCTGCTTGCCTGCTTGCCTGCTTGCTTGCTGCTTTGCTTGCTTGCCTTGCTTGCTTGCTTGCTTGCTTGCTTGCTTGCTTGCTTGCTTGCTTGCTTTGCTTGCTTGCTTGCTTGCTTGCTTGCTTGCTTGCTTGCTTGCTTGCTTGCTTGCTTGCTTGCTTGCTTGCTTGCTTGCTTGCTTGCTTGCTCTCTTGCTTGCTCTCTTGCTTGCTCTCTTGCTTGCTCTCTTGCTTGCTCTCTTGCTTGCTCTCTTGCTTGCTCTCTTGCTTGCTCTCTTGCTTGCTCTCTTGCTTGCTCTCTTGCTTGCTCTCTTGCTTGCTCTCTTGCTTGCTCTCTTGCCTGCTTTCTTGCTTGCTTGCTTGCTTGCTTGCTTGCTTGTTTGCTTGCTTGCTTGCTTGCTTGCGGCTCCCTGGTAGTGCGACACTCAGGTTGATGATTTTCACAGGCTTCCGGCGTGCTTTGTAGCTGCCATTCTAGGCTTGGTGGTTCAGCATGTTGCGTCCCAACCATGGCTGGCTGGATAGAACATGCAAGATCAATAGTTAGGCAACCCTGAATTGGTGGTTTGGATTGGCGGTTACGGGGTTTGAACCCCTAGCTCTTGTAGAGGGTAACTGGGAAGCCTCTGCAACCGCTCCAAGCCACCAAGGGGCAAGCTGACATAGTGGATCGTCTTCGGAGGGAATGAAACCGGAGGCCTCAGTTGCCATGGTCTTCTTTTTTTTGGCTGAGGTCAAAAAGACCACCGATCGCTGCTCCAGGCCCAGCCGGCAAACGAAGCTCAGACCTGAAGCGGTTGGAAAGGCATGCGGCCAGCTGTTCAGCACGCTTCTTCCTTTTTTCTTTCCCCCAGTAGTGCCCTTTTACCCCTTTTTTGGGGGAGGGTTCCCCTACTATAATAGACTACAGAAAAAAAGGGGACCCTTACTCTTTCCTCTCTACTGGAGGACCTAGTTCAGGTTCCTTCGGCACTTCCATAATTACATTGCCGTTACTTGGCTTCCACTCTCTTGTCTCCTCTTGTCGGCGGCTCAGGTTGCAATGGATACACATGCGATAGGAACCGTGCACGATGCACGGGGTCCGTGAAGAACGGCTCGGCAGGTCGCTGAGCGACAAGTGGAGGGCGGAATCGACGAGTGGCTGGAGAAATGGTGCACGGACCAGGCAGGATACACGCAGCGCGAGGAAATCTAGAAGAAGGTTTTGCAGTGCTGCTTTCTCATACTTTCTGTTCTGGGATGTTGCCAACAAACAATGAGTTTGAGGGCGTGTGATTGATTTTGGCAAACCAGAACAAATCCCGCTCTCAACCCCAAACCCACGCCAAGGCACGTCCAAGCGCAGCCTTCCCTATCCTACCCCCGCTCGAGGCCAACCCTCCCTAAGCCCACCCGGCCCTGCTTAAACGCACCCGGAACCAACCCGAAACCAACTCTAATCCCTCAGCCGCACTAAGGCCCTCGGTCGGTCGGCACCAGACTTGCCACGGCAGGTGTTGGAGTCTTTCCAGCACGCATCTTCCAAGGACCCTTCCGCCATGCCTGGCCTCAAGCCGGAAGCCAAAACTCACCCAGTGGATTCCGCCCCCTTTCTTCCAGCTTTTTGGTGGGGGAAGGGTTCCCTTTGAAACTCAATCAACAAAAAAAGGAGTGGCATGTTTTTCCCCGTGGCCGCTGGGCATCTGCGAAAAGAAGCTGAGGGTCGCCGACTCGGATCCACTGTGCAAACTTTGGACCTCGCCGTGAATTCAGCGTCTGCTCGAGGCTATTTGACAACCCGGATTTGTCAACTTTTTTTTTTGCTATGGGGGGTGCCGCTGGCCTTAGTGGGGGTGCATCACTTTCGGCGAAAAACACCCTCCCCCCCCCCACATTGAGAAGCAGCAACATGACCTGGTGGCTCCCAGCCATCCGGTTCTTTTGAGCCTAGAGTTGAGTGGCGGTTTCCGAATTTAACCCACCTGAAATCGGGCCCAGATTAATTCCCATGGCCTTGAGTCCACGCTGGAGGAGTCTGGCATGAACTCTTTGGCCACGGCATTGCGCCTTTGACGAATCAGCCGAATCCGCCGAAAAAATCGAGCCATCGATGCCCACAAAAAAGCCCTTGTGCCCGGTGGGGTGTCCAACCCAGTTGCCTAGTGGTTTTCCTTTTTCAATTGTCCTGGGGAAGGGCTCTTGTTAAACTCAACCAACCAAAAAAGAGATGCTCTTTTTTCCCCTGGCCACTGGGCATTTGAGGCTTGTTTTAGGTGCTGGTTGCGGGTGCTGAATGCAAGTGTCGTGAATTGCCACGGTGGTGGATGAGTGCGGCTTGTGGGGCGTTTTAGCCGCAAAGCTCTCATCAGTATCTACACGCAAACAACCACACACCCAGTTGTGCAATGGTCAAGATGAAGCCAATTAGGGGACCGCAGGTTTTAGCCGCCGTAATTCCATTTTGGGTGCCCATGTTTGACCCACAGCCACTTGAATTGTGCCCGGCCCACATGCAGCCTTGTGGATTGGTGTGTAGGGTTCGGAGCTTCCACTGCGAACATTCGCGGGTAGATGTTTGATTGAGTGGGTAAGGCTCCTTGGGGCTAATTGCGAGAACGAACGGTGCGCTGCTTGTCATGGTTATTCTCGGGGCAGAGGGTCTTCCAGTAGCTGAAGTTATGATGTGCCGTTTGAGGGTGTGTAGCTTTCCTGATTACTGGAAGCTACAACTGGAGGCATTGAGGAAGCCACGTGGATACGCAGACCATGTTTCAATCTGCTTCCACTTGGTTCTGAGTTGCCATTGGGAATGGGTCAGTTGAAACTGCCTAAGGAACTGGCGCAAGAAGTACAGAGCAGTGCTGACCGGTGCCAAGACGCCTTGCTGGCAGGCAGGCTTGAGGGTGTGGTGCTGTTTCTAGGTCCCCCAGCTAGGTGCCCTTCCTCACCCCTTTTTTGGTTTGGGAGGGTTCCCCCACTAAAATAGATTACAGAAAAAGGGTACCCCCATTCTAACCTCCCTACTGGCGGACCTAGATTGGTGGGATCTGAAGAATTTGATCGGTCAGTTTGGGGTTTTACATCCATTGCATCCGCAGTGTGGCTGTTCAAGCGTGAAAATGTGCGAGCAGCGCACTTGGACGGTTTGTTGTTTCCTTTTGGGCCCCAAACCGATAACCCTTGAATCTATAGGTTATCAGCCGTAGGCCCCTAGCTCTAAGCAATGGACGGTTCCCTTGTGCCAGTTGATGGATCCAGCATGCCTGTGGATGCTGCCGGAGCTAGCTCCGGCAACGCCACCGGCAGCGGTGTGCGAATGTTCGCATCAAGCGCTAATGCGCAATACAACCGCACCCTGATGAATTCCCTTCAACTGTACAACACCGCAATCTTTGCTTTTGGGAATGATGCAGCCATTAGGTCTGAAGCCGAAGCCCTGCATCAAGCAGCTGTTACGCATTTGCAAGCGGAAAACCGTGAGGAGCTCCGTGCCGCACAGAATCAGCTGCATGCACACTACGCTGAATGTGTGCAAGCCCAGTCGCATAGGATTCGTGAATACGAACAGCGAGTGAGCGATGAGTTCATGCAAGAAGTGAACTTCGCTGAAGCTAGGATAAGCCAAGTGTGTGAGGAAAATGCCCAAGCATTGCATGAAGCGGAAATGGGACGCAAAACAACTGAGTTTAGGCAAGCCATCGAATCCACCCTGGCGGAAGCCCAGCAGCTCCTCCATGAGCAAGCTGCCAAGCATGCCGATGACACAGCCCGTGTCGAGGCTATACACGCCAGAACGGTTGACATGATGGCCCACCAAAACGGGCTTCTGCAGGACGAGCTCGATGAGCTAAAGAAGTATCAGAAGCAACACGACCTCCGCGAGGATGGATCGAAGCCCAAAGGGGTAGGTGATACCCGAGAGGATTCCCCAGAGTTGATGACCGACGACATGAAGTCAGCTCGGTCCCAAAGGTCAATGTTGGACCCGTTGACCCATCCGTTTCAATATGCAAAGGAAAAGTTGAGGTCGCTTGTTACTTATGACGGTTACGGGGATGAATATACCCCTAGCGTGATTCCAACTGCCGAATGCGAAGCACTGCCCGCAGATGCTCGCGATCCGCAAGGACCCGCTGAAAAGCCATCAGGTAGCAGCCGATCCCCGGTGAAGACAAGTGCACCGGTCCCACCCCTGCAATTCTCTCAGGGGCCAATGTCAACTGACCGTAAGCAGGGTGGTAAGCCTCCCGGCGGTCCGCCACCTGATGATGATGGCGATGGCGATGGTGATGAAGACGAAGGTGATGGCCTCGGGCCTAACCTCGGCCAAGAAGCATTCGCCAAAATGTTGATGAAGTTAGTAAAAGGCCACACGAACGATGAAAAGCCCAGAACTCGCGAAAGCGAGACGTTGCGATTCAAGGAGATGCCAACTCCTGAAACGTACCGTGAATGGAAGACATCGGTTCGTGAGGACGTCCGCGCTGCATCTGACCGTCCAGACGAGGCTTGGCCTTGGATCATGGAAGTCTGGTCCGATCGCGAGGACAAGAAGAAGCTGTTGGAGGAGCTCGGCGAACCGGGAAAATTCGTGACCCTAGACACGAAGATTCTCGCAGCGCTCACGCGTTCAGCGAAAGGCGATCTGGCTCAGCGAATCCTAACAGCAAAGGAAGAATGTGCCAAGGAGGGAAAGGCCATGAGAGGAAGGCAGGTCTTGTTTATGTTTGACCAATATTTCAAGACCAGTGAAGAAGCCGGAAACCTCTACTCCTTGGAGGACCTGTTGCGTGTCTCGCGACACGGCGAAGGAATCATTGATCTCAAGCGTTTCCTAAACGCTTGGGATTCCGTGATCGCCGGCATGAAAAGGCCGCCGGAAGAAAAGGTGTTGAAAGACATCTTGCTTCGCCAAGTGAGAAGCTGCCATCTGTTGCGGTACGACATTGACACATATGATCGTTGCCGTGATGATGATCCCAACAAATCGTACGATTTCCTAATGCGTTGCATGAGGGATCTAATCGAGAGGGATAGGCTCCGCGAGAACCGAGAGCGCGTGTCCAAGGTCAATGCCAGTAAAGCCCCGACGCCCAAGGCTGGTGCTGCCGCCCCTGAAAAGAGGGACCCCAAGAAAAAGAGCGCACCTAAGCCGAAGGACACCGAGGAGAAGTACTGTTTTGACTTCCAGAAGGGCTCGTGCACGAGGGGGGCAAACTGCCCTTACGCGCACCGCAAGGAGCCGCGAGGACGCTCTGCGACCCGTGGCAGGCCAAGTTCCCCCAAAGGCGGAAAAGGAGAGAAAGCACCGTGTTCTTTCTTTGCCCAAGGGAAGTGCACTAGAGGTGATAAATGCAAGTTTAGCCATGCCTCCACGGGCGGCAAATCTGCCGCCGCGGCATCGAGCAGCGAGGCCAATGCAAATCCTGCGGCTAAGAAGCGTGCAAATTCACCTAAGCCTAAGCCCAAGGCCAAAGCCGCTGCAGTCTGCACCAGGTACGCCATGTTCGCAAAGCCGATCAACCCAATCGGAGTGTCATTCGACACCAACGCTCATGTTCATGAGATCCCCGCCGAAGGCGATGGTTTCAAGCTTGAGTATGAGGAACGTCAGTACAATAGGATGTTTCCAAGTGCCAAGGACTGCCCCAGGCCGACCAAAGGGACTAACAAGGCAGCGCGCAAGGCCGCGAATCAGTTGAATGCCGTAGTCAAAGCCATGGAGGATGGAGCCCAGCCCACTTGCGGTTTCATGTGCGATGTGGAATCCGATTCCATCTCAAGCCTATCGTGTGATGAGTGCCTGAGAGTTGCCATGCCGCCTCACGATGTTCGCAAGGATGTCGAAGCGCCAAGGGCAGCCACCCCTGCCCCAAAGGGAAAGGATGTGTGGCTCATTGATTCCGGTAGTGAGCAGGACCTCATCAGCAAGGCTGCACTGAGGAATGCGTCCAAGGCAATCCGAAAACAGGCCCCGCAGCCTATTCGCCTTGTGACTGCGAACGGAAACATCACTGCTTCCGAGATCGCCGACATCAATGTCGATGCATTGTGTGAGCCTGCTCAGCCTTACATCCTCGAGAGTTCTCCCGCAGTGCTGTCGCTGGGTGTGAAGTGTCTGGATCAAGGATATTCCTTTCATTGGGAATCCGGGAAGGCACCAACCATGGTTCGCCCTGACGGTGCTCTGATCCAGCTCAAGGTTGACGGTCATGTGCCATACATGGACTCTAGTTGTGAAGCTGAGCCATCGTTGAGTGCAGTAGCAGCATCCAAGCCAGCGCCTGCGCCAGTTCATGACGAAGGCATCGACGAAGGTGATGATCCCGACGACGAAGTTGAGCGGTTTGTGAGATCCCGCAAAGAGGAAGATCTGGTTGCCGAAGCGAGTACCAAAGAGCACTTGTTTGCACACTATCCGAAGAATCCCTTTTGCCGCACTTGCCAACGCGCCAAGATGCTTGCCCCATATGCGAGATCGAAAGGCGGGCAGGGAAGGCTCGAAACGAAAGCGTTTGGAGATCACATCATTGCTGATCATGTGATCCTCAAGACCAACATCGAGCAAGGCATCAAAGGTGAATGGTGTGCTCTTGTGATCAAGGACGTGCATACGCAGTTCAGGTACGTTTACCCATCGACCAGCAAAAGCACGGAGCAATCCGTCGCAGGGATCCAGCATTTCATTTCCGGTAGGGATGAGGTTGAAGTTCTCTACACTGATAACTCCCGGGAATTGAAAGCCGCAATAGAGCAGTTGGGGTATCGTCATCAGACCTCCATTGAATATGTTGATTCCTCCAAATCTTTCGTGGAAAGAGAAATCAGACATCTGTTGGAGGGAGCACGTGCGAACCTTGTTCAGTCAGGGTTCCCACTGTCGATGTGGCCATTTGCTATCCAGCACAATGCAGTTGCGACCAACATCCTGCCACAGTTGAATGGAAACGATTCGCCATGGTACCTCAGGTTTAACAAGACCTTTGATGAAGCTGAGATACCTTTCGGAGCAAAGATACTGTTCTGGAATAACCCTGCACGAGCTGACAATCAGGCAGGCAAGACTTCGCCAACATCTAATGAAGGCGTGTTTCTCGGGTACCATATTCAGCCTGGGTTCGCATGGAAGGGTGAGTTCCTCGTTGCAAAACTAGAAGGGCTCGATTACCATATCGAACATGCGTCCCTCACGGTACAGCGAACAAAGCGCATTGAGCTTCCGACTGATGAGTTCATCTTCCCGATGAGGTTGTTGAAAGACCCTGCATCTCATCCACCTGTTGCCAGTGCTAGGACACGAGATGATCCTGTGCCGTTGGAGCGTGGGCAAGCCCACATCGAGGAACCCGCCGCATCGGAGAAATCCGAAGCGAAGACCAAGCCTGTCGTGCCCGACAAAGGCGGTGCATTCGACCCGAGCATAATGCCTGATGGGTCACCAGTACCTGATGGCTATGTGTGGGATGGGGTTCGGCTCGTCCGTAGGAAGGCCGGATCCAAAAGGCCTCCCGATATCCCGTCTGACATGTGGGTCATGCTCGGCAGTCAGGACCGAAAGGCCCTAACCCAGCAGTATGAAGATCAGCTCCGTGCAGATGCCAAGAAGGCAGTGCTTGAGACAGCAGTCTCTTCGGAGGCCAGATCCGAGCACCCCGAAGCCGCATCGAGTGCAAAGCCGACCAGCGCCGCCCGCGAGGGCGAGCCGACATTGCCTGTGATCCGGCACGCGCCTGCGATGTCCGTTCTTCCGGAACGGGACAAGTCATCAAAGGAGCCGCATCGCCCGCAATTGCGTGAGTTGGTCAAAGAGCGAATCAAGAAAGTTGAATTTGATGTTGCTCTTGAACTGTTCAGTGCAGTCGTTGCAAGGCTTGTGCCAAAAGCCGAAGTA